CTGTGAATTTGGTATTCACTGTGTGCTCCTCAGGGGTCCCTAGCAAACGCTCTGAGTTCTCACCAGGAGTGATTCCTGTGCTGAAATAAATTCACTGCATGAGTGAAATTGGTCAGTGTGCTCCTAACCCACAGCCTGGCTGGTCGTGTCCTGTCTTGCAATGGACAAGTCCATTTTTATTTTTTCTTTAAAGAATTTTCATCTGTTTGAATAGAGAAATCAAATTACTGGACTCTATTCTTGAACATTTTGTGATCACCAATATTTTTACTATCCTGATTTATGAATTTTTCTTGTTCACCCCTGTACAGTTAAGATGGTTCCATAAAACACAAATATAAAAGATTTCTTCTGAGTCACCCTCATGTTAATTGTAGGCCAAAGCCATATTCAGAAAAAGATTGGTGTTGAAAGAGCTCACCTGCCTTTACAGTGCCTGTGAAGAGTACATACAACTGTTCAGTTTAATTTAAATTATGAACAGCAAATTTGTCATTACAGCTTTATAAATCTGCAATATCCTATTAATTATGTTTTACCACTCTCTGAGGTATTTCATCATCCTTGCTGCAGCACAATATATTTTTCCTTTATTACAATCTGTTGCCTAGTAATGCACAAAATCTGTCTCAAAGTGCAGCTGCTGGTGATTGTAAAGGGTGTGTGTGTGCCTGGAGGATGGCAGCAGGGATGGCCTGCCCCCGTCCCTGTCATGCACTGAGGGCCCTGGTTGCACGTCCTGCCTGTCCAAGAGGCTGCCATTAAAAGGATGATTGACCTCATTATGTGTCTTTAGACACTGGAAATTATGAATCAAAGAAAGCCCATAGACACAGAGAGGGAGAAGGGGAGCACTCACATTATTTAGGGAGCTACAGGGGTAAAAAGGAGCAGAGGGCAATCTGCATTTTTCTTTAATGATCTGCACCAGGTTCAGGCACCCTTGCAGGCCAAGCTCTGCCATTCCTGGCTGCAGTTTCACAGCTCTGTGTCCCAGCAAGCCAAACCCATGAGGTTTGTTTGTTCCACGTCCTATAGCTTTTTTATGAAAATGTCTGTTTTCATGTAGTATGACAAACTACCTCAAATTCCTGTTTTGGCTAAAATGTTACGTAAAACCAATTACATGCACTGATTGGAATGTGTGCTAGCTGCCATATTTAATTTCAACCCCATTAAAATTATAGGTGGTTGTTAATAATTAAAATAACCAGCAAAAAAGCATTAGATTTGAAGGCTGAAAAAGCATTTTTTCTGCAAATCTCTTTGTGTTCCACTTTGAGGTTATCTCCTGATGTAAGAAAGAAAAAAATTAAATCTGTCTTTTCTTTCCTTTAAAATTCAGAATAAAAAATATGCAAAATACATTTAAATAATGTTTAGAAAATTCACTTGTAGTTCAGTGCAGGCTACAGGCTAAATTACTAGAACTACGTCAAGTTAAATCCTATTGAATGAAAGCTCATTACCTGATCTCAGAGCCTTTGCATTTACAGTTTCAATTTGTGCAACTCAACTTAAATTGGAAAAATACATTATTGTAATTATGAAAAATATTTTCATTTTTAAAGAACATTTTTTAAAACCAGTTATATCCCTGGAGTTCAGTAACTGTCCAAATGTATGTAATGAAAATTGTTTCTCCTCCTTCTTCATTTCATAGTATATGGAAACTGCTAATAGTTTGAGAAACAGATTCTGTCCTTTTCTGCCCTAAATGAATGTTTTCTTTATCTGTTTGACTTTTGCAAAACAAAATTTGTTATGAACCTATGCATGCAGTTAATGGATGTGGGTCACTGTCAATGCAGTGATCAGGTGAAAACATAAGAAATATATCCAATGGAAATTACACTTTTTCCTCCTCAACTATAAGGATTTTCTACTATCTACAAAGAGATTTGCTCAAATGTGTTGACTTTTGTTGTGGAGGTGGGGTTGGGGTTTTTTAGCTGCCTAAAATCTCTCTAAATGGCAATTTTTGTCTTGCTCTTCAGCACAACCCCTCCTGCATCACCTGAGCACAGTGGTGAGCTGAAAGCACAGCTGGGTGAGGGAACATAATCCAAATAATTGACCATGCTGAGATAACTGACTTCACTGTTGGAAAGACACCTTGGGTAAATTGCTACCCAAATCCTGCTTCCGCTCTTCAGTACTTTCTTCATGTTGCTCTTTGTTTGTTTGTGAAGTGATGACTGAAAAGTGTCTGGCATAAAACCACACTGATGCTAGGGAAGGCAGCTTGAATTAAGATAATGAGGGAAAAGTATCACATTTTCACACAGTTAGAAGTGTTTGTCACCAAAAATACATATAAAGAGAAGTGATCTTTCTCTCTCTATTCTCTGAGGAAATCACCATCTGACTCTTTTCAAGCAGGGCCTTCTATACTTTACCTTTAAAATTTGAGAGAAATACTACATTAGTGTGCAAGTTGGCCAAGGTTTGTTGTCTGCTCCTCTTACTGTACATATTATTCTCTTTCCTAAATGCATCTTGTTTTCTTCTGTTTATGTTTTAAAATTTCTATTCATACCAAAAGACAACCTTTTAAAGATGCCTTTCATATTCTGGAAATAACTCTTTCTGTTAGTGACCTGTAATGAAAGTATTCACAGTGGTGCAAATGGTGATTGATCACTGTATGGTGAATAGCAATAACATATCAAAGAAGATTTATTATGGGAACAAAGATCTCTTCTGATGCCCCAAAATCTCTAGCTTGCTCTTAGTTGATAGTTCATGCTCAGTAGTCCAAAGGATAGAAATGTTCCTTTTGGTTCTGATTGAACTGTTGAAAATTGCTTCTGATGAACTGTGGAGAAGGATAAGCAAAAGGAATAGCACATTCACTTGGTTAATTCCCCTTCCATGACATTCTCTGTTACCCAGTATTTTTAGATTTTTCAAAAAATATTCAAAGTCAGCCTGAGATCTATTACATTACCCTTTGGGAAAAAGTTATTTGTTTTTAGCAGGATTCAATATTTCTTATAATTTATTCCTAATTTCTTTTGGTGAGTGTAACCTTTCAAAGTAGCCATAGAGAAATAATTTCAGAAGATGTTGAAACTACTAAGATCACACCAGAGGAAGGGAGCAAATGGCTGTTAGCTTTTTGTCCTCCTATCCAGAGAGTTACCCTGACTGTACTGCATCAGATGAACAAAAATATAATTGTTTTATGATAAAAATATTTTATTTTCTTCACAGCATTGTGATCTAGGGTAATTTTTAATGAAAAAATTATTTTGAATGCTGCTCAACTCTTGTTTTTCAAAGCTCCAAACTATAAACCTTGGACATGTGCTCTCTATTGCCATCTCAATAAATAAAATGCTTTGGGTACATGGGAGAGTTTCTGAGGTGTTTGACTAGAAAGACTCAGGGTTTGCTCGAAAACTGACTGGAATGTGGTGGGTAGTTTTTTTTTTAAATTTACATTATTTTTTTATTTATCAGTAGAAAGCAGAAAAGTGCAAAATTTCTCAAAAGCTTTTAGATTTTAGCTTTTAGATTTTTCTTTCCATCATTCCATGACAATAAACTGTTGCTTTACCCAAGGTGACTGAACTTAGGTTAATATGCCAATATTTGGCATATTTTATCTCCAGGATTGTCTCTCAGTTCATAATGGGAGTTGAACAACCAATGTGGTTTTATAAAATTTTAGCATGGGTGTATCCAATAATAATGCTTAAATTTCAGCTTCAATAGAATTTTATAAAATATTTGTAAAATATAATTACTCTGTTTTGATGCAGTGCTAAATCACCATAAAATCTTTGGACACAGGAAAAAGTATGAATTTTATTACTTCTCCACTGATTTTGAAATAGAGTTTGCATTTACAATGAAGTCCTGCTACCTAAAATACTGATTTTAAAAAGTGTATATATTAGAATGCTAATTTCCTAATTTAACATTTTTATATATTGGAACTGTGCTCTACAAGAGCTCTTATTTTTCTAAATAACAGAAAGCCTCTGCTTGCTACCATGTGAATTAGTTCACAAAAAATAATGCTGGAGCTGGTAAGAACTGTGTGCTCTGTTAAGTTATTTTATTCTGTCTCCCAGCAAGTGAGGGATGGGTTTCAGGCCAGTTTCTAGGCCAAATCCACCACATTGGTTGATGAGATACTAAAAACCATCAGTAACAAGTTTCTTGTGTATTTTCTGAGATTCTACATCAATTAAGTAGAGGGATTTTAACAGTTCAATCCAGATCTGAGGTATTAATTAGTGTATGCAGCATTTATGAGGTGCAAGAAGGAATTTCCTTATGAGGAATTGAGATGTGAGGTATTAGTTAAGGTCTGAGATTACAGGATTAAGGGGAATGAAAGATCAAGTTATGGAAAACTCAGTTGCTTCTAAAGCAAACAACTTATTTGTTTCAGTGGCTAAACAGGATAACATTATAACAACATTTCATGTAGACTGAGAATGTTGGGTGATTTGTTGTTTTGAAGAGTTTCCAAGTATTTGTTACAGGTGAGATTTCCAGGTTGAAATCTCTGCATTCCACTTTTGGTAATCCAGATATCAAACATCTGCCCTCCAAGGATGTGCATCTGCCCTGTACTCAGTCATGTGGCACACTACAAAAGCCTTTGAAATACAAAATAAAATGTCACTATAGTGTAACCTGCTATTTGCTGGGAAATGCATATGTGAGCAGTTTTTTGTGATTGTTCATGAAGCTTTCAGGCAGATACCCCCTCAGGAACTGTGAATTTTGGTAGAGTGTGTGATGATATTGTTTATTCAGGTTGCATATCAGCATTCTTTACACCACTACTTCTTTAGGCACCTGGGACTGGGTATAATGGTTTCTGTAAATTCATTTCACTTCTCAGTAAATTTATTTCACTTTCTGTGTGGAAATGGTTCTCCTTAATCTATTGCCACATCTCCCTATGAACCAAAGCAGTTGTACAATGCCAGTTTGCTGTGGTTCACAAAATTTTACCTTTGCATTGCAGGCATGGCAAGTCAACTGGAAATTCAGAGTACCAGGAGGGAAGTCCAGACTTATTTTGCAGAGGAAGGTTCTGCTGTGAAAAGTCCTGTGCATCTCTCAGTGGTTTCACCTTGCACTCAGGTTTGAACATACCCAACTTTTCACACATTATAAGAAAATATTCCACTGGTCAGGAGTGATTCCTTATCTTTTATAAGGGTTGGTGCTACCAAGTTACTTGTCACCTGTCTTGTGACCAGCTCTTTTTCTTTTGAAGGAATAAGTTTGGGGCTTTCCTTAAAAGCAGTTTAAACTACTCAGAGTTTTTGACCTCTGGAAAGAAATTCACAGCTCACAGGCTGTTGATGAAGGACCTCTCATCCCACACAATAACCCACAAGGAAAAAAAAAAATTGACAGGTTTCTTATTACAGCGACTTTAGACGGTCACTGTGGTGAGAGAAGGACGGGAATCTTGTTTCTTGATCAGAAGGCTTGATTTATTGATATAAGATATATAATACATTATAACTATACTAAAAGGAAGAAAAAGAGAGGTTGCAGAGAGCAGCTATGCCAAGAATAGAATAGAAAGAAAGAATAACAAAGTTCTTTGCCCAGGGAATCTGTCCCTGAGCTGCTCCTGTGATTGGCCTTTAATGGTACACAAGGAAGATGAGCCAATCACAGGGACACTTGCTACATTTCACAACAGCTGATAACAATTGTTTACATTCTTCTTCTGGGGCTCTTTGCTTCCCAGAAGAAGGAGAAATCCCAAAGAAAGGATTTCTATGAAGAAATGTCTGCGACAGTTTCTCTAGATTCAGAAAGTGTCGATTTTACCTTTGAGCATTGTATTTTGAGTAAAGCTAAATATGGCACCTACTGGCATGATTATCATGAGGTAACTGGACCCAAGGGACTAGAAACATTTGGCTGCATGTACCTGTAAGAACCCAGAATGTAAATTGTAATAATTACTTCACAATAAAAGTCTGCAGAGCTGCACCTTATTTCCCAAGTAGCTTGAGGTTAGCAAAATGCTTTTGGATATTTCAGCAATTTAATTTCCTTCATACCCTGAGGTTACTTCTATTAACATCAGTCTGATGAAGGTGTGAAATGAACAAATGCAAATATAACTGAATTTGGTTCTACAGATTCAGTGCTCATTTGTAAAGAAAATGTTTATGCCCAGTATTGTTTAAATATTTCTAATTTTTTCAAATCCAATTCTGCAGATGCCTTCTGCAATCATTCAGTTGTTATTATCTGTAAAGTCACATTTCACTGACAATTTTAAGCAAGTCAAAGGATTTTGATACATTGTGGTTAGAAGATGAAGAGGATACGAGGAATCTGCAAGATAGCTTTAAACACTTCAGCCTTTTTGCTGAGCTTTCCATATCTTGGATATTTTACTGTGGTTGATATTCCTCTGCTTGTCATACCAACATAGCCTCCAGTGCTGGCAGTGACATTTTCTGTGCTAGAAACTCCTCACATCACTCAGACTGCCAAATGTGTGGTAGCCTGACAAGGGAAAGGGAGAAGCCTCCAGGACCATAAAAATGAGAAGGGGTGGTTCATAGCAGATGTGGTGGAGCAGGCAGTTCTAGCACTGCTTACATGATCCAGCAGAGAAAATAGCACATGTAAAGTTCACATCTGTTCTCTTCCATATATCAGAACAGTAGTGAGATAAGGAGCAAGTGTCTTTAACCTGTGTTCAGCTCATAATTGGTAAGGACTCTGTGTATGTTCTCTGCATCTTTGGGGCCTGAAATTTTCATTTATTTTCTGTTAACAAGAAAACTTTGAACTCTGTGGGTACGCTGAGCCAAAATGAAGAGGCTGCTGTCTCATGGTGTATGAATTTGTTAACTGCACCTTAGAGCTGCCTTGCCTCTTACCCCATGTGTCCCAAGCTTAGTTTATGTGCAAGTCCCAAGCTCTGCTATCTGCAAGTTGCTTGGTTTTTTTCTGTGATTATCAATTGAAGTATTTCACTTGTAAAATCATGGCAAAGTTAGATGCCTGCATTCATACTTCCTTTAGATTTAAGGCTTTAGTGGAGCAAATTATGCTGCTGCTGATGGGGAGGGGAGAATGGGGGAAGGAAGAAGGGGGGGAAACCTCCAAACCTTTGATCATGGTGTTTTCTCTTCCTTTTGGGAGTTAAGAACAGCTTCATCCAGTTAACCTCCTTCACAGGGTGCTGTTCAGCTCAGTAGGTGATGACACAGTTCTGCTGTAGTAGCTGTGGGTGAAGGTGCTTCTCTACCTTCATCTTTGCTCAGGAATTAAATACTTGTCTGGCTGCACTTCTTTATGACTAAAGAAGTAGCTGAACCTAATTTTTAAACAGATCTGAAAAGTAAAACTTTTTTTTTCTGCCCAGGTATAAAGCCTGTGAATATGCAGGAATTGGAGATAAGTTTCCTTTGCTACTTTCTGAAAGTGGAGGTTGAATTTGACTTACTCTAAAACTTACCTATGTGTAAGAGTACAACTGAACAGTGTTTGTCAGTGCAGTGCTGGCCAAAGTTTGCACAGTCATTAATTATTTCCACCACAGAAATATATCATGCTATTAGAACAAAAGCAGGCTTTCTTTGTAACTCCAGGAAATCAAACATCAGCCACCCAAAAGTAATAGCCTGTCATTACATTCCTGTTTATCAGAGAACAAAATTTTGCTCTTGCTGACTTGAAAAAGATCCCTGGAGTAAGTGCTTCCATAACATACATAAATCATGTTCTCCATCAAGTAACCTAATGATATTTTGGGGGTGGCATCATTAGCTTTCCACACAGTATTTTGCCTGACAGGAGATGAAAACTCTGTTCTAATTATTCAGGAACTGAATAACAGGGAGAGATAAATAATATTTCATTAATTTTTTTATTATCTTTTCAGGAAAAAAAACAAGCAAAAAAAAAACCCAAACACCTTTCTGGGGTCTGATTTTAGTCTCAACGACCACGCTCTTGAAATGAAAAAATTTCCTTTTTTGCTTGTCATTGTTTATTCTTATAGAAAGGGTGGATAAAATACTTGGGATATTGTCATTGTGGTAGGTTACTGATTTGACTTAATGCTTCTTGACAAACTGTTCAGGATGTTGATCAAAATCTAATTGATTTTGTGTTTACACAATCAATATTGGTTCCCCAAAAACACTTCTTGTCTAGGTGGGTTTGCAGTGTCTTTTCCTTCCAGAAATCCAAGACATATTCTTTCCATATATTACTTTATTAAATCAAAACACAAAAACTTAAATGCTTTTAAAACTGCTAATCTGTATGAAATGTGTTAATCACATTTATAGTAACCAATTGGCATGCAAGCACTACTATGAGAGAACATAAACTGAATTTTGGTTGTCATAGAATGTGGTACTGTAATTTGTGCCACAAAATTATGGTTCCCAGTCTTGCTATTTCAGCTCTAGCAAAAAGGAGCAGCTAAATGTCCCTTGATCACTTGAAGCTGCCCCATTGCATTGGGGAGGGAATATTTCCATGTGACAAGGATGACTGTGACTTTTGTATCCTTTAATTCTGATCTCCACAGACTGGAGATTGCAGCTGGGATCCCATGTCCTCTGAAAACAAGGACCAAAATGTTCATCCTGAGGAAGAAAATTCTGAACCAGTGCATGGCACTGTTTTTCTGACACCACTCTGTATAGGCAGACTGACTCCCTCACATGGAGAAAGTGGGGTGCAGGAAAGATGGAAAATTTGGACTACTGATAGGAATTTTGTGTCTGAATTACTCATCTCTAAAGTTAATGAATTTGTTTGTCGTTTATAGTCTTCCAAGTTGCCCCTAACCTTTCCATTGCTGAAGCAAATTTCTGCTTAACCATAGTTCCTTTGTGAATTTTTAACTCATCCTTTCAATGCCTTGAAATGCACCCCATGTTTTCCTTGTAGGGTTTGCACAAACTGAGCATTCTTACTCTCTCAAATAGATTTTGGATTAAAGTCCTGCTAAAAGCACATGAGGTACCTGCATTGTCATGATAAATCTTTGTGTCCTGTCCATAAACCACAGAGTTGAGGCAGCAAAGTCAATAATCACAATATCATGAATCATTTTCTGCAGTGGGCCTGACTGGGATGATTTGAGGATGTTGCTAACTGTTTGTTTGTACACGGGCAGTGGTAACACATTGCTGTGTTTCTGCATGTACCTCAAAACCAACCTGTTCTACAGAATTTTACAGAACCAGAATACCCCTAACACTCTATTAGCCCCCAATGACACCCATTCATGCTTTGTTACCCTCTGCTCTGCCAGCTCTCAGACTTCTTTACAAAATTAATGAAATTGCTGACATTTAAATGTCTTCTCATCCATACTGCAGATAATTACCTGTATATTCTTTAATGATTTCCCCACACCCTTCCTGCAATTAAAGACATAAGCAATTTGTCTTTCTTCTATAACATTTTGAGGAAGCATACATCTTAGGGCTATTTGTGTCAAAACATTATTGTCCCCTCTAATTTGGGAAGATTCCTAATTTCTTTAAAATATCAGGGACTAATTTAGCTATTTAAAGAACCCAAATGGCTTAAATTTGCCTAAGTTTTCTTTTGAATGCTGATTTTCCTTGAAACTGCTCATCTAGATCAACATAGTGCATATTTTTTCAAGCTTAGAAGGTGAGTTTTTGACGATTGTTGAGAGAAAGTGATTTTATGGATTTTTAGATACGTCCAGGTAGATTCTAATATTGAATAGAAGGTTTTTAGCTATTTTGAGGACTGCAACTTCAGTTATGAGTGACTGTTCTGCCAGAGGGACACTTTCATGTATTTCATGTATGAAGGACATTTTCATACTTTTCATGCGTGTGGCTTTCTGAGCCTTCTGAGCCGACAGATTGCCTTGGTATCATTTTATAATTTTCTCCATTGAATATCCAGGTTTCATTCATTGCATAGCTTATCCTATTTGTGCTTTTCGTCTTGGCTGTTTCTTGCCCTCCTCTCCTGCCATGCAGGAGTGGCCACGCTGAAGCAATTCTCATCACAGATGACCACGTGGTTAAACTGGGCCCAAAGTCAGGACCAAGTTAGGATCGAGTCTGACTCCCTGTGGTGCTGTTTGTCCTCAATGCCTAATTGACACTGCAGTACTTGGGAATATCATTTCTGTAATAACACTATTTGGTTTTCATTTCTTCTAGAGAGATGGAAGATACTGTATCTAAGCCATTAAGTCAGAGATTCATTATTTCATAGCATTTCTACTTTTGATGGACCATTGTGACTAGGCAGGAAGCCAAGTAGATCGCTTTTTTTTTGCTTTCATTACAGAATCATTCTTTTTCTACAACGAAAGGCTAATGGTTGATAGTCACAATTGTTAGAATTATTTTTTTTTCTGGTGAATGCTGTGCAGTAAATTTTGTTCCACTACTGCAAATAGGAGCTAGGAGATCTTATTTTACAATTTCTGTTGCATTTTCAAATCTTATAAATGGAACTATTGCACATTATTATATACATTTTTTAAATTTCAAGTTTAAATCTCTTTTAACTTGTGTCAATTCTATTAAAATTCAGAACAGGACAAGTGGCAACCAGGTTGTGATGTTTGGTCGTGAGAACTGTCTGTTTTCCATCATAAATCAATAGCTAACAGCTATTCATTTCACACAGTCCATCAAAGAGCCCCTGCACGACTGTAATGTTTTTCCCTGTGAATTTTAAGCAGTGAACTGGACATTTTACATTCAAAATACCTTTGCCAGCCCCAGCTTCCTTATACAAAACAAGTTTTAGTGTCATCCTGTGTTTTGTTACCTGTGTTTGATTGTCAGCTGACAAACTTCTGAGGCTGGTCAGTTTTCTCACTCCTTCAGATGGAAAAGGAAATGTTGAAGGGATTTATGTTCAGATGTTGGCAGATATCACAGCAAACCCAAGGTATTGGCCCACGTAGTGAATTCTGCCAATGCTTCTAAAGTGCTTTGGAGTTACAAATGTTCTCCAAGCGTGTTGGAGCAGGTGTCAGACAGCAGCTGTTCCATACTGAGGACAGGCTGGAAGGATGGGCCAAGGTCAGCTCTGCCAAGCCCAGCAAGGCGCAGTGCCAGCTGCTGCACCTGAGTCACTGCAGCCCCAAGGGCTGGTCCCCTCTCCCAGGTTTCTGTCAGCCCTGGAGCCCAGGGATGTGCTGGGGTCCCCATCCTGGAGGAGTTTGGATGGAAGAGGTCCGGCTGTGGCTCTGAGGGCCATGGTGTGGTGGCGAACAGGGCAGTGCTGGGATGGTTATTGGCCTCAATGATCTTAAAGTTCTTTTCTGACTCAATTTCTGTGATAGTCTGAGTACTGCACTAGAGACAACAGCACAGCTTTCACTCAGTGAACAGCAAAGTCAACATTACAGGATTCCACATCAAAAATCTTCCCAATAATTTGGGAACCAGCAGACCCCCACAGTGCTGTGCAGCTGGAGCTGCAGCATTTCCTAGCCTGGAGATGTAATGAGCCATTAGCATCCCACACTGACTGGAAATTGCCTTTATACTTCAAAAGGAAAATGGAGATGAAAAAGCACAGAGATGAAACACAAATTTTCCCTATTCCTCAGTTGTTGAAAATACAAAAGGTCACAATTGAAAGCTAAACTTAGGTTGATTCCTGGTGAAGAAAGGCTGTTTCATCTCTTCTGTCTTAGAGAAGCTTAGATATTTAGGAAAACATTCTGGTACCATCTGCAGCACCAAGTGGGTGAGTAGCAAGCTGTTAAGAAGGATGTGGATTTCTGTTTTGATGTATGTTCATCACTGTTGAAATTCAGAGAGCCATGCCAAAAGTATTTTGATATAAACATAATGTATTTTTTAAACATTAAATCCTCACTTATTTCAAAAACAAATTTCCTAGTCATTTGTATAATGAACTTTATTTCTGAGCTTAAATCTAAACCTTTAAACAGAGTTTCCTTTTACTTTACAGGTTTTAGGAACATTTGCTGTCCTAAATGAGTACCTTATGTCAGAAATTTCCACAGACACATCACTCTGAGGTAACTTTTTATACTGTGAAAGTAGATGTCTGTTAGGTATAATTGGGAGACTGCATCAAAGTTCAAAGGCAGAAATCCTCGCTTTTCCAGATTAAATCCATCTGGCATTCCAGGCTTTGTTCTGGTTCTGTTCATTGCAGTTTTTGGAGACCAGGTGACAAGAAAGTTTAAGTGCGTGTTCTAAAAACATCTGGTTATTTATTGAGACTTAAATATTTAATTTTGTCTTTACCTTGCTTAATTGTTGTATATGTATGGTTCTGACTTGGATATTTCACAGATATGCAGATGAGGATTTCTGAGACAGCATGTGATAAGAACCTGCCCTTGGAAATAGAGAATATCTGCAAGCAAGTGGAATTTTTGAATGGTCTCATTATCCTTAGGATTTTTCCTTACACAGGCCTGTGGGAATGTGCACTGCAGCAAATGTAAATGAAGACACTTATTTTTCATAACCCTATGGCTACATGATAAATGCAAAATGTTGTTGTCCCCTTAGAACAAAAAATACGGTTTACCTCTTGGTAGTTTTCAGGAAACCATTTAGTGTTTTGGCAGTGAGATGTTAAGAGGAGTTTCCTACAACACCTGAGCCTTTGGCTGCTGCCTCTCTGAGCCTTTGGCATCCACAGTGTGCAAGTTCTCAGGCCTAACTGCGTGACACTGTCCTTAGGTCAGTCCCTGGATGCTGTTGGGGCAAAAGGTTTTAAGGCTGAATTTCAGGCCCCCAGAGCTTCTGATTTTAGTGGGGATTTACTCCCCCCTCATAGCAGCCAGTAATGCTTTAGACACATCTTCTGTAGCCCCCCAAGTGATGATCAGAAATGTGTTTATACTTAAATATTTTATTCTTTGGTGAGTATATGAATCATGACAAAGCCTGACCCTTCACCTCTAGTCAGTTAGAAAAAACCAGCATTCCTACAAAACAAGCTAAAATACCAGAAGGATGACATTTGGGAGCTGTGTAATTAACTGCTTCTTGCTCATCCTGGTAAAGCAGTGTATGGATTTGCTTTTAGCATGTTGCTCTCAGAATTACTTCTAGCGTTGGCCTGAGTTATAAAATTATCTCATTCAGGAAACAGTTGGGTGAGATGAGCTAGGTGAAGTCTGCTGCAGAGATCCCAAAGCCTTCAGCAGGCTTACAAGGGTAGAGGCTTACAGGGTTGGTGCTTTATCTTTTGTAGAGCACATGAGATTGAGTATGACACCTGCTCCGGGGGGCCCTGTGTGAGCAGGGGGTTCTTCCAACCTCACCCATTCTCCCTTTCTGTGTCCTCTTATTGTATTGAGCTTTCTTTTCTTGCCTTTTTAAAAAATAATAATTCTGCGTAGAGAACAGGCAGTACCAGCCTTGGTTAGCTACATTTCTTTATTACATTTCTTCTGCCTGGGTTCTGAGGATGACTTTCCTAATCCATGTCCAGCCCCAGCATTGGCTTAAGTCCTTAGAGGTGACAAATGCTAAAGCAGAGTTGCTGCTTTCATTCTGTGTCCTTTGTGCTATGCAGAAAAACCTGATTTCCTACAGGGGTATTTAAACTGTGCTGCTGGGAATGTCTGGCTGGAGAGCCTCATATTATCCCTTGAAAAGTGAGGATTAACTGGAGAGTGGTTAAAGAGCTCTGAAATGGCAAATGCTGTCATTTGACAGACCCTGTCCTTTAACAACTGCAGGCCATGTGAGGGAGAGCAAAAAGCTTCCTTAAAACTCAAGTTACTGAGGAAACTATGCTTCACCTCTTAGCAGCCAAGTAGAAAATCCCAGAGTATCCCAAACAAAGCATTTGCAGGCAAATTAGGAGCCTGCAGAATTCAAGTGTAAGTGCATGATGCCATAAATACTAAGTGCTATCACTTACCTCAGCTATTAGGTCTAATTAAGTTGATGTAGACTATTTGGTAATAATAACTTAATGGTATATTCCTTGGAACTGGAACATGACAGCATTACACCCCTGTTGATAAAAATGACAGAATTATGTTCAATTACCTGTGAGGAGATACAGTTGCTATTAAATCCTGCTATCTGTGCAATGCAAACTCACATGTGTCCTTAGAAACAAATTGCTTCTCCAACAGCAGCCCTTGTTACAGCACGGCTGCTGTGTGTGCTGATGGGCTGGAGCTCTGCCTTGCTTTGTTTTGAACAGAACAGATGTGCTGCTTCATCTCACTGTGCACAGAGCAAATCCAAAACCACTTGATTTTCCTGCTGATGCCTGATTTCCACGCTCCTCCAATTTCAAATGGACTGCTGAAAAGTCCTCCCTTTTTCCAAATCAGATGAGATCAAGTCCATAGCAAGTATTTGAAGAGAAAGCATTCTTAGAAAATGCTGTGCTCAGACTGTGGGTTTGGTTGTGTTGGATGCAGTGACACAGGCAGAATTACACTGCCTGCTGCTAATAAAGTTACAAAATAAATTTGGCAAAATGCAAAGATTTAAGTGTCTCCCAAATTGTGAGCCTGCATGTAGTTTACCTTCCCACTGGTAACAGCTTTATTGTACACAGCAGAAACTGCAATGGAAACCACATCTCACAAATTTATTGCCAACTGAGACCTAAATTTAGAAACCTATTCAGTTTTCCTGTTAATCAACTGTGCTTGATGAAATGGACAGTAGTAAATTAAAATTACATATTAGTGAAGTTGCAGTTATCAATTGCTGTATAAAGATAGCACTGGTAAAAATCAATTTTTTGCCATCTTTAGTTAGCCTTGTTCTATATTATAAATGTAATTAAAATGCCATTAGTGGCACATTTCTAAAGAAATCAATTCTATTCATAAAATAGTTCTTACAGCAAAAGCAAAACAAAACCCCAAGCTAAAACAACAAACAAAAAAAATAACTGCATGAGGTGGATTTTAGGAAGCTATGCTTTAAGATACAATCATGTTGCTCCCATCTTTATTATTTTTGCTGTTAGTTTAGAAATGTCAGAAGGCCATCAGAGCTGTCTGAATGCCTAATCAAAGTAGAGCTGAATTTCTACATTAAAACCAAGATGCAGATTTTCATGCTATCCTTTATCTTTCTCCCTGAGTTCTTGCTCAATTAGAGTTTTATTGACTAGCTGGACCTAATCTTTCAGGCTTTTAATGTAGGAATTTTTTTTATTTTTTGTTGGGAGGATTTCATACCTAGAAAAACAGACTCTAATCAGCTGATCTGAATTACAGCCACCTATGCATATAGGATTTCAATAATGCTACTGGAACTGCTCAGAGAAAGGCTGCTCATGGGGCAGCTGGGAACACCAGCCTGTGTTTTGTGGGGAGATTAAAAATATCACTTTGTCACAATTGCTTAGCATGTAAAACACGTTATGCAAACCCCAGTGCTCCAGGGAAGAGCACACATTCTGCTTTTATATTCCCATTATGCCAGGAGCTTTGTGAACTCATAAGCAAAAATGCTATTTTCTATGTTCTTTGAATGTAAAACAGGCAGCAGACTTGAAAAAAATAATCTCTAGAGTTGTGTGACCTATTAAGGTTGGGTGTTTAATTAATGAAAGAATTTGTGGAAGGCAAAAGAATCTTCCATTCCTGCTAAGGCTGGGGGTCTTTACTAGGACCTGGCATGTCTGAGATTTCTTTTGCATTCAGAACTGGTGATTTATTTAGTTTTCCCTAACTGAATCCATTCCAGATCTGTGATGCTGTATTCAGAGATAAAACCTCATTGGTGAAAAATAAGGTGATATTTTCACAGTCAGATCACTGAGAACTGATTAGCAAGAGAGAGAAAATGAATCCACCAAGTAGCATTTCCCACGTCTTTCATCTTCTGAATGTATAAAAATACCAGTTAAAAAGATGCATATCTGTGGAAATACATATAAAGGAGTTTATTATCCACAAATATACTCAGGCCTGATTTACAGTTTGTTGAAACTGATGAGAAATTTTTTTTCAATTATCTGTAGATCATTGCTAGGAGATTTATTGGTCTGCATCCAGATTTATGGACTTTGGGTTTTCTATCACCATCTTAAAACATTCTTTAGATAAAGATATGAAAATTAGGGTTCTCATTGTTTAATATTGATAAGTTTCCTTTTACATGGATCTCATGTTTTTTCAACCTTAAATTTTGTGGCACAGCATGAATAATTCACAGTGGATTGTGAAGGATCCAAAGAAACTGCACTTGTTTTATTTCATGTGAGGTTTTCTAACAGTCTGCAAGTGCACAACTGGACAGTTATGTGGGTCTAAAACCCCAATATTCATTAACCCCAACATTCATTAATGTTTGCTTGCACTCCAGAATGAAAATAACGATTTCTCCTTTATGATATTGTCTTATCAAAGAATTTTTAGTATTACCATCAATCTTTTTCTATCTGACCATCTAGCTTTTCTATCTGACTATTCTTTTCTTTCTGGAGCTGTTTGGGGTGTTTGATTGTTTTGTGAGTTTGGGTTTTTGTTTGTTTGGGTTGGGGGTTTGGTTTGGTTTTTTCCCCTCTCAGGGCTTTTTGTGTTTTGGGTGTGTTTTTTGTTGCTTGTTTGTTTTTAAAGCAATCTAAAGATGAAGTTGTGATTGTGTGGAACCAGTACTTTCATCTCAGGGTTGTTAGATGTGACAATTAACCAGTGTTTGGATGCTGAGGGACACAGCACTTGTGGAATTCTCACACTGTATTTTGGTGTTAACCTGACTAAATATGATTTGAGGGCAGTCAGTGATCACCTCCCTGCAGCAGGGGGCTGTCAGTGCTAGGCTTGGCCCATCAGGAGCACAGAGCAGGTTTTGGTGGCATCACCACTTTAAACTCTGATCTCCACTCAGTAGATCCCTTCCCACCCTGGTGTAGTTCTGTTTGTGTCTCTGAGGGTGTTAGTGGGGGTTAGGAGCCTGTCCCATGAATCATGGACAGAGTCATTACTGACAAGCATCCAACCCATATTTTAAAAATGGGCCTCACAGTTCCTTTTGTGGTCAAAGATTTTGGGTTTTGCTTTAATGTTTGGGGACAGGCAAATTGTCACTCCTTGTTCTATATTGATTTTAATTTCTTTTAAGCGTGCTATGTCTTAATAAAAAACGAATATTAGTATTGCTCTGTATGAAACCAGCTGGTGGCAGTGCTGGAGCTTGGTTTGAGGCAAGGGCACTTGTGCATGGGGCTCCTTTCTCCAGCTTTCAGCCATTCCCTGTTTCCAGCCCTCTCCCTTTGGTGGTGCTCAGTTTTTTCACTCCCTCCCTGGCAGAGCTGCTCATGCTGGGGGCAGTGGGGTGCTCTCCTGTGCTGCAGCGTTGCTGCTCAGGTGGGAGATGAAGGGCCTGTCCTGGAGGCAGCAGTGCCTGTGAAACACTCCCTGCTCAGTGGGGCAGCTGGGCATCTCCCCCAGGTGTGAAACGCTCCCTGCTCAGTGGGCAGCTGGGCATCTCCACCAGGAGTGCCAGTGCTGCCTGAGGCTTCACCTGCCTGGGCTTTCTGTTCAGCTCCTCTCCTCACTGTTTTGTCTGAAATTTGTATTGGGGGGATTTATGACAGTGGCTCATCTTGTGCAAACCCTTGGCTCTGATGTTCCAAGTGCTGAACCCTTTCTGCTTTGTACATTGGAATATTTATAATGCAAACAAAGTCCCTATCTGGAAACAAGGGGGATTCATTCTTGCCTTGGAAGCTCAGGCCATGAACTGTGTACAGGATTCTTTTACTGTGTTTTATGTCTGTTCACGCTGTCTCTGACAAATTACATGTATTAGTTGTTACTATGTTTTCCTGTGCTTCTGGACATGAATGATTCTACATGGCAACACATTCACCCCAGTCTCAGTTCAGAGAGAGAAAGAAAATCTAAGCCGAACTCAAATACTCCTATGTACCAAATTATATTACTAAATAACAAAGTCATCTTGCTGCTGTAATTTATCCTCTGTGCTTCCCAGGGCTACCAGGCCCTTCTCTGCATTACACACTTCTGTGTTCACTTTTAAAAGCTCTCTCTGCTCTAATGTACAGAAGTACTTCAGTCTCTTGCTTGCTGGGATTTGAAGAGGATTGCAGGCTCTGAAGCTCTTGCCTGTTTGGATGCTGCAGTCTCAGTGATGCCTTTGACTTGTAGATGTAAGCTGCTACTTTGTGGGGTTTCCTTCTCAGCTGCTTTTCTTCCTATGGGTGTTTTTTTCAGGGTGCTGTTTCCATTCATCTGTCTTTTAAAACAAAATCACACAGTTAATTACCAGAGCACCCCATCCACCATGTCAGCTAAAGGATCATGAAGCAATGGCATATTTTCCCTTGAGTGTCTCATTGATGGTTTCCAATACTGCATTATATAATTACAGAAATAATAACTGAATACTGCATCATCCCGTATGGGGAAAAAATCCTTATGTTATAACACTGCTCATGGAAGGATCCTCAAATATTATTTGCATCTCAGAAGTGTTAAGATGGCTCAGCTGGGACAGAGCTGACCTACCTCAATCAGGAAGAACAAAATTCTTTCACTTCTGTAGTTTCTAATTATATATGATGTTTGAATCACTTATATGGAAACATAACTAGGGATGTGACACTAGTTTGCAGATTTCACATTAACTATGTCCAATGCACATTAGGAGAAAAAAAATGTTAAAAAAGGCTTTATTGAACACAGTTTTACATAATGCAATAGTCATCGTGAATTTTTTTGTGGAAGTGGTGATCAGGAAAGGAAACAGCAAAATCATCTCCACTGCTATAAACAATTAACACTGTGCCCTCATGGTGTGCTAAGTATATCACACAGCTTTAGCTGTGGAGAGTCTTTTTATACTAATGAGCTGGTTTGACAGAAAGTTTTGGGCTTGATTTCAAAGTGAAAAGAGAGAGTGCACAAAATTTCTAAAGTGCTGCTCTTGCAAGTATCTGGTATTAGAGGAAATAAGGAGGAGAGAGGGTGTTTAATATGCTGTGATGTTAGGCACTGGTTAGTGTTCAAAAAGTACTTCTAAGAGGCTGCTGCAAGTTTTGCGTTTGTTTTCCAAACCTTTCTGACGTTTTTCAAGTTCTTGTTTGATAATAGAAGTGAGCTATGTGGGGGCTCAGCAAAGCCAGTTCAACTGGGAAAAAAGGGAACTGGAGTCTGCTTCAGCCTGTACATCAAAGGCTTTCCAGTGTGAGGTGTTCTTCTGAAGTTCTGGTCAAGGTCATTATCTTTGATGTGATTTAACCTGGATGTTCTTCAGTTTTGTAGGCACTTGTAAGACAATTAGACATGATTACAGTGATAACTCGTGAGCATAGCCTGCTTGAGGCCAAATTCATCTGTAGGGCACAGATAAGGTCTCTGCTTGCTGAATGAGGAATTCTGCATGTAAAAGGGGGACTAAAGTATTCAACTTTGAATTTTAAACTTGCAAAGCCCAGAATTTTTGTGACAGCAGCTAGTTTTAGCTATTTTTTTTTAAGTCACTAGTTAGGTCAAGTTCCATGACTCTTCAGCAAAGTGGAAGAATACGTTTTTCTCTATAACTGCATATTTGTAGGAAGTAGGAGACAAAAATCCTAAAAGGTACAGGAAGTGTCTTTCTGTTGGAACCTGCCTTGAATAGTCAGCAATTAATAATGCTGCATCATTCAGACATAACCTTTCCACATCCTGTCTGGACATGCTCTCCAATTTTAGAACACATTACTCATTATATGTAGTAGGTCAGAGGATAATGTTACACTCTAAATCAGCTTCTTCTCTATCTTTCTAAACCTTTAATGTCTTCTTTCACACAGAAATGCAGTTGTCAGCCCTTCAGTGTCACAATTTGCAGCAACAGGAGGAGCAGTAAGTGTATTTTCACCCTTTTTTCTTGTAATCATGAAAGAATAAAAACCTGTTACCATTCTTTTTCCAATGAAAATGGGTTATTATAGCCAGTGAGAAGTGAGGGATGTATGTTGGGACCTCTTAGAACTGCTTCCAACTACTGCACATTTCTTAGCACCCGCTTCTTAAGGACAGAGTTTCATTAGCAGCTTTCATCTGTGGATCTTTAAGAGGTTTAATTACTTAGTAATAGTTGTGCATTAAATTAATTAGTTAACCCATATTAGATACCTTTGTGAAAGACCCAAAACATTTTTCATCTTAGATAGGGAGAAACACTGTCAGAGAGATTACCATTATCTCACAAGGCATGTGTGATAAACTGGGATAGGGGCACTGCAGATGACTGACCTGATTTTCATGGATGTTGCATATGTGAAATCTAAATTGGCTGTCTGATTCAATGGCTTGGGGAAGGCTGCTCAAAATGATCTGCCCACAGCTGCTCGATGACCCTGATCATTTAACTCTCAGTCCTTGCTTTAATGATACTGCACGCTTTGCTCTAATGGGAAAAAAATACATTTTTCATTGCCATTAGGACATTTCTGTCACATAGAGAGGAAGCCAGCAGGTCTCTTCATAGAAGAGACTCCAGCAATATTTGCATACAAAATCCAGTGTACCATGCTTCACTGGTGAAAATTAATAGAAATAGGGAATAAATATAATGTAAATTTTTAAAAGTATCACTTTTAAACACCAGAAAACACATTGTTGGACAAGAATGCGCCAAATGAGAGGAAAATGAACTGCTTTTCCAGTCTTTCTCAGTTAAAATAGAAGTGAATTTGGCAGAAGTTCTTCCAGTAAAATCTGCTTTAGCATAAAAGCACTGCCACTGAAGCTAATGAAAAAACCCTCATATTTTTACCAGAGCTAATGAAAACCCTTTTACTTAAGTCAGCATGCTCTCTTATATTATCTGCAGGTTTTGCACAGTGTTTTTGCACTACTTTATCTGTGGTTTTCCCACTTTATTTTTTCTTTTTTCTGTAAAACAAGGGCAGACAAAAGGCTGCACCTGTAAGATCTTGAGTATGTAGTAGATGACACTGGGAAGCATGGTTGATACTGGTGGTAGTATCAACCCAGGGCAGCCCACTCTCTTAATTATTGGGCCTGGCTTGCAGGAGAAAATCTCTTACCATGTCTTGTGAGAGGCCTTTTCAGTAATAGATAATGAATTAACTAGAGGGAGGTTAACAAAACAGTACACATCAGCACATAAGCCTCTTCCATTAAGCTCTAACTGCATGAATTGCTCCCCTCTCTTTTTCTTTTAGAGATAAGAATAGATTCATTAAAGTAGTTCTAAATATTTTATCACCTTTAATGTACTCGTGCAGACAAGACTTTGCAATGCAGCCTCAGACATAACTCCTAAATGAGCTCTCTCCTTCATAAAACCTCTCATTAATCTGTCTAAAAGAAGATGTGTGTCTGTCTGCTCAATACAACCACTGTCAAACCTGTGATGTGTTGGTTTATGTGTAATAAAATAAAGCAGCCTAAACTCTGTAGATAAAAAAAAAAAAGACAGGATTATAATTCCTGAAGCTAATAGAATACTTGCCTTGTTTTATGTGGAGAAATAAGATTCTTGGGTTTTGAGGCAATGAGTGCCTCTCATAATTAAGATGAGTGGTCATGGAGTGCACTCATTGTTCTTCTGAAATAGAGGGAAATTCTCCTCTCAAGTAGTGGAAAACTGGACCTTTTAAAAACCACCCTGCTTAATTTGGTTCTGACTCCAAGGGTGTAAGTGATGAGCCATCCTCTTTGGAGTGCCTCATCACTATTTGGATTACAGGTGTTAGCCTGATAACTGAAAATGATCTTCACTGACAGCACTTGTCTTGTGGAGCAAATCATCCCTGTTCAGGTGGGTACATCTTGTACCCAGCAAATGGGTTCTACTCTGTGACATGCACGACGAGGCCACACAGACAGACCTGTTCCAAGGCTCCTCTCTTTCCTCTGGGACCGTGCTGTGGTACCAAAACTCAACCTCGTGGCATAACAGAACACTTTGCAAAAATCCAGGACATTTCAGGCAGAATGGAGAACATTCCCAAAGCAGTACGGCAGCCAAATGAAAAAGCAGCTTGTGTTTCTGGAGAAGGGGTAGGCAGGCATGTGAAGAAAGTTATTTGGACAGATGGAAGTGCGCTAGGTAGAAATAGGTATTTTAATGGGAAAAAAACCCAAGAACATTGTCTCAGAAGAGTGGAAGTAGACTATGTGAGCCTGGGAGTAAAATGTCCATGGAAACATAGCATCCTCTATCGCCAGGTTGTTGTGGATAAAGAAGTAAACATTTGAAATCTGCTGTGAGACGCTCTACCTTTATAGACTCTGTTCACACTCTCTTTAGTGGGCCATTATAAATCTTTATTTTTTTGAAAGTTAGTGAAGGAAGGAAAGGTTTTCCTGATTTATGGTAGAATCTACAAGTATTCATAATATTTCAAGGATGGATCTTATCCCTATCTTCTCTTGGTGTAAAGATTTTGTCCCAAGAGGCAGAAAAAGTGATACTAGCAAAGTTCCAATGGCTTAAGAAAAGCCAAGGCAATAAAATAATTAAGCTGGATTTCCTGCTGGCACTCCTTGCATGGCCAGCTTTAGATGGACCTGAAGGAGGACACCCAAGTTACTGCTGCAGTAAGATTGGTGTATGGCCCTGGGAGAACTGGGATCTTTGGGATATTCCCATGAGCAGCTCCTGGAAGAAGGAGGATGCTTAATCATCACTTGAAAAAAAAAAAAAAGGTTGTTGCTTTATTCCTAATGTGTAACTTTTCATAATTCCCTTCTCATGTATAAGGAGAAAAGGTAAGTGTGTTATTGCACAGAACATACATTTTATTTCCCTGTGTTGTTGGGTGAGAGCTCAACCTGGTGCTTTTGTTTAGAACCAAACTGTTTCATACAGTCCTTTATTCTGGACTTAGTTTGCACAAGGTTTGCAAATAACTAAAAAGTGTTGCACACCTGAATGCAGTGGTGATGGAGCACAGTAAATATAAGTGTATGTACATCAGTGCCTGATGCTCCCTCAATAATAGTCAAAGAATCCAAATGGATTTTGAAAGGGTAAGTATAGATATTTTTAAAATTTCTAGTTTATACATAAATATTGATAAGTTCCACTGAACAAACCATTAAAAATGCTTTAAATGCATTAAGATATCTTACTGAAAAGCCATTCCCACTCTCAATATCTTGGTGCTGGTTATGCTTTTGTACTAAGTCAAACAAGGAACATTGTGAGGGAGGTGGACTTGTCACTCAGAGCAGCGTGGAGTGTGATGTTTGAAACATGAAGGAGTTTAAGTGATTTCCAAAACAGAGGAAATTGGGAAAAAAATCAATGTAATAACAGCATTGTGTGGAATAGAAAAACATTTTTCTTGTTGCACTTTGCTTTGACGCTCACACAGCAATATGTGCAGAATATTTAAGAATCACTGGGAAGAACTAGCAGTGACTTTGTCCTCATGAAGCTTGTCAGGCTGGTTCTGTGACTTGCTCTCAGTGAAATCCTTTCAGGGATCCCATACCTGGGAATTCCTGCAGGATATCTGAATTCAGACAGAGTTTGGCCACCAGAGAATGGAATATTTTTTAAGGGTACACCTAAATTTCCCACAGAAAATCTGGAAATCAGCCCTATTTGGCAGTGTCTGTATAGGACACCCTAAACTTGACACTTCCCTGCACCAACCCCACTGTGGCAAGAGTTCCTCACTGAGCCAGGTAGGAAATGCACCACAGCTATTTCTGCAAGGCTCAAATTAAATCAAAATCCTCAATTAAAAGCAGGGGCTTATTCTTAGAAATGTGTTTTAAAAAAAAACAAGCATCTGAAAATAGGAAAACGGCCTGGCAACCTTCGTTATTCAATGTTAAAAAATGTTACAAACAGTATAACTTTTTTTAGAACAAGTTTTATTTTTTTTAATTTTAGCTTATAATACCAATATTATGTATTTCCTATATATTTTATATATATATATATATATATATATAGTATAATATTATATAGGGTATATTTGATGTTATAATACCAATTATAAAGTTAAAAATTATCTGCTTGGAGCAAAACAAATTGTCGTCAGCTAAATGTATTGCCTTTATGAATTATGTTTTCTTTTAGAATCAGAGCAAAACCACATTTTAAATTCTCAGAATCTTAATCAACTGGAATTCTTGTTCTGAGGAAGAATCTAGAAATATGAATATCATTTGGAGAGGAAGATGGGATCCAGCTGTTAAGGTAATCATGAGAAGGACAAAGGTGCTTCTCCAGAAAAAAAAAAGTTTGCTGCTCCCAGCAATTGAAAACTCTTAACCAAAGACTGAGGCTTTTTAAAAATCTTTATATTGATTTGGGACTTTTATATTTTTTGGGTTTATCTCTAAATGCCATTCAAAAAATAATTGTTGCAAATGTTTAGCAGAAATGGCTGTTTCAGAGGTGCATTTGAGACTTAGTAATTTCACTGTTTCAGACAAAATGATGTGCACTGAAGTGGCTGCTGCATTTGGGAGACAGTGAAAGCTCTCTTCTTCATAAATTATGACTAAGCTGAGAATGAAGTTATGTGCCAGGAGAATGTCTGCTCCTTGAATACCTTTTCTCCATAGGTTTGTGTTGATGAGTGTATTGAGCTGCATGCACAGGTATTTTTGTCCTAGTTGGAGAAAAATGGGAAGAAATGCAAAATAACATTTTTCATCTCCTAAAACTTCTAATTTAAATTTAATTTATGTCAGTTACTTATGACATTTTTAGAATAAGGTGGTTTGAAAACCTTTCAATTTTACAAAAAGATACTTTATTTTGAGCAGATAGTTTAGGTGGTTGTTTTTTAGTTTCCTTCAATTTTGTATCTGAACAAGTGTGTGGTACCAAGTAGAAGCCAGTCTGAACTGATTCGGATTGTTTAATGTAGCAAAAATAAAAAATAAATTAGAAAATAAAACCTAACTTGATTAAAAACATTCCCTTGCACATGGACAGGAGAGCAGCACACATTTCCCTTCTTAGGATTGCTCTTTCCTTCTAAACATTTACATACCTTGTGCAGAAATCAGTAACTCCTAGGAGAACTTATTGCATCTCCACCATGGGGCAGGAGGAGCTGATTCAGACCTGTGATTTGTGAAGGGAAATTTGGCAGGGACAGAGTAGGCTTGGAGAGGAAAGGCAGCCCCAGCTCTGGGGAGGCATCAGATTTGTGACTGGAGCCATCAGTGGTGTGGCATTTATGGAGAGATCCCTTCCCCAGGTTTGCCAAATGGGAACCAGGTGTCCCTATCAGCCAGGTAGGCTGAAGTCTGTTTTATAATCCACAGAGGACATCCTTTTTTCAGAGGATTTATTTAAGAAGGTGTCCAAAGTGCCTTGGTTGTGTTTCCTACAGCCAGAGCCAGAAATGTCGCTGAAGTGACTTCCAGGGACATTCCCCTGCAGGATCCCACAGCAGCTGGCTGCTGCCTCGCTTGCAATAAACCCCAAACCTCTGATGCACTGGGGAATCAAAGCCATTGACTCCTACAAACCACAGGAACTTTTTGAAGTTACCCTCAAAGATGATCAGTGAACCAGTGAAGGATTTAATGGATCAGTGAGGAGATAAGCAGAGATTTCCACTTCGATCCACAGCCTCCTGCAACAGGAGCCCTAATAGGAGCTGTGTTTTCAGACCTCCATCTCCCCACCTTAAGACCTCTCAACAGCTCACAGGAAAAATTCAGGTGTCCCTGATGCTGCTTCAGAGCAGTACTTTGCTGTTGCAGCAAATCTTTGCAAGATTTCCTCAAGAATGATAACAAGGTATATTTTCCCCCTCATTCTTGCCAAAGTTATAATGAAATACCTTGAACAGATTCTCTTACTAGTGAATCTTGAATAGAGAATTCCAATTTTCTGACCCCTGCCCCTTAGAAAGCTAATTTCTTTCAGGGACAAATGGGTTTGTATAGGAATTCATCATTTTCTCTCTTCACAAAAAAAAAAGAAAAATTCCAACGCAGAAGAAAACTCAGTCTCTGAGGATTTTTGAAGAACACAATTCCTTCTGCTTGAAATCTTTATCAGACCATCTCATTAGATGGCTCAATCTACAGCAGAAGGCTCTTTAACCAGCTGCTGCACAGACTGAGGAGCTCATGGCAGGATTTCCAACACCCCCCTTAATCATGTCTCCTAATGAGTGCTTAATGATGGAAGGGGGAAGCAGAGAGGCATTCATATTCCATTTCCTCTTTGAAATGGTTTCACCTGACCTTTCCTAAATGACCTTCAGATTAGGTTCCTAATAACTTCTAATTAATACTTTCCCCAAGCTGCTCTACATAGGAAATCTGTTTCTTACTCCTTTCCAGTGCCCAGCAATTATTGCATTCAGTCACAACTGTGACACAACACTGGTGCTGTCTGTGGGGCCACCCCAGATTTATTATTTTTAAGATGTGCAATACAAGTGCAAAATACAACTCTAGAAAAAATGAATTGATAAATTGGTGTTAGATGTGCAAAGTATATTTAAAATATTCATTTTTATGACAATAATTTTTAGCAGATTTTTGTTGGAGAGTATTAAAGGTTATTATGAATGAGTCACACTACAAAATCTGTAGAGATAAAGCTTATGCTGTCTTTCATAATCATTGCATGTTGAGTTTAAAGAAATGCATTTTTTACATTGGCAAATCCTTTATTATTTATCAATAGTAATGTTTATTGTACAATGATAATCATAATTTTGTGTGCATTTTACAGCTAAAAGTAGGCAACTGGAAAATTTCTTTTTCAAGATTTAAGGAAGAGACAGTTATATCTGGGTATAAAATAGGCTTTTCCCTAAAATTATTCTTTGTGAGTGCAAGAGTTCCCTTATTAAAAGGCAAATCTGTGATTTCATCTACTCTTTTTCTGATGAATCTTTTATTCTAAAATCCATTATATATGTAGATAGTGGAGGACTGAGATGTAATGATAGATCATTTTCCTGAGGTCCAAGCAGCAATGACATGCAAAAGCCTTCTAAGCACAGACTGTGGCTTTGGAAAAAAAAAAAAATGCGTGTAGACTTAATAAATTTCAAAGTGTGAGCTGCAAAAAAGTGACATTCATAAAATGTGAATGGAGAAGGACTTAGAAGAGGAATTTGTAGCATAGTGAGAAATTTTACAGGAATTTCTTTCTACAATTCAGGCTTTAGGAGATTATAATGCATGATACAAGAAGTTGGTAAGTTAGATGGCTTTGTGATATTTTTTAATAAATGTTACAAAATGGCACCTCTACACTTCAGAGAGTTATAGTGAGGCAGTGCTTACCCTTTTTTTGCATTAATTCACCAAAACACTAAAATTTCTCTATGGAATTACCAAGTGACCTACTATTGAGATGTTTCTACATGTGCTAAAAATACTTTCAAAATTTTTTTATATTTATTTTAGAACTGACTTCTCAGTTCTTACCTAAAAGCAGCATGACTTGGAGAGTTCAGAGACCCCCATTGCTCATACCACCATTAACATTTATAGCTTATTGGGGTTATAAATGGCAAACTGCTCAAATGCTTCCTTTTCTCTTACAAAATTATCAATATTATAACAGTGCTCCTAGGGGTGTGTGTGCCAGCAGTGTCACAATTCACACCATTCCAGCAGCAAGCTGGTGTGTTCCTTGCATGGCAGTAATGAACAGATGGCAGACTCTGCAACAAAGTGCTGACTTCAGACTTTGATCAAACAACTCATTTCACCACTTGTCAATTGTTGGGATTTTTTGAATTGTGATCAAGGTGCTTTAGGAGCTGAATGAAGTCATGTAAACCTGAGGCTAAGGCAAGTGTGAATTACTTTCTTGTTCTATGGTCTGTATTGGCACTTTTTTCTGAAAGTGAGGAATTAATCTGTTGGAAGTCATGATTGGAGTAGGAAGGAGCTGTGAACCCAGGCAGGAAAATCTCTCTTTTTATATGTGTATGCAGAAACTGCATGACTCAAACCACAGCTCTCATGTGAGCTCATGCTGAAGTCATTTCCAGGACAAGTTCTGAGGGTATTTCAGACTTCCTCTTTTGTCCCAAAGATATAACTTATGTTTTCTTATCCCAGGAGTATTGAAGCACCAGTTGTGGATTTAAGAGCATTTGAACAAAATGAAAGCTGTCCTCTAGCAGTGACCTGACATTCACTTTTTCCAATGTCACCAATCTCTATGAAATTTCATGTCATTGCAAAAAAATGTGTTTCATTTACATTGGATCTCCTATCTGTTCTGGGGTTAGCAGTGCTTCATTTTGGAGGAAGTTGTCCAGTGTCTCTTGTGCTACCTATAGTAAAGTTTCCATTCCTACAACTTCCCAGAGGATGGCTGGTTCTTCCTGCTTTTATTCCAAATGCAGCACACAGAAAAGCTGTGACTATTCTGTGACTGTTCTTGCCTTTGTGGCACTGTCACTGCAGTTATTTTAAATCTGCACTGCCCTGAGTTACTTTATCAAGTACCTACATACAATATGCTTATTTTTATTTCTCCTTTTTTTAACCATAGTGATTTTTTGGCTAAGTACTAATTGTACAGCTTTTTAGGTTTTTAGTTCTACTGCTTCTGGTTATTGTGGCTTTATGTTAATGCAGCTTTAGATGGAGCTGTTAGTGGTGAGAAGTGGTTTAATGTCTGTCCTATTAGAAAATCTAAAGAGCTTGACTCTTTCTAGGCAGTATAAACTAAACTGGTGTACTCTCCTCAGCTCTTGAAGTCTGGGGATTAAAAATCTGTGTAAATCTACTGGGATTCACATGCCTAGGCTCATGGGAAGAACAGATATTCTCTCTAGAGGAGGATCCTTCCTCAAATTTCATGACAGATAAGTAATGATAACACCTTCAAATGTCAAAACATCTATTGAAGTTGTGACAGAATTCAAATTTCTTAAAGTGATTCTGAATCTTTTAAAAATATTAGCAAAATCCATCTTTCTCTTACAGGATTTTGGGAATGGTTCATTAAATGCCAACATGTACCTGTTAAGAAGATCTACCAGATATGCTGTTGTGAGAATATTCACAAAATTTACTTCCTAGGCAAAAATCCTAATACTGGGAATGCCTTTAGGTTTGACTGGACTGGTCACTATAAACAAATTCACTTCCAAATAATAATGAAAATTTTCACATTTTCAGTTAAAGCTGTTTATCATTTGTTGCTAAAGTAGGTCATTAGCAAAATCAAATTGCAAACATCAGGTTAGAAAGGAAATTATATTTCTGAGTCTGACTCACAGACAGAAAATCTGTGACCTTTGAAGTCTTCAATTACTTCCTAGAACCTGAGTTTTCACCTCCAAATTTCTTTACTGAGCTTACTAAAGAACTTAGAGCAATCCCTCAGCTAAAGGTCATGGTGTTGTGTGGTGTTACCTGGGGTTTTATTATTTCCTCATAAACTATGACATTTATAAAATGTCAGCAGCTGAAGAAATCAGGGCTATATGAACATGGGGGAAGAGTAAAAAAAACCAACTTGTTTACTTTGGCAATTCCATCAGCAGTGGTTCAGAGTTATGAATGTAATCAAAACAAATGATATTGTTTACAGATATTTTTAATTACTGTCCTGGCTTGCCAGACGTTCATGTTGGTACACTTGGGAATAAAAATTAATTCAAATCATACTTTATTTAATAGAGAGTTTGTGCCATTTGCAGTGACCACAGAAAGCTCTCTCATGCCAGAACTAACAGTACATTCCACTTTCTGATCCAGCCAGGGCTGATCCACACCCAGGTGACTCATCAGGGGAAAAACAGATCTTCCTCATGTTCTATTCAGGTGAGGCAGGGATTATTTTGGGGTACGAGAGGGACAGTTACAGTGACAGATGCAGTACCTGAGCTGGCAGGAGGCAGTGTGTGAGATGATACAACAGGGACAGAGAGGGGGGGTGAGAGCAGCCCGGGCTGCAGCAAGGAGCTGCTTTCTGTCCTCCCGGCTGCTGCCACCTTCCCTGGTGCTCTCCTCACCCTGCTGCCCTGCACTTGAGTGCCCATTGACCCTCCATCCCACATGCCAATTTGTGTTCCCGTCAGGTGGAACAAACCCCTCTGCTTGCTAATCCCTATGCACAGGCATGAGGTGATCACACTGTGATACCAGTGAGGCACTGAGGGCTTGAGACCAAATCCACCAGTGTAGAGCAATGGAAATCCTCTCTCTTCAGTTGTATTTATTTTTTGTTTGTTTGTTTTTATTTACAGCAAGATTGGTATCAGCTCAGGTGACCACCCTGTAACCGGTTTTCCTACTTCAACCTGGTTAATTTACATTAATGCTTGATTGAGCATCCACTAACCCCTGAAACACCTGAAATGAGAGGGATAGAGAAAATAAAATCTCTGTCTTTTCAAAACTTTTATAATCAGTGTTTAGTCCCTGCAGTGAGTCAGGGAAAGGAAAAGCAGCTTTGCATCCATACTCCTTAATTCTGGATTTTAGATAGATGCACTGTGTGCATGCCCAGAGCAAGGCAGGAGGATAAAAGGCTTTGCTTAGAAGCAGGCAGAGACCTGGGCACAGCTGAGGGGAGATCCTAAAAGGAAGATTTACATCTCCTTGAAACTATTGATTTTGGTGTTTTTCTGTTAGACAAGGGAAATGTGGCAGCCCCCTGTGAGAGCAGGCACACGCCTTCCCTCGGAGGAGCTCCCAGCCAGGCAGGAGGAGACACAGCCCTGGGGTATCTGGTTGGAATTTTGGAAAGGGATTTGTAATCTCATGGAGAATCAAGAGTTTCCAGTGGCCTTACCCGAGGCAGAAGCTGGTTGGAAATTAGGAGACAGAGTGGATAAAAAGGTGGAAAAGGGGCAAAAAGGGAGATGAGAGTAGGGATGGGGAAGTAAACTGAAAAGTAGAGAAGTGAATATAGGGAGTTACAGGTATCCTACAGGGACATGTGGCAACTGCCTGATAATGATTCAGCTGGCAGAGATGGAAGTCAAACCAACAGCCAGGATCAGGCTGGCTGGAGCATCTGGAGTCATGTTGGCATGGGGGCCTTTGGTGGGCTGGGGGGTATCTAGCCAGGTGAAAATCTAGCTGAAGATCCTAAGGACTTGTGATGCATTTTCAAACAAAAATTTTGTTTAATACATGGGATTCTTTTGTCACCTACAAAGTAATAACTAATTACTATTACAAATAATAACTAATAATAACTAGGAAAAAATCCAACCTTAGGCTTATCCTTCTGTGGGGTTTTGATGACTGGTTTGTTACTTGAATTCCAAAGAATTTTTCTGATCACATATGTTTATTGTGCAAAATATATGTGCAGCTTCCTTCTGCTCTCCCCCTCCCCCCACAAATTATCATATTGATAAACAAAGCTCCCCTATAACTTGTCTGTTTTCAATTAACATCAGACCTGTGCCTTACACCCAGCAATGTAACTGATACTTCAGTTCTATTAATGCAAATTAACGTCTCTGTGGACATTCTCATTTATTTCTGGGTATCACTATGTTATATGGAATCAAAGTGTTATTTGACATTAAATAAAAGGTGGAAAATATATTTTAACATTCTAGAGCGTTTGTTTATACCTAAATGCAGACTTTGTTACAGTACAAATAATAAGCATTAATTATGTGATCACAATGGAAGAGAATGCTGACCATTACAAGAGGAAGGAGCATGAGTAAGTAATCAGTGAAGACAGGGATGGGAAGGGATGGGTCTATTTCAGGAAATATCATAAATACATTTATTCACATCCAGACTTGTTCTCTTGTCTCCTCTTATTGTCAGTGGTGAGAAACATGGCAGAGATTTACTCTTTTTTCTGAAATTGGGATCTAAACTAGTATGCTCTTTGTCTTTTTAAAATATATTTGTTCATTACTTTGTTGTTTTTTGGTTCTTTTTTTAGGAAGTGAGATTCTGATTTCATTATCAGTGCAAAATCCTTGGAGTTAGAGTTGCACAAGTAAGAAAATGGGGAGTGAGCAGTGAGTATTGGCTTTGAACAATTGGGTTGATTTACAGGGTTATGCTCTCTCTGTTCTGATGTCATTGTAATGAGGTATTGAGACAAACATGGGTTTTGCTAAGACACTGATGAGTATGGAGCTGTTTTGCACCTTTTCCCAAACATATCTTGTTTTTTTCTTGTTTAAGACAGTGTGCTGCCTGTGTTTTTGCCCAGTCTCCTATGGTTTCTGCTAAGTGCACTAATTCTTTTATTCATTCCATCATTCTCACTTGTTATCCTTGAACTGATAAGGCACCTTCACCTGCAGAGGAAGCAGGTCCTCAAGCGATAATGTGGCCTTGAAAGGAGAGTTGATTGTCAGCCATTTCTTTACATAAGTAGGTGTGTATGGGTGAGAAAATAGCTCATCATTTCCAATACAACAGCAAAGCTCAGAAGTGTTTGAAATAGACAAAATATGATCATTAAATATGATGGAAATTCAGTATTTATTGCTAATATCTATGATCACACTCAGCCCTTTTTATTAATCTGGTTGCTCTATTCTTAGATTTGGAGTTTACAGATCCTCTTTACTTGGGGCCCAAAGTCCCCTGTAACCTATAGGATCAGTGCTGATTTTGTGTTGTGTAATTGATAGCAATCATCATACAGTGCTGGTTTTGCTCTCTGTTTCAGAACTTTTAAAACTGGAAAATAATATAATATTCAGCAATTCATGATACTTTGAAGAGACCGTTTATATCACCAGGTTTAAAGATTCATGACTTGATTCTATAAATCACACTAAAAAGATTGGTTCACCAAGTCAGCCCTTGTGAAATGTTCTTTGAACTGAGAATAAAGGGTTAGAAAAATAAAACCTTCATGGCCTCACAAAGAAAAAAAATGAATTAATATCAGTTCTGTGCCTCCAGCTCTACTGTCCCTTCATACCTGAGAAGCTGTACAGCTGCCTCTGTCAGCACTTTTCCATCTGGGCCCCATTCTTGCTCACACTGCTTCACCTGTGAGCTGAATACTCATGAGCACAGTGGTACAGGACTACTCTGCTGCAAAGGCAGAAACTTTTTCAAATTTGTTTGTCCAGCTTCTTAATAATATTCAAATTTGTATTAGCGTTTTTCAAACTTTGTCAAATTTCACTGAAATAATTCACTCTTTGATTCATCTAGATGCTGCTGGAATTTGCTAAGATAGAGAAAATCATCCCAGGTAAATGCAATGTCAGGGAGGGACCAGGAAATTACAAAAAAAAATTAGATTGAAGTCAGAAGTTCTGGAGCATAAACTATGTTGTGGGCACAGCCCTTTTCTCAAGACAAGAAACACATCCTATAAAGTAAGAATAATATGCAAGTCATTAAAATAACATAGCCCCAAGAAAAAAGAATCAAATGCCATTTGACTGAATCTAAAAGAGGGTGCAGCTAAGAAGATGAAGCAGCGTTTGTATAAGGTAAATCTCCATAGAGCTAGAAGATCTAGCGAAGATGCAGCTCCATAATGAAGTGGGACTTTGGAAAGGAAAGGAATAGTAGGCAGCCAGCTGAACTCTTTCAGTCAGACTCACTTTCTGCCACAACATCAAAAGCTTGGTATGATTAAAGAAAATGACAGCTGAAGTTTGGCTTTCAACAATGTGCAAAAAGAGGACATGTATGAAATTGCCTGAATTAATTCCTGTTGTGCTGTTTGAAACCTTTTACACAGCCTTGGACTTCCCTCTGCCCTCTACAAAGGTAAATTGGGAATGTTTTTTTATGACTTCCATTAATGAAAGACACAACCCCTCATGCACCTGTTTGCCTCTCTTTCAGGATGATACTTGAATCATGCTGTCTGCCGTGCAGCTACAAAATACAGCTAGCACAGGCTCAGAAAAGTGCAGAGGAGATCAGCCCAGGTCAAGGTAGTCATGGACTTGAATTCTCTTTTTCTCCCCTCTCCTGCCTCATCACTCCTTGTGGCTTACCCCAGACCTGTGTTGCTGTTCCTTGGGCATAGCCTATGTGACAACAGCCTTGGATATAAAACACACTTTTTAGCCTCCTCTTGGCTGCTTCATAATTTAATTAATTATTATATTATTATGTCGATGCTGTTACAGCAGTCATTGATATTATTATATAAGTTATTTCAAACATGTATTTTTTCTTTTCCAAACTTGAGCAATAGAGACAAATCCAGATAAGGCATGATGTCAAGAGGGCCTCTCTAAAGACAGAGGAGGCCTTCTGGACATCATTCCTTATCTGTAACCCCCTGCTGACCCCCAGCACACTTAAGCCTGTACAGAACAAATAACAGCGTAATGCTGACCATTGTCCCCACAGCAAGGGAAAAATAAACAGCAGCAGCAAAACCTCAAACCCAGCCACCTACTGTGAATCCAAGTGAAACTGTTTTGGAACACACGATCCCTCTGTCCTTAGGTGTTTGGAGAGGGATGCCTTTGATATATAGCACTGATAAGAGGCTTATTCCATTAAGCTACAGTGATTCTCACTTTCATGCATCATTTGACAGAGAAAATGAGAATTTGCAGAAGTAATAGCTAATGTAAAGTATATCATGTTGCAGTGCAGTTAGACAGGTAGGAAATAAAGTTTATGTATTATTTCATAGAGTGGTTTGCACATTTTATTGTATGTGCGCAGAAGAGATCTTTTAGGGTCATTTTTTGTTCCATACCAAACTTAAAGCTGCTAAGAACATTGGGTTTGGATCAGGATGTATCCTCTTAAGAGAGGGTACGCTTTCAGTTTCACATAAATATTCTTACACAAGTCATAAAGGTTAAATTAAAACTGGATGAAGAAAAGGAAAGCTGGAAACAGAAGCATGAGGAAAATGAAATGGTAGTTGACTTAAATAACAGTTTCACATAGTTCCACACCCTACCTTACATCTTCTGACACACACAGACACCACCCTAAAGCTGAAGAAATGCTTCTGTGACATTTTTTAGGGCTATTTCCAAAGCTTCTCAAACTGGTTCTCACCCTGCTAGCTGAAGTTCACACTGAAGAGGGATTTCTTCTCCATGCATTTCTGCTTATGAGAGGATGGCATTGCAAATATCAAGAAAGTGCATTTTAATTCATGCCTTTGATTCCCAAGACTGGCAATGGGTAAATCATTTGTTGCACAGTGAGTTGTGCAAGTCACTCGCAGTGGCAAAATATATCACAACCTACTAGAATTTCCAAGATTTTTGGACACATCATAAGCTCTAAGGTGGTAGGTATTTTATTTCTGCTGCCCTTTCGTGCATCCATAACTTGATGGTTCTTGTGAGCAGTAATGTGAATTGTCTAGCAGAAGAACCATTTACTATTATTTACAAAACAATTTCTACAAGGGGATAAAGTGACTGTGGCAGCCTCTGTAAGGAAGGAAATCATAAGCACTGTTTTAAATTGTAGTATTTGCATATTTGTGCATAAGAAATTAGGGGGGTGATGTAAGGAATTTGATTATTTCCCACACTTCAGAACAAGATACGAAATAAAGGAAGGACAAAAGCTGAATTGCAACACACCATGGTATTAAAGGAAGGAAATTTAGCTTAAGGAAAGTTAGTTTTTCATGAACACACCTCAAGTATTTTTACAAATGCTGAGAGTCTCCTGGAAACTTCTCCTATATTAAGAATGTTTCAGCTGCACCAAAAACCAATCAAAACCTTTTAAATTTATTTGAAAATTGATGGTTTTCCCCTCTGCAGCCCTTAAGCAGAAGATATAAAGGAGAAAATAGTAGGAGTGTGTGTGTATTGGTTCAGTAAGTGAAGCAGTATCCTGGGATGTGTGAAACCCAGGTTCATTTCACTGGTCAGTGTGGTTTGAAGGGAAAAGTTCTTTTCTAAGCCCATGGACATAGCACCAAAACAGGTGAATTAAGGGACTCTGCTACATGCCAGGCAAAGTGAACAGCCAGCTTGTAAAAGGGACATGCATTTTTTTATCAAAATTTAGTTAGAAACTTTCAATTGATTTTTATTTTTGCCATAGGTAGAACAATAGAATACTTTATTACTTCCATAAGGTTTTCTTTACTTCAATCCTAACCATAAAAGTTGATATTAAAATATGGTCAGGTTTTCCAAAAGTCTGGCTGCTTTGTTTATAGCGACCTGCTTATCTCTAAATTTAGCACACATTATTGTTGTTACGGTTCTCAATGCTCTGTTCTCCTTCCTTATACCACACTATTGTATTTCAGTCATGCAAAGGCTGAAAATGCCTCATTGCTTTTACAGTAAGAAAGAAATTTGCAAGTGGTCACAGAGTTCTAGAGTTGCAGCCTTTGCTTTTTTACATCACTTGATCCTCTGAGGACAGCAGTGAGCAGTTGTTCTTTCTTCCTTTGGAATCTTTGGTTATGAGAGAAATACCCAACAAAGAGAGAAATCTGAGAACTGGGAAGGTCTGTACAGCATCACTAATTTTGCTTTCCACTGCTTTCTTTGCTGAGTGTGGCTTCTCTTTTTCTGCTACTTCCATGTTATGACAAATAACTCCTACATTTCAAAACTATGGAAACTATGGTTCTTACTATATGTGACAGTGATCTGCAGTATAAAACTGATTTATAGACCATGTAAACAAAATAGAGGAGCTCAGGGTGTGGTAGAAAAAGGAAGAACATTAGAACTCAGGAAAAAAATATGCATGTCTAAATGCTTCTTTCTGTACTTGCCTTGAGGCAATTTTTAACTACATTTATTTTCAGCTACTACATTACTTGGTGTAGCAGAAACCACTAAGAGAAATAGAGAAAGCATAACTGAAGAATAATGCAAGTCATCAAAATAGTCATAGGTTTTTACCACTTTGTGTACTGATTTTAGAACATTGCAGACATCATTGCTTTCCTAGGCCAGCCATATGCATCAAATATGCTGTAATCAATTTTTCATAACTTCCAATTCTGTTGCTCACATAACTTCCTAGTAGACATCATAATCTTGTCTTTAAAACATAGCAGTGTAATCCAGAACCGTGAGGAAAATATTCTGAGTCTTTGATAAGGAAGTAACAGTTTAGCTTCATGTTTAAAAGCTAAATATTTTTAGTGGCTGATGTGATCTTTTTTTACAGTGTTTGACAAAACTGTAGATTAAACCCTCTCCATTGTTCACAAATGATGTGAACTAACTATGCTTGTAGAAACAAGTTCACACAACTCCTCTGATGTGAATTCCAACCCAGTCAAGAGGATCCCACAAAACTGTGCTAGAGTCCTACTGCAGTGTAAACCCATGACATAAGGAAAAAAGGGTATCTTATTCTTCATTTCAGAATCCAGCCTGAGAGGTGACCAAAGAACTGAAAGGTACCTCCTTATGGTAAGTACAATGGACTGAGTGCAGTGTCTTGATTAAGGTTCACTCTATTCCTGTGCTCTCCTTAATGACCAGGAAAGTACACTTTCTGCAAGCTTTGTAAAAGGGATTTTGAAAATTGAGTTTTCAAACTCAGGAACTCTGTCCACAAGAAGTGCAGCTTCTTTTGAACCAAAAATACATATGAAATAATTTCAGTGCAATCAGCTCAGTCATCACAATCCATTGTTTAATATAGAAGACACGTGCATTTTCTCTTGGCACAGTTTATGCATAAATTCATTCTGAACTGATGAAATTTATTGGTAAATACTCCAATTTACTTTCTTGTTTCTGCTTTTGATGTTTGAAGTACTCAAAAGTATGTGCTGTAAAGACTGCATGATACATTCGAAGAATTTGTGGATACTTTTTTAAAGACTGCTGACTTAAAAGTGATGTTTGTTTAGGTACCAGACTAAAATGACAATTTAAATATCATTTTTCTACAGGAATATAAAAAAATGTTCTGGTTTATTACAGTGGAGTATTTTCAGAGGGATCTGTTGTAGGAAATAATGATTTGGCTGTCGTGGACAATAAGAAGGCAAACTCAGATGCTGTAAACCAGACATTCTTCCAATAAAGCTGAACTGGTACTTGCAGCTGGTTTTATGGAGACTGATAACATGGATTTTATGACTAATCTGTAACGTGAGCTGGGTATTGGCCAGTGACAAAGGGAATATCCTCATGGTCCACTGCTATTATCAGTGATGTTACAGCACCATCTACAGGCCCAGCCGAGACTGAGGCACGATAAAGGAATGCCATTACACCCACAGAATAATTATTAGTTCCTCTTTGAACTAATGCATACAAATACTTTAAACCAGTTATGTATAACCGAAGTACAGCTTGTAGAGCCTCTCATCCCAATGAAAACTCCTCTGTCTACTGTGTAACCTGAACATTTGTGGCCAGAAAAGTGAGTCCTGTTTGTATTCATCCTTCAGTCCCGTATGATTCATATGATCATTTCAGTGCATGCTTATTTTTAACCTAATGTGGGATTTAAGACATGATACAAACCCTTATTTCCCCTTGTAATGCAAAGTCATAATATGAGAAAAATCTTCCTTCCCAGAATTTCTTTTTTAAAAATCAGCTCAGAAGCTATTTTGGGTTTAAGAATACTTGTAAGAAGTTCCTGTTTTGAAGTACCTTTTACATACCAAAATTTTGCCCTTTTATGACCCATTTTGCTGAAAGCTGTCCAAATGAGACAGTGCAACTGCCTGCCCGTGGCAAATATATGACAACTTGCTAAATATCTCCTAAATTAATCCTTCATGACTGTCAGGACTGAGAGTGAATCCCTGGGGGTCCAGCAGATTTGTCAGGAAGAGTATAGTTTAGATATCCTCACTCAGGGAAGTAAAAGTGATTTTAAATTTTATTTAGCCCTGCTCTTTGCATCTTCTCATTATTTTAGGAATGAAATGTGAGGATGTGGTTTTGAAACAGTTATGCCAGAGGACCAGACACCTTTGCATCTGGAATTGCAGATGCCTTTGGCCAAGTTAGATGATGAAAGGTAAGTGGATCACTATGCTAGTATTTCTTTGGAATAGTCTAAAAATGAGGATTTAATCTGTGTGGAATTCATGGCATATTTTTCTCAGTAAGACATAATTCTTTACATATTTTTCATTACAAGCCCTGAATGAAGATGATTTCCCCCCTCATTTATGGCAGCTTATCTTTAAAGGTTTAGAAAAGAAGCACAAACCTAAAAATACAGATGGTGAAAGCTGTGCCTGGATCAGGTACTCTTGACAACCCTGGGAGCTCCAGTGGTCAGCATCACCTTGTGTGTCCTTGTGTAGCTTTAGATAGTGAAATTATTTAACAAATACAGCAGCACATGGACTGGAATTGAGATGTACACAGTTACAACTGAAAGTCTCAGCTGATCTCCAGTCTGTCCTCCCAGCACCCAAAAATCCAGTGGTGCCTGTGTTTCTCAGGGTCTCTGTGTAGTGCCTCTGCCCATGCTCACAGCAGCAGCTGTGTGGGAAAGGCAGCCAGCTTCTCCCCATCTCCCCTAATCTCACCCCTGAGTCAGAGCAAACAAGGTGACATTTTGATTTCATCTTCTGGAGAGCTGAGGAGCTTTCATTGCTCATGCCTGATGTGTAAGAGTGACATTCAAATGCGTGGCAGCACCCACAGGAGATGAAGGCAGCACTCCATCCAGGAGAGGACAGGGCTGGTTCAGTGCCTCTCCCAGCCAAGGGGCTTCTGCTTTTCCTGGTCCTGTGTTCTGGCATTCTGTGGTGAGTCCATGCCCTGAAGAACATGGGGGACACATGGTCCCACTGGTGCAGGAATGTTCCCAGCCCCTGCAGGGAATGAACCCCTTGAATTACTGCCAGTGGCAGATGAACAGGAACACTCAGGACTTCCCATGTGCACATCCCCCTGTGCAGACAATGCTAGGAGCTTGTGTTCTAGCAAATACTGAAGCTTTATAAATGTCATTTTCAGCTGAATTAAATTACAAAAGTTCATGATTAACCAGGAGATGAGGCAAGAAAGACTTCAGCATCCTGCAGCTTTTATAGGGCTCCACATAAGGCATTAGGAGACACTAATCCTGCAGATGAGTTGTTTATGAACTAGCCACACATAAACATCCATAATTAAATTTATGTTAATTTTTGTTGTAACTGATCTAAGTAACTCCTTATTGTCAGAACTTTTAATTATAAAATATAAATTAGCTAAACATCTCTAATACAAATAGCTATTCTAATTTATTCCAATTCCAATAAAAACCTAGCCAAGTACTAAAGTTAATAAAGAAAAGTGATGCAGTTCTTGTTCTAGTGCCCATGCTAAATTTAGTTAAGAATCCAGACACAGCTGCAGCAAACAAATATTGAATCTCATGTTTCCAACCTATGTCTAAGCTACCTTTTCTTTGTTTGTGTTGAATATAAACTCTCTCCTTGCTGATTCCAGATCTTGAACTGATTTTTTCACACTGCCCTATCTACATGTTAATAAAAATTACAGTAAAGGTAAATGAGATAGCAAATCGCTGTAGTATAATTATTTTCTGTACTATGCTCCCAAGCACTTAGTTATATATGTACTAACTACTGTTAATAGTTAGTTTTTCATTCACATGGATACTGAGTGATCAGGTCAGTTAACAGGATAGAGGGAGGAGTTTTGCTCTAGCTCTTTCAAGCTGGAACAGCAAATTGTGTAGTGAATTACTTCTGTTACTCAATTCCTTTCCACAACCATGTGGCCCAACACCTGCTAGTTACCTGTCTATTTCTGCAGTAAATAGCTGTTCTGTTTTGAGTATGTTTTTATGGCCCTGAAATAGAAGTATAGAGAAATGTAGACATGGGATGATAACCAAGGAAAAGTGTGACCAATTACTTACTGCAATGAGAATAGCTGCACAGTTGGCAGTGCATAAAGCTGGATTCAGTCATAGTCATTTAGTCAAAGAACACAAGGAGGACATACCCAATGTCAACACAGCATGTGTAATAAAATCAGGCTTCATGTGCAACTGAGAACCTAGAAAGAAAAAGTGTTGTCTTGCCAAACATGTGGAAATTATCACTCCTGGGTTCTTGGGCAGCAAAGGCACTGCCATCAACAGCAGGATGTTCTGTGTGGTAGAGACTGTGGGGCACTGGCAGTTTGCCACAGACTCCTCTCCTTGTCCATCTCCTTGAGAAAAGCTGGTGCCACTGACTCGGGAGGGGCATGGAAGAAGGTGAATGTGACATGAGAGAAGAGAGGGAGGTACGAGGGACTGCATGCAGAACTATTTTCCTTTCTTCACTCTCCCCTTTGCTGATAAAAAATTAAACTAGTAGCTGTCTTCTGATAGGACAATTTTGTTAGACTAACAAGAGATTCTTGGCTTCTTGCAGACAGTGTGCTTCCCTTTTGTCCCATGACAGGCTTTGTTGCACTTCACTTCCATAAAAGCAGAGAGGGAATTGTACTGTTCATAGCTGATTAATTATATGGCAGCCATATTTCTGTAGGCACTTTAATAAAAAAATTATATAGCAGATAACTAGGGACAAGCAAATTCTAGTATAGCTGTTGCTGTTCGCTTCTCTTTGGAGACTGTTTTTAAATCCAATGTGCACTTGTGCAAAGAAAAAAAGAACCTAAAATTCTTCTTCAGTTTTTCACATATTTGTTTTTTTTTTTTTTAAAGTATTAATACTCCAGTGGGGGGGGGAGGGGGGAAGGTGCTATTCCTCTATAAAATTAGCATTTTGATGAGATTGCTTCAGTCTATGTGTAATTCAAATCACAAAAGGACATATACAAAGATTTTACACTACCCTAGCAGAAAAATACTTTATGCATTTCTTAAATTAATTCCATATGCTCCTTAAATATGTGCAATTGTTATTAATATACTTCAGTGCTTTATGCAAAGTGCTTGATTCTCTTCACAGTTAATTAAGCCCTCTGCTATTCAAATTGCTGTAATCATTGTAACAGGCAATGGTTTTAAGGATCACGGACCATGTCTTTTACTCATAAAAATCTTATTTTAAACTTTGAAAAACCGAGTGTAGGTCTTTCCAAGAATACATATCAAGATAATTTTATTTCCTCACTCTCTCTTGTCTCTAGCACGGATCCATGTCACACCTCAGCAGCACATGTTTAGGTGAGTTTCTGCATGTAACCACAGAAGGGAAGGGTTGCCTGGGTTCTCTGGGAAGCCAAGTGGTGCAGGTAAGAGGGAGCACAAGCAGCTCTCTGCTCCTTGTGTGGTTTCAAGACAGCTATTTTCCACCCATAACCCAATAACAAAATAGCACAGACAGAAACTGCAGCATCTCTGATGCTTCCCTTTGGAACCACCGAGAGCAAGTGTCACTGCAATGCCCAACTTCATCCTCCAAATACTGAGGCATGGAGGATTGAAATTCAACACAGGATTCAGAAAAGAGGGGTGGAACAGTTACAGGTTCATCTCTCAGACTCCAGGGCTGTCCCTGGGAGCCCCTAGACAGCCTGCAGGAGGTGGGGCCAGGGCTTTGCACAGCCTGCTCTTCCCAAAGGAACGGTGAGCCTGTGCTGAGCCAAAGGGCTGCGGAACCCTGGCAGAGCCCTGGTGGAGCTCCTCGCCAGGAGTCACTGCCTTTGGTCCAGGTGGGTGCATCTCCTGCTCCTCCCCAGTGCCCATCTCCTGCTCTTCCCCCACTCCCCACCTCCTGCCCCTCCCCACTCCCCAGCCTAGTCTTTTTTGGACATTTCACCTAAAAGCTGGCTTAACTAAGCCAAGGCCAAGTAGCAGAGATGCTGTGATTTGTTTGCCAGCTGGCAGTTTGGGATTAAATCAGCCCTACCTCATGCTTTCTGGCAGCCTTCAAACACACCTAGCATTTCCTCAAAAGATTACTTAGAAATTTGCCATTTGTGGGAGCACCTTCAATGGCCTGCACTTCAGCTCCTTACTTCAAGAATTTGGGAAAATATCAATGCATTGCTACGATGGGAGGGGTTGGTATTCTCAATTTTATATCCTTCCAAAATCTGTGATGGGATAGGGTAGAATTAGAACATTGTGAGGTAGATTTTCACTCATGAGCTCTCAAATCTGTCTTTTTTAATAAAGGCAACGATAACATAAACAGGAATGAAAAGAAAACAGTACCATATTAATTTTACCTTTTTTCCCTATGCCTTTCCTTTTTCTTTATTCCTTTTCAGTCATCTTCTTCCTTTTTATTACTTTAATAAGGCCTAATTATGGGGGGGGGGGAGTTTAGCACATATGAAGTAATTTTAAAATCTGAATGTAGTTAAATGTGTGTGTATCTGAATAAGCAGTGTATCCCAAGGCAGCCTAATATGCACTGCATTTTGCTACACAATTGGTTTTAGAAAAATAATTTTCATAATTACAATTGGTTTGGTTTAATGGTATGGATAATTATTGTGGGTAAACATTTATTTCTAAAGTATTTTTCTTTTTCTGTAAAAAAATTTAGTAGAAAAGTCATATTGTATTTTGTGAGCTTCTTGGCATTTTAAAAAGTCGTAACAAGATAAACGATAACTAATTTTGAAGACATAGATACTCTTTCTCTTTAGCAGCATGAATTTTCTACTAATCTTCTAATAACTCAATCAAATTTAAACAATAAATATTCTAGCTACCTCTTAGAAAAGTCTTCTCTGAATTTTCTGTTCTTTCCACAGTGGAACTAGGATTTCATCTAATGGAATTGCACTGTCAAAATAAACAAAAGTCAAACACTTTGACAAAATATTTTTGGCTTCTTCAAGAAAACTGCAGTACAGAAGTACACTTAGAACATTGAAAATTATCTTCTGCTCTTTTATTTTGACATGCTGCAATTCTTATATTTCAAATAACAGTAAAGCAGTTAATTGGAACAGAAATGCCTCTCGACTTCTGATGTCATCGTGACCATATTCTTTCTTACATTACTTTGTTTTTTGGATCCTGGATGTTTAATATGTTATGATGCCAAAACATACTGTTTCTAAACAGCTAAAAACATAAGAAAGATTGCTAGAGCTATGCTATTACTTGCTGTGTTCTTAATGTTTTGTAGATGTGTGGTACATATGAGCTGCATTAAACTACTGACCAGTTTATCACAGTTTATTCACCACACACATTTATTTGTGCCCTTTTTCTCTCAACCTCCCCAGCTGGACATTCCTTGCAGGTACTGTGGCCCTTGGAGAGCTCTCATTAGAGCAGATTTGTTTGAACAGGAGAGGAATAGGGAAGGACCTTGACCCCCAACCCTGTTCTGCTGCTGAAGGGGCAGGAAAAGAAGTTGAGTTGAGCCCAGCAAAAGATGGGGGGGAGCTATTGGGTTTTATATTTGTTTCTGTTTCTCACTATCCAAATGTATTTTAAATAGCAATACATTTAAATTCATCTTGGCCAGCTTTGTTCTGTCCTAGATGGTGTCCACTAAGTGATCTTTCTGCCCCTTATCCTGGCCCATGAACTCTTTCTTCCTATTTTCACCCCTTGTCCTCCTGAGGAGAGTGGAAGTGGGGTGAGCATGTGGGTGAGTGTTTGGATGCTGGCCAAAGCTTATCCACCATACAATATTTACATTTCTATTAAACAAGATCTATTTTACTCAGATTAAATTATAGTTGAGCATAAATTGATTTTTTACTTTGCATTTCTGTTGCATATTCTAAAATTATTAAATCTCTTCTTATAGGCTGTCTCTTTATTGCTACAAGTGACAGAGTATTTTTAAACTTATCAAATAGGAAGATGAATGTCCTGCTGCATTTTCCTTTATGTTGATACACAATTCCTCTGGAAAAGACTTTAAACAGCAAGTCAAGGACCTTTGAGCTTGTCCTCTGATTCTCCATGGGAACAGAGGTAGGATCTCTGATTATTTCAGTCCTCCTAAATCTGTAATTTCTTTGTGGATCAGCAACAAACTGCTAAAGAATCTACCAAAAAAACCCACATGGTTGTATGACTGGGATGAATCTACAGTTTCAAAGATGATGGTAAAAAGTGTTTAATTTTGCTGTTTGATTGTGAACTACACATTGCATCTGTTAAAAAGTTTTGGTACAAAAAAATCTGAAAAAAACGTGACTTACTATACTTTTGCATGTCCCTTTCAAATACATGTAGAGACCAGAAAAGCACTTGAACACAGTTAACTTGCCCTTCTCTGTTTCAGGCATTCTTTACAGAGATAGTTGCTGGCAGGGGGCACTTCATATCCAAGTCTGTCTGCATTAATGTTTTATAGAGCCCAGACAATCACTTTCAGCCATGCTTTAAATTTTTGATTTATCATAATAGCCTCCAATGCTATGAATCCATAATCAATCATAATATTTCATTAACTCTGGATGATTCAATTATGTGACAACTTTTTGTAAAGCCTACAGGAACTTAAAATGTCTTTATATTTTACAATTATTTCAATATTTAATATAGATCTGAATAATTTCTGTTCTATCTGATGAAATTATTACTTTTAATAGTGTATTTATTTAGTTTCATTTATTTCTTACTGTTTCTATCATACTGTATTTCTCTTAGGAAGAAAAGCCTGAAAATTTAATACAGAAATTTTAAATTTTTTTTGTCTTTGATAAAAATTTTTGCAATTTATTCTAAAATGAAATAATAGGACTCTTTTAATAATAAGAAACTGAAAGGAATCCTGAGGAATTAGAAGACTGAAGGCGAGTTTTATCTTTGTGTCACGGAGGAAAACAATTAGCTGCTATTCTAACAAAATATCTGCACTTATTGTGCATCTTGTTACAGCTACCAACATGAGCTGTTGGAGTGGGTTCTTCTGTCCCATGGAATGCACCAAGAGAAGTCTTTTCCTGTTTTTCACCATCTCTTTTACAATATATTTGATTTCCTCTTTTTATACTTCTCCTCACCTTGCTGCTCGACCTAAAAGTAATGGTCTTCACATGGAAAGTGAAAAGAGTTTATTTAGAAAATTATCTATAAATTTCAAACAAATCTTAGGGAAACAAAATGGAGAACTACCACCTGAAAATGAGAAATCTGGGAATAAAGCCACGCCCACTCCGACACGGCCATTTGCATTCATTATTAACAAAGAAGAGAAGTGTAAAGATAGAACACCTTTCTTGGTATTGCTGATATCAACAGCAGCAGCCGAGCTGCAGCACAGAAAAGCCATCCGGGAGAGCTGGGCGAGCGCAGCCGCGGTTCCCGGCGCGGACATTGTTCGGCTGTTCATGCTGGGCAGCGACCCCAGGGGTGACAAAGGGGACGTTCTGCTGAGAGAAAGTGAGCAGTATCATGACATCATCCAGCAGGACTTCCTGGACACTTACAACAACTTAACTCTTAAAACTCTGATGGGCATGAGCTGGGTGGCCACCTACTGCAGTGGCACGAGGTTTGCTATGAAGACAGACAGTGATGTTTTTGTCAACACGATGCACTTGATTGAAAAAGCTCCTCAGGCCTCTCCTGCCTCTCACAGAGAATTATTTCACAGGCCATTTAATGACAGGGCACAGCCCTATTCGGAATAAAGCCAGTAAATGGTACATATCAGAAGAAGAATTCCCAGAAAACAAATACCACCCTTTTTGTTCAGGAACTGGCTACGTGTTTTCTGGAGACTGGCTGCAAAAATTGTAGATGCTTCTTTAATGATTAAATTTATACATCTGGAAAATGTTTACGTAGGGTTTTGTCTTAATGCAAAGGGAGTAGAAATAGCACCATCTCCTAAATCGCTGTTTAACATACACAAGGTTCCATTTTCTCCTTGTGCGTACAATGAGTTAATTACATCTCATCACATTGAGCCACATGAGCACATACTCCATTGGGAAACACTGCAAGAGAAGAAACACACATGTCAGGAAAGAAAGGTCCATCCTGGAGCATCCTAGGAACTTGCTTTGACAATGGGCAAAGCAGCAGATGTTTTCTTAGTAGCAACAGAACACCTGTGTAATGATAACTTTCAAGGTCCACGGACATCCTGAATCAGGTGCCTAGGTTTTGTATTAGGTTGAATTCAAAGGATTTTTCCTACATAAAGAAGCCTTTCTCTGTTGAGTGAATTCTGATTTACCTTATTTAGTTTTGGATGAAGCATCAATTAATTTTTAAAGCCAGCAAGAGACCATATCAACCCTACTGAAGAAAAAGCAAAGACAATGCAATAAAACTTGTTCTTTCATTAAAAATGAATAAGTTCATGTGTTAATTTCATACTGCTTGATGTAATTTGCCTATGTACCATTAAATGTACTCATGTGGCATTCCAGTGTGACCAAAGAAGGAAGCATACAAGATATCCTGTGCTGGGGAATTAGTGCCAGAAATGTGGGCAGAAACTGCGTCTTCAGAAAATCTAACATTAGCATTTCCGAGATCTCAGTGCCCAGAGTGGCTACTACTCTCTGTGGTTATATATACATAGAAAACCTCACACACAAGATACCACTTATTTGTTATCATGGAGATGTAACAAAAAGAGGAAAATTAAATGCAGATAGACTGACCTGTTAGTGATATATTAAATTGCATTTTAGGGCATTCGGCTGTGTACAAAATATCATCATAGTTAAGTAAAAAATAAGATGGTGCTTACTAACCTCAGAAGATAAAAGTTTCAGTCCAAATCCAAATCCCTATCAGACGCACATGGAAATCAGAATGTCAATCACATGAATACCAGACACTTCAGCTGGAAGTGAAAAGTGAGTATACATTATATACATCCCCAATGACATTTTGTAAATGTACATGATGGTGTTTCATGAAGAAGCCCCTGAATCCTGCAGTGCAGTCTTTGTGTGCTCTGTGCAGCTCCATTCCACCTAGGACTGACAGACAGTGGGAACCTGTGGTGCAGCCACTGAACACAATGCATTTCTCCCTTACAGGAATTTGGTCTTAGACCTTTTTATTAAGGAATATTATTGCTCAGCTAATACCTACACAGGACAATTTTTCTATCTCAAATGGGCCCCTATTCATCTGGACTTTCAAGACCTTTTTGCATTTAGCTCGGGAAAGATACAGCTAGCAAGGACAACATTGCCTCAGGGCTTTCCTGGCCCTGAGGTCTCTCCATAATTTCTGAAATGTTAAGTTTTACAGGAAATTGTGTTAAAAAAATTAGTCTTGTTGGACATAATATGTTGATTACTTGATAGAAACCATGACATCTTGTGATGCCTAGACAGGCTGAACCTGGAACAGAGACTAGACAGAACTAAAGGAATAAAGTAGGTATTTGTTAAAAGGTCCTAATGGATACACCTTGGGCAGTACAAGAGCCTGCCCAGGGCTACACCCAAAATAGACCCAAAATGGTCACAAAAATGGATGAATGGTCACGAGGCCTCTCACATTTATAAGTCTTGGTCCATTGCATATTGGGGTTGTCCAATTACAGCTTCAGGTTGTGAAGTTCCATCCTCCTTGTTGCTCTCTTCAGTTCTCCATTGTTTATACTTTTGGGCCTGAAAATTGTAATGGTTGTCCTTGATCTCAAGCTGGAATAGGATTGTTTTGTCTACCTACCTTGTGAAGAGAACTTACTGATACTTCATATGAAGCTCATAGCTACACCCCTAGGCAGCGCAGAATCTGAAAAACATGAAAGCTAAAACTTAAGGCATCACTTGTATAGCTGACAACTTTATCTTGCATTAAACCATGCAATGAGCTCAACTCTGCAGTCTGTTCCCTGTACCTGGGTGGGGAGTACCAGGTCACGCATGGTTGTGCAGTAACAACCCACAAAGGTGAGCAAAACCCAACAAACTCAACCCTCGCATGTTCTCCTATTGCCTGGATGGCAATAAAGTTCTCCAGGTCATTCAGTAATTCCTGAAGATGGGGCCCAGCAGAAAAGGACTTGGAGATGCTGGCTGAGGGCAGCTGACCAAAAGCCAGCTGTGCCAAGGTAGCCAAGGATGCCAAGGGTATCCTGGTTTTTATCAGGGACAGTGTGGCCAGCGGGACCAGGGAAGGGACTGTCCCTCTGTTCCCAGTACTGGTGAGGCATTACCTCAAATCCTGTGTCCAGCTCTGAGCCCCCCAGTCCAAGGAAGACTTTGAGACGCTGCAGTGAGTCCAGAGAAGGACAACTGAGCCTGGAAGGGCCTGGAGTACAGGTCTGAGGAGGAGCCTGGAGGGGAAAGGAGGCTCAGGGGAGACCTTATCCCATTCTACAACTGCCTGAAAGGAGGTCATAGAAAGGTTGGTTTCTTCTGCCAGCAACCAGAGACAGGATGAGAGGAAATGGCCTCAAGCTGCAGGGGAGATTCAGGTTGGCCATCAGCAATAATTTCCTCATAGAAAGGAGCTGTCAAGCATTTGAACAGGCTGCCCAAGGAAGTCGTGGAGTCAACATTGCTGGAGGTGTCCCAAGAAGTGACAGGACATGGCATGTGGCATTCAGTGGTGTGGTTTAGTTGGCATGGAGGTGCTTGGTGAAAGGCTGGACTAAATGATCTTGGAGGCATTTTCCAACCCTAATGATTCCATGATTGTATAAGATAAGGTAATGGAGGCTTCACCACAACCTAAAGCTGAGTGCACAAGCAGCATAATCACTAATAAGCATTAACAAAGACTTGCCAGCTGTACAAATAAAAGGCTATAAAGATACTAATTCATGGCTTTTGTTTGGAGTCTGTGGAGTCTGCCACACCACTGTACATTTATGGAAACAGTGAGAGTTTATAAATCCTAGAAGGAATAAATACCAAACCTAAAACTATTAAAAGCTATAGACTTGCCAGCTATACCAGTTCATCAGCCAGCCTATACTGGTGAAAGGATACAAGAAATAGGAGAAGTAATCAGTACGATCAGTAATTGGTGTGCACATGAAGTAGTACTTACTCTTTCATTTCCATGCTTTGCCTCCCAGTCTCTCTGCTGGTTGGCATGGGCCAGTTCCAAATCATAACAGTTTAAAGTCTAGATTTTATAGAAAATTTAGTTCACAGGAATGTCAAATGCTTGGTTTTTTACTTAATGAAATAGAAATATTTGCCTTCTTAGGAGGCAAATATTTATATCTTAAGCTTCTTAGGAGTTTATATTTGTGTTGAATTACCATTATTGACATCCTTGCATTGGCAGTGGAGGAAATAATTAAGTATATAACAATATTATCATTAATATTTTTAATTAGCTTCAGAAAATGAAAAGAAGCAAAATCTGGGTCATATCTTGTAACTTAATATGAATTATTAACTCATTTCCTGTATCACTGCAATGCATATTCTATACAAGCACAAGGAACAGAGGCTGAAATTTTGAAGTGCTACTCTTTAGACATTTATTCATTGTACATCTGTTTCAAGGTGCGTAGGGTTGTCTCTAATAGAATATCAAGAATATGCAACCATATTTTATGCATATTTCTTAGTTTTATAAATTCTGCATTTATAGCACTGCCTTGAAGAAGTATTTTTATAACCTTGAGGTACAAATTTATGTACCTGCATAGAACTGCTTCATGTTATTAATTCATTTCCAGATTTTAGTGGCTGGTTTCCATTGGATATCAAGCAGAATTCAATGCTGCAAAATCTCATGTCAGTGTTCCAAAATTACAGAGTGATTACTTTCAGCCCTAATTCTCTAGAAACCAGAGAATTGTGTGTTACCTCTGCTGCACTTGATGTCATTTCAGTTTTCCTCCTTTGCTGAAGCCTAACATTTATTTGTTCTTTAGCTTTTTTTGGTGCACGGGTAAATAAAGCGGTGTAATATTCAGTAATTTGCATTTGTATACTTGTTATACTTGTTTGGAAGTTGTTAAAGTGTAGTTGTGGTATAAAGTTGTTTGTGAGAGAGAAAATATCTATGCTGGGAAATAACTGATCTTAATTACTGAGACAAAATGTCACAACTTCAATAATTCATTTCCATTGCAAGTTTCAAAAACTCAAGAACTTCATGCTTTTTACTTTGTACCTGAATTCATGTGTGTTGTGGAATTGGAGTGAAACAGTTAATGAAACACACTGCATGCCATTGAAAGAGTTCTTGAGACTTTTTTTATTGCAGACTAGGTAACACATTTTCATAGGTTCCGGCTTTGCTGGAAATTCCCTTGAGAATGAAGCAGTTGTTATCAGCTAGCGCTTCCCTGTCTGGGTCAGTGACTTGGTACCAAACTGCTTGGGCTGTGCTAAGGCAGTGCTGGGGAAGAGGGCCATCTTTGGGTTGTTGACAGAAGTGAGCCAGGAGGAAAAATACATACAGTTAATACAGAGAGAAATAATCTTTTTTTTCACAGCTCCACATTTCTCCCTCTACTGAGTGCACTGTTGCCTGCTCACACCCCTCTGTTCAACAGTCATTTGACCCTGCCCATTCTAGAACTTCATCATCCCTTCTCCAGCACTGAGCCTTGAGACTCCTGTTCCTCAGTCTGGTCTCCAGTCCAGTTAGGCTTGTGTTACATTTCTGATAATCATGATGAGAAAAGAAGTGTGTGAACATAAGATTGCCTGCAGGATGACCATTAAAGAATCACCTCCCTGGCCACTGAGGGACCGTGCATACTGTCTCATTCAGGGAAAATGTAGTGGTGCTTAGGCTGGTCTTGGAAGATCAAAATCCCACTAGAATGCAGTCTGTCTGTGAAGATACTCCAGAGGAAGCAAACCTGTTCTGCTTTCAACATGAAAGACAGCATTATTCTGAACAGCTGAACTTCGCGATACTTTATTCATGGGTTATTAGAACTTCTGCTTCATCAGCAACTGTTAGTTTTTACTACCTTGCTTGTCTTCCAGCAGATTTTGAAGAGAACTAAGTGTTTGGTTCACAAAGATTGCCTTGCATTCATTTTAGGGACTCCAAGTGTCTCCAGCTGTCTTTGTGTTTGCTTTAGCAAATCTTCTGAGGCTAATGAGCAATTAGAAATTCATTAAGCCTGGAGAAATACCAGGTTACATTAGATGCCACTATTCTAATCTAGCCAAGCAGCAATTCTGCTGAGTTAAGTGGGCAAATGGACACAGCTGGCTGCTTGTTTCTGCTGCTTTATGGGCTGTTAAATGGGAGGACTCAAGCCCTCGCTATGGATCCTTTTGGCAGAGAGTCCTTAAATCAGTGGTGTGTGCTGTACACACACACAGGAATTCCTGTGAACTGTGACTCAGGCTAAAAGCAGTGTGCAGCCTGCCTGCTGGAGGATAGCCATGGTTCTGGAAGCCTCTCTGCCTCCTTGAGACTCCATTAGAGAAGCCTTCCGTATGCAACAACAGATCCTTCTAATATTTTGGAATGAACATTTTTAAGAAACTTGTATTTTTTAAAAAAATATTCAACTGGAATAGAATCTTCTCCCTGAAGGTATTAAAAATAGAAAAATTATTCACACTGCCCATGGAAACTCTTCTGGGTAACTTCTATGGCAGGTCTTGGACAGGATCCTGTATCATATACTGTTTGTTTTTCTTTCTGAAAAAATGTAGACTTCAGTCTGTGCAGCTGTTTCAATTGTTTCTTTGTTTCCCACAGTGCCCATTTGAAATACTTTATCTGTGAATAAACTAGTGAATGACTCCAGTGTGGAAAAGCACCGAGCAATAATGGACTCTAAGCAGAACCACTGAATTGTTAAACCTTGCAATCATTAAAAGGAAGGCAGGAACTAAAAGCAGATTTGCTGTCATTCCTAATATGAACGTGACTTGATTTCAGTATCCGTACAATGCTGGTAAACAGGCTCACATTCAAGAGCTGCTTGCTGGGCAATCTGGTTGTAATTTCTGTTTTAGAAATATAATGTACTTCTACCAATTAATATAGAAGAGAATACAAGCAGTTTTGACTGATTTTTTTTTTTTTTTTAAATAGGACATCAAGAGAGTTCAGAGAATAATAATTTTTTCCATATTAGACTACCTGCAAAATTACTTGGGTCTATATGGACACTTGTAACAGAAGGGAGTTTAAAACCTCAAGTATGTTCTTCCCTATTTGTGACAATGATTTTGGAAGATCATGGACAGACATGCTTAAATCTGTAGAAAGCTTGACCAATTTTAGTTGCTTCTTACACAAGCAGATGCTTTTGTGTCTACTTCATGCCAAAGCAGAGCTTTTAGATCCATAATGCCTTTTCACACTATGTGGAATTACATTCATTTTGTGAAAGGGTTATAAATTTCTTTAATCTTCAATGAGATATGTAATTTCATATAAAAAGGTATCACTTTTGGGTAATCTGGATGACTAGGCATGAAATGCTATGGACAAACTGTAGTTCTGGCATAATCATGAAAATGTTAAGGGCTTGCTGTAGGAATCATTCCCTAGAGGGATGCTCTCACTTCTGTGTTATAATCTACTCAGGTTTCTACAGAAAAACCCACCAAGGTTCAAAGGATTGTTTCACCTGAGCTACCCCTGTATGCAGCTTCACACAGTAACTCCCCAGTTTTTTGCCAGTGTTGGGAGAGCTGCCTGTGTGAGATGGGAGGGACTTTCCTGCAGCTGGGCTCTTCTGTCACTGATGTGTCTCAATCTCAGCCTCTGCAGCATGACCAGGTTGTGTCATTCAGCCTGGTCTGTGTAAACCCAGGGAACAAAACCCAGGTCCTGGAGGCTAAAATGGGACTGAAACTAATCTGTGCTAATAAAAAATGGGAGATAGGCTGAGATTGAAAATAATTTCAAAGACTGAATTCTTGACACAGCTTGTTGGCAGCTTTAGGTATTAACATATTTGCTACTACAAATCAGGCATTGTCTCTCTGTGGGCATCAGATAATCTGACACTGGTCAGAAGCTCAGTCACTGACATGCTGCCACCTAAATATGCTTAGGAGCATCTAAGCAAAATGTGGTAGAATCTGACATTTGTTCATGTGGGTTAAATAGCAACAGGTTGTCATCATTCTGCTAAGCCGACAAAGTTCAACTTCCATACTGAACAGGCCACAGACCTGACAATCCCTGAAATTAGAGTTTCTAGGCACCACATTTCTGCATTTGGTCACTTACCCACTGTCATTTTGTTTCCAAAATCTGAATAAAATATACCACTCAGCTTGCAAAATGGTTAGTGGAAACAACATGTGTATAAAACTGTCTCTGAATGCTGTGGTGAGTTCCATATCAAAGTTGTGTCTCCTCCCTGGTGTCCTGTCCCACTGTATTGCAGAAGCTGTTCTTTCGGCTGGGTCCAGCATTTGGAACATAAGTCAATGGGTCGGGTCGGATCAAGTATCTACAGAAAGAAACCACAGCTGTAACTAAAACAACATGCTGCACACCAGGGTAAGTGTATACAGTTGTAATGTTAAAAAGATCTGAGCAGGACTTAGACTTTGAAGGAGCTTGGTTTGGTTCCTGTGGTAGCATTGGTTAGATTTTTTCAATTTAAAATGCAGAGTAAGAGGAGGATGACAAGTTAACAACATTATAAAAATAAGTATTATATATTTATAAGTGTATTTAAAGTATATACAGATGTAGTATAATTAGATGTTTCTTTAAATAGAAATCTACTTTTTTTTTTTGCAGGTCTTGTGACTGTTTATGTGCTTTAACTTACACTATATCATTCAGCTCTAATCTTGTATCTGGAGAAGGGTTGATCAGGATGTAGGAAAGGGTGTTCTGATGATCATTCATTTCATCTAGAGGACAGGGGGAAAAAAAGTACTAAGTAAATTACATTTACAAATGAATTGTGAGAAGCATTACTTCTGATATATTAATTTGATGAAAGCTCATAGACCTTCAGAAAAGTGTCTGGTGTCAGAGTGATTTCAAATAAGTTTAGCAATTTCTTTTCAACTGTACTCATATTGAAACTCCCTGACATTATCAGATTATCTTTTGAGTTATCAGCTGTAAAAACATCCTGTTTTCTAATGTTTTAAAAGTCTTCTGGTTTTTTTCAGTCATAGAATTTGAATGTAACCCAATTTCAGTGTGATTTACCAATCTGTCCGGCAGCTTAGGTAAGTTTCTGGTGAGCAGGGACTCCTATGCTTGACTGGCATCAAGTTCAAATGATGACCAAGGTTAAATGCAGGTGTATGGCATCCTCATCCATATCCAGATATGGTCAACATAAACCTTTTTTTCCCTTTTTTCTATTTATCTAGGAAGCACTTCCCTTTTATCACATGTGCCAAGGGCTTGAAATGTGAAGGCTGTATGGTATGTCTCTTGCATTTTTAACTGTTCTCCTAATGATGGGCTGAAATGAAGACTGACAATTTTTATTTTTAAGGTAGGTCTAACCTACACTTTTGTAGCTGCTATTGCAATATATTTTGTATCATTTTCTGTTGGCTCACTCCTTGGGCTGCTGCAGTGAGACTGGTTTTAATCTTATCAGACTAAAGAGGAGAGGCAAAAGGAGAGGCAGAGCTTCGGTGTTAAATCCTCTGCAGCTTTTTAGGAAAACATATAACTCAGAATCAGATAAATGTAATAAGTAAAGCATTTAACTATGAAGATTTTACTGCTTTGCAGATGGTATCTAATAGTCCTAAATTTGAGTAATGAAATGAATATTTGCTTTTGGGTTTTAACTAGGATTTGAAAAGAAAAGTAGGAATACAACAAAGTTTTCTTGTTATAAATATTAATTAAATTTACAAAACATTTTTCTGTTTGATGAAATGTTATTGTGGCCTGTGAAATCAGTGGAAAATATTTAGGCCTGCATCTTTCTGCAGGGAGGTGTATAGAAACATGTTGTAAGAAAGCAGGCATAGAAATTATTCAGATGGGGTGTGGAATAAAGAGCCTGTATTTACAGATATAGAAATTCCTAGTGTTTCTAGGAAATCAGAACCCATAGTCCTGGAGTTTCCACCCAACATGCTACAGGGCCAAGGCTGGAGAAAGGCAACCTAGGCAGCTGTGGTGCATGTGTTAAAAAGTATTACAGAGCTCTTGTCCATAGCTTAGAAAACCCCAAACCAAGCCTACAAACTAAAAAGCAACCTGAACCAGGCTTGCTGGAGAGTGATTTGATGGATAAAAATGGCATCTAAAGACCTAGTGAAACATGCTTTCTAAAAATGACTTTCATATGATAATTTGGCATTATTTTTGAAGATTGCGGGGAAAAGGCAACATCCCTCACGTATAAACAACACCCCACCCTGACATATGAGTGAACTTCACAAGAGCCCTGTCTTCATCTTTATTTCAAGAGCTTTGTGGAAATATGGTGCAGCTGTTCAATGACTGGGGAATGTTTATAAATTCAGCATGCACATATCATCTACTAAATATAAATGTGAATGACGTGCTACCTTTTGAGCCTTCCATCTCAGCATAGGAATGGGTGAGAATTAAAAAGACTCCAAGTTACTCTTGGTAAATTAAAAAAGCAAACAACACAAACCTAAACCAACAAAACAAAAAGCACTATCATAAACTTAGTATTTTGGTTTTGGCTCCACCATTTCTTACAAATAGTTCACCTTGCACCATGCAAATGTTGCTACTGAAGTACTGTATAGCGGTACCGTATCCTGCTGGAGAAAGGCCCAGGTGCTTCATTCTGTTCTTCACGAGTTCAGCAAGCTCCTGCCTTTCTGACCTCCTGTAGAGGTTCATTCTCTGCTGGTTGATCTTCTCAGCAGTTTTGGCAGAGTGCCTGGGCGCCCTCCTGCTCAGGCGCCGTGCCCACTGCATGCTCTTCCTCCGCAGCAGCGGGTGGTCGGACTGGTCGCTGGAGGTGGAGTTCCGGTGGTTGCCGCGGCTGCTGAACTGCTCCTTGGTGTCTTTGGTGTCCTCCCAATCCTCCACGCTGATGGAGATTTGAGACTTGAAAGGAAAAGGACAAGAGAGATGAAGGGCTGTATTAGATGGAAGCAGATTAGATGTCCTCTTTCCAACACTGCAGTTGGACATGGGGTTTGGCTGCAAAGGAGCTGAGGGGATTCAGCTCTTTGTACTTGGCAAGTGTTCCTGAACTGGGCACCCTTTACTGGACTTCGACTTTTCATGTAAAAAGCTCATTTATAACATAAATACTTTCATCAAGTGCAAAAGCAGGTTAGCAAAAGTGTTACTTTCTGGCCAGTTGCACTGTGATTCTGAGAAGAGCAAATTTAGCCTTCTAATATTGCTCTTCCCAAATCTAGGAATCAGTTCTGACTGACTTTCTCCCCAGTCTGCATATTTTCAGAAATCCAAGTTGTGTAACTGCTTTTTACACAGGTGTTGTGCCTTCATTAAGTAATGGTTCAACTTTGGCTGCATTGTTTTCAGTACTCTTTTATGACCACAAGCAGAACATGCCTGTTAACTGTGTCTCACATTCCCAGGTCTTCCTGACCTTCCAGCACACATGAAATTAGGATGCATAACCTTCAGTGTGATTCAGGGCACCTCTTGTGAAAGCAGTAATTGATTCCTACCATAAAGAATGGTGATAGTACCCATGTAGAGACAAATCCTCCCCATAATTAAGAGCCAAAATCTGTTGCTCTATTACTGTGTTTTCCTTGTGCCACCAAAATAAGACCAGTGGTATGTGCATGTACAAGTACTGAAATAACACGGGTGGATGGACTACAGGTGTATTTCTAACAAAGAAAAGTTCCTAGAGAACATAAGAGGAAACATTTCAAAAGATAACTTTTGTTAAGATAAATTGTTTCAATGTGTATTTTAGATTTAATGAGTACTTTAATTTCTAGTTTCAAAACCACTTCCTTAACAATCCTGAGTTCCTCTTGTGCTATTTGTATGTCTTTTATTGATGCTGGAATAGCAAAGTCCTTGATGGTGTCAGTAAAAGCACATCACTCAGTTACTGGTCAGAGATTTCAATGTGGTGAGTGTTTAAAATAAATACATGAAGTATAAAACAAAGATGATATAAATGAACAGTGTGAGTTTGTGTGAATCCCCTCAGACAGAATATGCTGGTAGCAATCAGTGAATAAAGGAACTTTAACAGAGGAGCTACTCAATGTCCTTTGTCCACTAACATGAAATCTGAAAGCAAGATTCTGTTGACCTAATCAGTGCTGAATACAACCTATCTGTAAGAGGCTCACCACAGATCCGTGAGGTTTCTGGGGTCCATAAAATAGTATTGATATGAGTAAGCTGAATACAGTGTGAAAGATACTTGTATTTTTAACTTTTGAACAAACTAGCTTTTATCTGGGTAAAAGAAAAAAGCAACAAGTAAACTCAATCAAACAGCAAAACAACCAAACCCCATAATTAAAAAGAACACTATAGATGTTTATCTTGTAGCACTTCAAGTAAAATCACATTTTTAAAATTCTAGACTAGGATCTTGCAATAAGCCTCAAATAAAGACCAGCTAATTTATTGAGGCTCTTCAGCTTAGTCTGCAATAGAAAAGGGATTTCTGGTTGGATTTTTTTTTTTTAAACAACCTGATTTTCTGAAGTTTTTTTACTGACTCCACTGAGGTTAGGGAAGAAGAGAGAACCTGGATCCCTTTGAACAGGAATGTAATTTGATTTTGGTGTTTGTCAGACTGTCATTTTGGGTTTGTGGGCATTTTACAGCAAGGACTAAGGTAGACAGAGTATATTCCATAGGAAAAGGTGCTACTTATGGGTAGGAAGGACTATTTGGTATGAACAAATTGATATTGGTATGAACTGAGTGTAGAGGATGGTCTTGTTTTGCCTTTCTTCTTGCCTGCATTGGCAGCTTTCCTTGACAAGCTCTTGGCAAAACAAATAACCAGACTTGCTGGCAGCAGTAAAGGCAGAGACCAATCATCATCACTACAGGAGGGTAAGTCACTTCTTGAATCAGAGATTAAATGGGTGAGGCCAAATGAAAGAATAAATATTTTGGTTTTGTGAAATCTGTAAATCCTTAGCTTGAAGTTTTGAAACACTGGCATAGGTGAACTGAAAGCACAAAGGAAGGTGATAAAGCTAAATATTTACTTCAGCAACGATGAAGGTCTTATCCTGCCTGTTGAGAACGTGCAGAATGGCTCTTTGCTGTATGCAAGAAGAAGTTCAACTTAAAGCAAAATCAAAGCCCAAACTCTCTTTCAAAAGCAGCACAAAAGTGTGTCTGCCAGTGACAGCTGTTAAACACACAGAAGATAAAACTCCAATGCAAAGAACTTCTGTGTGTCCCCCTCTGATTTAACCAGTCTTGAACTTCATTTAAAAATGCTTTCATAATTATCATTACTTTGAGGTTTGATTGTTTTCACTGAATTTCATTTTCTTGTTCCATAGCAGGTAAATCTGTTGCATGAGAAGCATAACTGATGCCACGGTGTCACTCCTGTGCCACACAGAGAAGAAACACTTGCCTTTAAACCCTTGGGTTTGTTTGCTTTTTGTTTTTAAGGGCAGGTTCCTGTCTCACATATCCCACTATGTGTCCTGAAGGGTGTGATTGTTCACTTGTGCTGCCAGACAGCTGTGACCTACTCAGGCATGATGCTCTAATAGAATGTTTCATGCCCTAAAATCTAAACATTAGGCTCGTCAACACATGGCAGGAATGGGAATGTAATCACAGGCACACCAGTGTACATATTTGAGGTGATGGTGATTGAGATATCTGTGCTGATAACACCAAACACTGATTCACTTCAGATTTTTGCTCCCTTGCCTTGCTGCTCCCTGGGAGCTGTGTGTAAGATGTGAAATATTTGAAGGTGTAGTTTCATCTGTTCCAGCCTGAAGCAGTCACTTATTTTTTAGCTTACTGCAAGTGCTATACTAACTAAATTTTACTGCTCTGCCTACCAAGAGTGCTACTTGCATCCAGGGCTCTAGAAATGCTTTTCTGCTCCAAAAGCTTTCTAAACCATTGCTAAGTACAGCCACATTTTCCTTCTGTGATAAACTTGGGGATTTTGCTCCACTAGCATTTAATGTGTTAAAGCTTAAGGCTTTCACCAGATGATCTTTTCACTGTAAAGATGATTTGCTGCCTTCAGAATTCAGCAGGAGCAGACCCAACAGGAACCAGAATTCCACAGGACACCTTTGAAATTCCCAGTCTGTCAGCTTTCAGATTTTAGCAAGCTGTTTGTGTCCAGAACAATGGACCAGCTTTAAGATCCATTTACTCAAGGATGATCCATTGCACAGTTCCATTTTCTCTGAGGATTTCACTCCCACAATTGAACCAATTGTACAGTTTCTGGCTGGGATTGAGTCACATTTCTTCATAGCAGCCTGTATGGGACTGTGTTTTGGATGTGTGATGATAATGTGTTAATAATGGGGATGTTTTCCTTACTGCTGAGTGGTGCTTACACTGAGCCAAGGCTTTTTCTGCTTCTCACCCACCCCAGCAGTAAGTGGGCTGGGGAAAGCACAAGAACTTGGGAGGGGACACAGCCAGGACACCTGATCCCAAATGACCAAAGTGATATCCCTTATCCAGGCTGCTTTGCTCTGCAGGAACAGCTGCAAGAAGATGAAGGAATGAAATGCTTGATGGAGCTCTGCTTTCCTGGAGATGGCCAAACACTCCCTGCCCATCACAAGTGTGAGCAAACTCTTAGCTTTGTTTTGCTTTTACTTAAGTTATCAAACTGCCTTTACCTGAGCCCAAGAGATTTCTCCCTTTCAGCCTTCCAGTTTTCTCCCCATCCCACCTTGGGGGGAGCAAGCAAGCCAGCAGCTGTGAGAGGCTTGCCTCAACCAGGACACCCAGAAACAGGCAGACAATAAGCAAATACTTACTTGTGAAGACATTTCTCGTGACTGACAAAGGAAGGGGAAAAAGAAGACAAAGGAAGGGGAAAAAGAAAACAAAAGACAATTTAAACAGAAGTGAATCTAAAGAAAAAAATATGGACTGTTAAACAGCAGCCACAGAAAAGCAGCCATACAGGTAATGAAAAAAGATTTCGTATATTTTTTTCTATTTTTTTAGTGTAGTGGAAATGGTTTGGGTCATAGGCGTGATAGTCATTGAGAGGCTGGCTAGATTCACTTCTTATTTAGTTACTGGGTCACTAAAAACTTGCTTTATTTTTAAAGAAGTTATGAGTGTCTTTCAGTGAAGCGAGAGCTTCTGATTTGCACAGTGAGAAAGGAAGTGCCAAAGGATAAACTGTACGTATTAAATATTAATATTGGCATATTTTGTCCTCGTGACTCGAGTTACCCATGTTATTATGAGACAGCAGCCTCATAATAATAATGTGCAGTACAAATTTAGTTTCTTATTTCTGTTTAAACTCAAATTGATAATCATGTTGAAGGTTCTATGAGTTATAAACCTTCAATTTTATGGCTATAAGTTCATAGCCATAAATGGCCATCACTTATATGGCTATAAGTTCATATTCCTGAGTAAAAAGAGTGAATTACTTTTCTCTTTTTTCCATTTTAAAGATCTTACCCAATGATTTTCTTCTGGCTTAATGTATTGAAAAGCTAAAATGATAACCCATGCTAATATTTCATTAGTGAAATAAGTAAAAAAATCCTTTAACTTCAAAATAAACACTTTGCAGAAAGATTAGGGCTTTCAGCATCTCTGTGTTTGTAGGTCTCTATCCATGAAGGCCACAGATGCAGAGCAAGATGTTGCTCTTTTGTATTCTGGGGAATAGGTAGGTGAGGGGAGATTTCCCTGCCCCTCTCTAGAGGGAGGAAAGGTTGTACAAATTCTGATTCACTAAACAAGAAACTGCACAAGTATTTGTGTGAAAATTCCACTAAAGGTCTGCATTCAAAGACTTCAGCTTAGAAAGACCAACAACTGCATTTTCTTCACTTAATAAAGGAGGAGTGCCATTCTTCCACATTTGTCCAACACCTGACAATTTGAAAATTTAACTAGGAGGTTTCTCCAACTTCCCTTCCTTAATCTTCTACCTGATTTAACTCAAATGCTTTGTGAGATTACTTGTGAAAGTTGACAGGAAGTAATAGCAGAACTACTAATTCTCTTTTTGTGGACCTGAAGTTAAAGAGCCAGCCCTGAATGTGAGAATAAAGCATTGCCATGAATTTTATCTTATCCTTATTTAATGAATTCTTAAAATCTAGTATGTCCTCTGTTTTGTGGAAGGCTGTTACAGACCTTTTTTTCATATTAGCAGTAAGGCTGACTACATTCTTCTCCAAGGAATGATTTTGATGGATTATGCTATAGTTCAAAAGAGATCATTGCAGTGACAGAGTCCACTGGCTAAGCTGTAAAAGCCACCTGCAGAGAAAGTGATGGTCCACAAAGAGATAATCCCATGAGCTGGGTGGGATTTTGCACAGCTTTTTTATCATCCTTTTATAAAACTAACTTCAGCTGAATGTAATTCCTCAAGAGCAAATCTTGTCATTAAGCATTATATGCCTGAATTTTTTCTAATATTTTTCTGAAATATGGAAAATATAAATTACCTATCTTGGAAATTAGTTTAAACTATGTCTGAGTATTTCAAAAGAAAGGAGAGACTTATTGCTCACTGTTGCATTTGAAAGCCATGGCTTAATAAGATGGCAGTACTAATGGTCATGTAAACACATGGATAATACATGACAGAAATCAAAGCTGCCCAAACAAAAGAAGTATGTTAAATAGTCAGGAAAAAGTATTTTTGCTATTTTTTTTATAAGCAAAGAGATGGAGAAATGTACACAATTATGTGGCAAACACAGAAATACATATATAAAATATTGTATTGTTCAGCAGCTAAATTTAGAGAGATCTCACAGTACTTTGAATAACACTAACTAGAAATGAGCAACAAGAGAGTGAATTAGAAGGTCACATGAGCATGAAATGCCACCTGTTTTGAGACATGGACACATTGTTGGTACAAGGGCCAGAGGGCCTGGTGAAGGGTTTGGTACAAACCCTGCTGGTGCTGAGCACAGCGAGGAGAGAGCAGAGCCCACTCCTGAGGCGTGCCCAGCTGCCCCTTGGCTCCCATCCATCCATCCATCCATCCATCCATCCATCCATCCATCCATCCATCCATCCATCCATCCATCCCCAGGAGGGGAGCACAGGAACCAAAGGCCAGGTGTGCCCTGGGCCCTGCTGGAGCCTGGGCTCAGCCTGGGTTGTGTGACCAGCCAGGTGTCAGCAGAGGCTCGTGCACTCTGCAGTCAGATATGGAAAGCAGGGTGAGTGACCCACCTCAGATGTTGTGAGCTTCTGGGATTCTGTCCTGTAGACTCCAATTGGAATGTCTCCTGTAGAGGAACAAAGCTTCTGGTACAGTCTGGCATATGTCCTAATCCACAGATCCTCTTCTGTGATTTTCATCTGAGCAAATAGTAACAGGAGGGAGGAATTTTAACTCTTGAGGGTTTATAATTTGTTCACTCTGCAACTCATGAAAAAAAAAAAACAAAACTAAACACTAGCTGGTAATTATCCCATTGTAGTGTTGCACCTTTGCTCTACAACAAATCTGTAACTTCTATTGAGTTTCTCAGACATGTTCTTTTGCTTTCTCCCTGTTTAGAAGACATTGTAGTAGAAGCAGTTTTGCATTATGAACTTCTGGTCTTGGTTTAAGATTACTTAAAATTTACATGGCAGCCTTCACCCAGTGTCTATTTTTGACTAAAATATAAATGAATAAACTGAGTATTGTCAGCAGTAAGAAACTGGTGTGGACAGACTGAAGTGCATGAGCATTTTGAATTTTGTCCACCAGACTGCAGGCTGAAGGGAGGGGAGGAAGTAATACACTAAGCATAAGTGGCATAGAAGTATTACATGAAGCTCACTTACTTCATTACAAGCTTCGTTTTGAGATGTATGAGTTTGTTTTTAGAGATTCAATTGTACTTTCAAGTGTTCTTACATTCACTGTAATGAAGCTTAATGATTGGCCAAAAAATATGTTATTTTTATTTAAACAACTTTTCTAAACCATCATTGATACCTTCCTGCCATTCTTTATAGATGGCCACAAAGCAACTTGTAAATAACTCAACTTGTAATGATCTGTTTGCTACGCAGAGTATAGTGGGTGTGGGAGGAAACAGAAAAGTGGGGTTTATTTTAGTAAAAATTACTTCTGTTGTGTTTTTATTTGTGTACATACACAGTAAATTTCACTGGGGAATATTGACACGTATAATAACTAGATGACTTTTGAATTCCAACTCCTAGTCATTTAATACAGCTGATCTTTATGTAAAAATTACTCATGGCCTTTATTGTCCATAGGAATGGAGACTGGGAGATAGTCCTGGTCAGGCTGCACAATACAGGTTCCTGGCTGTTACATACTTAATTTTTACACTGGTTGCTAAACTGCCATTGCTATTTCATATAAAATGCACTATTTCTGTGTTTTCCTGACTTTCCAATTTTCTGCTGAATAAAATGCATTGCGTTTTCTCAGGGAGATGTTTTTTGCTATGGAACTAAAAATGAGTATGTTTTCTGTTTAATTGCCTTGTCTTCTCCCTGATGAAAAAGGAAACAGATGGCCTTCCTTGAACTTTCACAAAAGGAAATGCCATACAAAGAAAGTTGAAGTATTTTGCAGACAGTACAGAATCTTCTCTGGTACTCTGTACTGATTGGGTTTTTTTAAATAACTTACAGAACAAAGAAACCCAGATCCTGGTGTGGTGTCAAGTCCCAGCAGAAGTCTTGTGATAGAAATCATATAATCTTTCACAAATGACTGCAAGATATTTTAACAGGAGAGACAGAAAAGAAAGAAAAAAGCTTTAATGAACAGAGGAGTAGGCAACCATTTGCACTGTGTATGACTTTCAAAGTAATTATACATCTGTGTTTACAGTCTATCTCTTTAAGTATCTTAATCACTGTAGGAATACCAATCCCTTTCTTTTGGCTGAATTTACTTATACAAAGGAAGTTTTCCTAAATTTCCTAAAGGAATGCACAAGATTCAGCAGACTAAGGCATAACAAGGCACAGGAAAAGCAAAGAAGGATGTGTCAGTGGAGTGAGGTGTTAGCCCTACGAGGTGTGAAATTATAATGAACTCTTCAGTGCAAAAGAAACGCTGGCAGATGTTAGATGGCTCTGCAGTCCTCAGTGGGTCCCTCTGAGGTGACACTGCTATTATTTTATTCAAATGAATCATCTGAAGGATTTTTAAGTGTTGATATGCCTTGTTGCTCTGCTAAAAAGTGTTAATATTGGTCAAAAGGTAGAAATTAAGTTTAGTGTAGAAGTGTAGACTAAGACCAGGAATGGACCTTACAGCAGCTAAAATCACAAATATTTCTCCTCCTGGGTTGGGCTGCTGGAATAAGAGGGGTCCATGGGGGTGCTCTTCTAGCTGTGGCTGAGCTGTTCTTTGCCACCTGTACTCACTCAGGTGTAGCAGGGCAGCACTGCAGCCCTTGGAACTCAGCACACACCGTAACTCTGCTGGCCTCATGCAAATACACAGCTAACCAGGAAGTTTTCACAAAGAAATACCCCACAAACGTATTACCGAAATCCTTTAGAGCTATAGAATCTGGATCTGTTCAAACTCAGAAGCTAGATGGATTTCATTTCATACATAGTAATTCAACTATTTTAATTTTTTCACTGGTAGTCTCCAGTTGTGATGGGCTAAATGCCAAGGAGCATCTCAAATAAAATTTGTTTTCAAATTAAACATATTTATTATCTTGGCAGCATCATTTCTGCCATAAAATTTTCATTAGATTAACAAGTTTTTCACCAGCATTTGCAAGACCAAGTTTTTCAGTTTTCAGTCACTGTCCTAAAGATAATTCCAAGGCTTTTCTTTCAGCCTTTGGGAAGGACAGAGCTGAACCCTGACATTTCCCATGTCATTTGCTCTGTTTCTTGCAGAAGAAAAAGACAGAAAATGGGACTATGAAAAAGAACAAAGAGCTGCTGTTTTAGAATTTCTAACTTGGAGTAAGAAAGATAATTCTAGAAAAATGACAGTTCACCTATGAGCAGTAGCAGTTCAAAGGAAGGACAGGTGGAATTAAAGTGACAATGAGCACGTGAGGCTTTTTGTTTTAAACACTTTCTGGTGAATAGTGTTACTCTGTCAAGTCGTTGCATGATTATTCATGTCTAAGAGCAAATATAAAATATTGAAGTCACTTATGTGCTGGCAGGAGCTGTTGATGATTAACAGATCAGTTTCTATATATAGTCTTTGGTATATTTACTATATTATTTACTATATTTCTTTTTTAATATTGTGGTATGTGATACTGATATTCTGCGGCATGATTATGAAGATGTTTTATATGCAAATACATTTATTTCTAGAACCTTAAAATACGTATGCCCATATACATGACTGGTTTTTATATTAATGGCTTCTTGAGAAAAGTTTAGCTCCAGAAATTTTTCTATTTATGTTGGATTTGCCTTCAGGAAATAGATTTGGAAGTAGAATTGCGATGAAAGAACACCTTTCATGCACCAAATTACCAAGTAAATTCATTTCCCTGCAAGGATGTTTTCCACCTGAGAACTAAAGCTCCACAGGCTATCCCCAGGTAGAGGCAAGGCAGGAGGCTGCTCAGGTGAGCAGATGATGTGGGCCATGGTGGTGTTCCTGCTGGTGCTGTGTGCCTTGATCCTGGCAGGGTGGTGCTGGGGGTTGCTCCTTGGGCATCCTGCTGAGTCCCAGGGTGCAGAAGTGTGAGCACTGCTGAAGAGTGAGCAATATTGGCCTATTTTCCACCGTGAAACTAGCAACTACTGACTCCATTTGCCCTGACTGAATTTTCTGATTTTTTTATCTTCAACTCTCTGAAGCTGTGCTCTTCTCTGATTCTCACTGTCATCACTCCTTCCTGGATTCTGAGCCACAAGGTTGAATTGCTGCCTTTTCTTCCCCCACTGTCTCTTTGTAACCACTGAATGCATTCCTTGCAAGGGCAACCATGGCTTACTTCACAGTGTAATGACAGGGCCTCTGCAGCTCTAGTCAACATGAGTGAGAGGACACTATGAAGTAATTGAGGTCTTTATCAGCAAATGCAGGAGACTAATAAATTACATATTAAAGTACTTCTGTTCCTTTCTGTTAGGGACATGATGTGTGGGAATGGGCACTGCGTTTTTTATTGCAGAGTACAAGCCTTATTATTCTATATAATCTGTAATTTATGTAGGCCTTATCAAAGCTATTTGACTGTGGAGAGATACATTAACAGTATCAAATTATCTAACACCAGATTTTGTGCAGTCAGGATGATTTTGGGATTGAAAACTGAACTAACATTTCAAGCATGCTCCATTGTCTTTTGCCATTGATTGCTTCCAGTATAGACACACTTTAATGGATCCTATGGCAGCAAATAGGGTCATCTAGCAATTAAGCACAATAAAATGGATGGCAATACTTGTGTTAAGTCACGTTACTGTTCATAGTACCTGATAAAGCAGTGTGTCCAACATGCTGATGCTGAAAACCCTGCCAGCAGCAAAGGGCAGTCGAAACATAAATGCCAGATTAGATCCCTTCTCCCGCTCTTTCTGTTAAGGAATTAAAACACAGAAAACATTTTTAATGCTGGTTTTGGAAGGACTGTAACAAAAACATGAAATAGATATTATCCTGAAAGAAGTCAAAAGTGTAAAAGCCTTTTATTCTCAACATAGTTTCTTCCAATAAGTATGCAGCATCTTTGTTCACAGGTGCAGTTTTTCAGGTTGAAAGACATTGATCAATGTAAATGTTTCAGTCATCATATCTCAAACTGCATGGGCATATTCCACCCATTCAGTTTGAAAAGATGGAGGGATATCAGCTGTGCTTAGCTCCTGTTAACCTGCTCCAATTCCTTGGTGCTGACAATGGACTGCCATGGTGGTCCAGGACATCTAGGAACAGGAAACAGAGCCAGGATCTGGTACAGAAGGGCAGGAATGGCACAGGGGTCAATCAGTGCCCTGGTGCTGCTGGCCAGACCTTTTCTGGTACTGACCAGGATGCCATTGGCCTCATGGCCACCTGGACACAGACTGGATCAGGCTGTCAAGCAGCACCCCCATCCTTGAGCAGCTTTCCAGCCTCTCTGCCCCATCCTGCAGTGCAGAGGTGATGGTGACCCAAGAGCAGGACCTGGCCCTTGGCCTTGCTGACCCTCATACAACTGGACCAGGCTCGTTTAGTTTCCTTCCATCTCTTCTACAGCCTTGCTTTTCCTTTATTCTTGCTTCAAAGAGGTCTGTGAGAAATATAATCATATTTTCTAGGAAAGAACAAATAAATTTTCTAGTGTTGATATGGAACGACTTCCTAAAAACCTGTCAGTTCAACAGTCAAATTTGTGTGCTAATTGCTAGCACAATTTTAGAATTTATGTAAATTGTTAGAAATCTATGTGAAATAAGACAGGAATAATAAGAGGTACCAATCTCTTTTTGTAACTAATATGTCATTATTGTTTTTTATTACTTAAGGTTAATTCAGATCTGCTTAATACCTGAATTATATTAAAGAAAAGAAAATGGAGATAGGAAACAGAAGGCTCCATCCTGAAGTTAAAAAAGCAGCCTGGCTGTGTGCAAATGACTGCAAATATACTGGGCCATCCCAGATAGATTTCTGCTCCCCTAATATCTGTGTGCTTATCCCTGTGAAAGATACAAAATCACAGGACTGAGTTTGATCAAAAGATATAGGAACTTGTTATTATTTCAAAATGATCACTTACAGCTTTAGAATTTTTATCAGTAACACCTGCAATGTTTACTTGGAAAAAAACCATAGCAAACTGAAGTCTGAATCCTATCCAAAACACTACAAACCCTTTCTTTCAAGAAAGAGGGAGTGGTTACCTCAGTTTTCTTCTTATGCAAGACAAATGGAGAACACAGATGTCAAGTTTAGTGTGGGTGTTTTGTTTTTCCTTTCCTCTGTTGTATAAAGGCTTTCTCCTATATCAGTGCTGAGTTTACTGTCAGATTTATTTATCTCTAAAATAAGAAAAGTTGCAGCTGCAACAGCAGATGGACATCTGATTTGTCTATCTGTCTTCTGCAGCCCATTAGGTTGAAAAGCCAATTTTGCAAATGTGTTTCACTGCTACCTCAAGGCAACTTGCCTGATATTCTCAGTCTTTCTGAAAATGAGGCGCTTAATGCAGAAATAACAAGCAACTGTATGTCTGACTGCTTTAGGTAATTTTTACTGGAGTTTTTAATTGCCTTTCATCTTGCATGAGGGAGTTCTGAAAGATCAAATGAACTACAGCACCACCTGTGAAGTTCTCCCTGCAAATGTTAAGATGAAGTGACTGGGAAATATTAACACCAGGCAACTGCAAGAGCAATGAAGAAAATGTTCTTTCTTTAAGATAATTTATCTACCTCCGTTTCAGCAGAGCATAGTTTGGATAGGAAGTTTATTAAATGTTCACCTTCCAACCTATCCTCACAACTTTTGCACAATAAATTAATAAGATAGTCAAGAAGTTAAAATATTTTTAAGTATTTCCAGAATATTTGCTTGAAAAATTAAGAAGCCTATGTAAAGAAAGAAAGAACTGAGATAAAAATCCTGGTTTCACTGCCTTGAAGTAGACAGCCCACAGAGAATTCCAGAATCCAACTGGAATCGGATTAAGGGAATATGTTAACAAATAATTTCAAATTATACATAGTCATAGTACAGCAAGACATTGAGCTTGGTTGAACACAGTGTTGAAGGTCCCAGCCAGCTGCTGGCCCTTGTTGCACTGAGAGAACTGGCAATGCAGATTCCAGCCAGTTGTACCTTATCCTTCATGGATTTACTACAGAGGGAGGAACTGCAGGAGCCACAGGGGCAAACCTTAAAGGGTAGTGGAAGGGGCATTATCCCAGCAAAGCTGAGCCTCCTTCCTCAAACAGCTCCTCTCTAACTTCTGTCTGGTTTCCTCCAGAGCTCTCCATGTCTCTGTCAGAACACCACCTAAACACAAGATCAAGCCTTCATGCTGCTACAGGTAAAGATAACAAGTCACTAAAGGCCACCCAGATATTTACATCTTGTGTAAATATGTACATATAAGTGTGATATTCAACCAAGTAAAATATTTACTTCCCATCCTTATCCTGTCATCCACACAGGCTGAATTTTGGCAGCATTCAAGAAACTGGACTGGGAAGGTAAGTTTCTTTGGAAAGGCTTTTTCATGAAGCATATATTAAAATTACCAACATAAATATTGTACAGTAAATAGTGAACTCTGAATTCCCCAAAATTTAGGAAATTTATGGCACAGCTAGGAAATGGAAATTATATGTTAAATCTGTATGATGGTAATGATTTTGGCATGAATTCAAATTCACCAAGATATGTAAGATATCTGAGGTGCACCAGCTGAGAGGGTACATAAGGAAATCCAGCAATCATAGTGATTGATAGACTGATAGGGGAAAAGAAAAGAATGCAGTGAAGGATTTCTGCCCTTGAAGACTGTCACAGTGACATTATTTGTCTCTCACAAACTCAGAATATGGTGGGTAGGTCAGATCACCAGGGAAAAATTGTGAGAAAGAGGATTGTGCTTGAGCTTAGAGAGTTAAACAGATGCACAGTATTACTTCCTATGCTCCACCTGTTTTAAGTAACAGTATTTTGAACAAGCAGATTATATTTATCTCCATACAGCCACAGCTCCACAATTTGAAAATGTCAAATATACATGTAGACTATGAAGGTTTTAGCTAACATTTAAGTAGTGTCACTGTCCCTCTCATTCTGACAGAGAACAATTACTGTTCTCAAACTGTCCCATTAATGCGAATATCTCCCACAGATACACAGAAATGTGTACAGAAGACACAGTTATAGTGCCTTTAAAATGAAGAGGAATTAAAAAATACATTATAATAAAAGCTGTACGTTTTAAGCATTTAGTCAGTTAAAAGATGTTCCATGTTAATTGCCTGTGTCAGCCTCTTGGACAACAACATTAGCTCTAAATATTTAATTATCCAAAAATATTTCATTTTCCTTGAGCAAATTCCACCAGAGAGTTGGTTGATTAATATTATGTTGTAAAATGATTAAATCAAATCAAACTTTATTATTAAATGAGGGTAGAAATTTGAAAAAAATTATCTTTTGCAGTTGTTCTACAACCATAAATCACTATTTCCACTTATTTTGAAATCTTTGTTACAAAATCAGAAAAAGTAATAAAAACATAACATTTAAACTGAGGGTAGGGGTGGGGAAATCTTACCTTTTCCAGTTTGGACAGAGCAAGAGAATAGCAGTCTTTGGCTCTGAACTGCATGAATCTCATGTTGGCTGGGTGAGTTAGCTCTGTGATAATGCTCAGGCTGGAGAACAACCTGCATTTTAAAATAATGTCATGGTTATACTTCTAATTATAACAGTTCACAAATGTAAGGCTCTACACAAAGCTGCAGCTTGTGCTCGTGTCCATGTTTTAAATGAAATCCCTGAACCTGTGGTGGGTCTGGGCCCAGTGAATTGCTGGTCCAACAACACATTCTCTGTGAATGTACCAAGAAGCACACACTGAGCTCACAAAATACTTAAATGCTAGAAAAAAACCAACTTCATTTCATTATTTTTTATTTCATAGTTGGTACAATATCACAAATCTGAAGGGAACAACAAAAAATGCAAAACTTTAAAGCTTGTACTTAGTACCTGGTTGCATGTAAAGTATGACTGATTTTATGTACCCTTTCCAGTTGATTTTTCTTTCTTGAGGTCTGTTTGTATGCTGTGACTACAGTCTGAGCAATATAGATGAAAATTGACACTTGTGGGAGTTGCTGAGAAAATGTATGTTTATGTATACTTATGTTCTCACTTTGAAATATTTACATATACAAAGTATTTATAACTTAACACCAATTCAGCCTTCCAGTAACTAAAAGCAGCGAAGAGAGCTCTGCTGTGAACTGGCTCAATTACACAGATCTCCAAGCAGCAGACTCAAGAGCCCCCTCCTAGCACTCAGGGCTCCAAGAAACAGATAGAAAATCCTAGTTTACACTATTTATATACTAAACAAGTTGGAATAGAACAATATATTATTATTAAACTCTTTCCTCTGCAGATTTTGTCAGAAAATGAGATGTGCATTTGTAGCCTCTTTTGCTGACCCTGGGGCCACTTATCTACACTGAGAAATAGGTAATTGTAATACTAATTACATAATTGATGTGGCTTCTGTCTCACTTTCCAGGAAAGCAGCATTTGGTGAGTTAGTGTCAAATGGAATTCAGTGCACCCTTTTGCCAGTCTTGTCCTTTTCCCTCACTTTTGCAGGGAGAAACATCCCTGAAATGGCAATTCAAGCAAAGCCTAAATGAAGGAAATGTATATCCAGACTGTCTGCCAATATGTGTTAATTCCACATTGTATTTGAAAACTAACACTACAGAATTCAGCGTTAGGAGTAATAGGAAATTAAAAGCTGATCTCATGATAAAATATACACAGCAGGAAAAAATGCAGGCTGCTATGTTTCTCTTAAAGATGGTTTCATGTCTTTCACTGAGATATGAAAACTTATTCATATTAGGAAATCAGTTTAAAAACGGGTATTGGTAAAATGTTTTACTTACGAGTGCCTTTTAGCTGAATTAGGGGAAGTTGCTCTCTAGGAAGTCAGGGACAGATTGCATTCAGCCTTTTAGCTGAATTAGGGGAAATTGCTCTCTAGGAAGTCAGGGACAGATTGCATCTTGCTCTGGGTGTAAGGCACACTGCCTGTCAGCTTTTAGCACTGGAAAGGTTCCTTCTGGGCAAAGATACATCTCCTCTGCCCCATTCTAGTAAGAAAGGACTGATGGGGAAGAGAAAGCCCCCCCAGCCTGATGGGAGGCATGGCTTGCTACTGAACTTGTATTTGGAAATCAGACAAGCAAGGGAGACACGTAGTTCTTTCCCAAACCACAATGACAAACCCGGAAAACCATGCAATGCCATCATAGCACCTCATTTGGTTTATCTCTAAATTGGTGATGACAGCTAGATACCAGCCAAAACACTGACCTGTGATGTGTACTGCTGGCAATTGGCTTCCTGCAGGATTTGAAACAGCCTTGAAGAGGTTAACCATAAAACTTTATAGTGGTACAGACCTACTGCCTGGGGAAATGTGCTGTTTTTCTGAGGAGGGCTCGCACCTGTCTACAGGTGCTTGGCTTCCTGTTTAATTTTCAAAAGTGAAAAGCATCTTAAGGTGTAGTCCAAGACTATTAATTTCTCCTTTTATTTTTGAGCTGTGGTAACTCGTTCTTGGTCAGTGTGCCCATTTGAGTCACACTTCTGTACTCCAATGCCAGGTAAGTCAGTGCTGTGTCACCGTTTTAATTGGGATGGCACAGCTTGTAGCCCTAAAGATGCTAATAATCCTGTCCTTATAAACAATGCCTCTGCCTTCCAGGGTGGGGAGCACACTCTCCTGGCAAAGCAGGACTGCTAATTTATGTAAATCGAGGAATAATGACACAACTGTGAGAACTGCCAGCCTGGGCTGAAGAGCCTGGGTTACTACAGCTCTCTGACATGGCTTTTTCAGGCCTGAGTAACTCACACCAGGGGTGTTTAGATCAGCCTGAACCCTCTGAATGGTCTCACCTGCTGAGACCAAAGTGGAACCTTTGTCAATGCTGTGATATCATTGAAAACAGCATATTAAATCCAGGGGTTAAAATCCTCCTTTAACACTGCAGTTGGTGTCAAGTGCTCCTGCTCTCTACCATGCCCAGTCTTTTCTTCATTACTTTCTGATATTATTAACTAGTCAATATATTTTTAAAGGTCATTTAGAAAAGTATTTACCTTCATGCAATGAATATAGTTTATTCTGTAGAACAGGTAAATGCCACTTTTTTATGCCTCTTCCCAGAGTTCACTTATTTCTACAACTTTCACATAATATAAAAATGCAGTGAAATTATTATATGTTTTCTAGGGGAAAAAAAAACCAAATTAATTTATGCAATACACTATTTGTGAAAGTTTACAAAATTTTGTGGAAAAGTGTTACTAAGTCTTAAACCAAGGTATTTTAACTTACTTTGATTGTAACTGTGCAGTGTTAAAGTAATACTGACCCAGACACAGAGTTTATACACGAGTTAAAGCTGCCATCTAGTTGCAAACAATGTGTAAGACAACTAAAGGAGTGTACAGAACCATCTAATGGCATACGTATCATATGTAATTTCTCTTTTACAAAGTAGAACACAGCTAGAGGAAAACCAATTTTACACGTTTACTTTTGATACAATTCCTTTTTCCATTTGGGAGTAAACTGTGTTTCAGAAAAACTGATCTATATGAAAAACCTTGGTGAGTGCCCTAGCACTGTATGGTTAGGAGCAGATCTGAGTGATGCCTGGATAAAGTTCAATCATAGCTTCAACCCAAATTTCATAGGTGTGAGTATGAATCACACACCTGTGCAAGTATCAGGTACCAATTCAGAAACTGAAATGTTAGAAAAAGACAGAATTAATGTTTCTTGTGCAATGCAGATTTTGCTTCCTTTGAGCACATGCAGAAATGCAAAGAGCATTTAACTGCATTCTCACAGACCTGCATTTACAATCTCCTTTGTATTTTAATGAGCTCAATTTTCTAAACCACTGGATTCAAACCACTTTACTATGCATCTCTCTCTGGTCTTTTGTGGAAGGTTTGACACAGAAAACAGGTAACTGCAATAAAACCAATATTGAATCATATTCAATTTCCTTCCAGGTCCTATTAGAATGAACACCAGGAAGTGCTAGGCTTAAACTCCAAATCAGGGAGGCATTTCATAGCTGACTGTGTTTTGTTTTGTGTGAGATTTTTTGGGTGTTTTTATTAAGAAAATAATATTTTTCTCAGCTCAAAGTGACATATTTTCTTCATACTCACTGAACCAAGATATTGAACACAAAGGCTTTAATTAGGAGAGTTGTCAAAAGGAACAGTAAATCTCATTCTCATCACAGACTCCTCAGTCTGATCATATTATACTCTCATGACTTGCCATGTTGCTGTCATTTGTAATGTTGTATAGATGTGTCTAAAAACCTAACTTTTGTGCAAAAGTAAATATTCAAAATGTGAACACTTATTACGAACTTCACAGTGATGCAGTGTTTACCTCTCAGCATTAGAAGGATCTGCTTTTCATACGGGCTTTAGTATTATTGTGAATTTTCTTTTCTCAACTATGTTTCATCCTAAGTCTTCAAGAGTAACTTTATTTTCCCTCCTGTAAATCTGGTAGCTAATTTGTAAAATGATTATCTGGTTTTGAGACGCAAAGCATTTCATCTGAGCTTTCAGGAGAATACCTCAGGATTCTAAGTGAATTGCTAAGCAGGGTGGGAAAAAGTTTGTCCATGTAAGACACAAATTCATGCAAGGAAAAACTTAAGTAGAATTAAAAAAAAAAATAAGCTCTTGGCACAAGAGGCATCAAAGATTTCACAGTTAATGAGGATGTGTAGACAGATTGCAAAAATGCTTTACCTGAAGAGGGTTTGAACATTCACAATAGTCTTGGCATCTGCCATGTAGTCTTCCTCAGCACTCATCGTGCTTTCCTTGTCCACCACCACCATGTTAGCTGCAAAGGTGACCCCACACCTTAATAAGTCATCTAGGCTTTTGTGAAGAGAAAGAGGGAGAAAGAAACAAGCAACTTAAATATGGAACACCTGAAAGAGTAGCCATGGGTTGGCATCTGCAGATCAGCTACGGAACAGCTTCTAATACAATCAATGATAACTTCTCAATTAATTGGTAGAATAGAATATAGAATCTACTTCAGTAGGTTGTTACAGTCCCTCTCTTTTGTTAATTATAAATTTATTTCAGTTTTTTTTTTTTTTAATAAGCCTTTAACAGTTACTTGGGAACACTTTGGCCCTACCCACTGCAACAACTTGCTCCATTGCAGTTACATCTGACAACAGAAAAACCCAAATAAATGCTCCTGATTGCTCGTTCCCACAGTTTTATTTTGGTTTCAAAATGTTAATTAATTAGCTGGAGTGTTTTCAGGATGCTTTTAGGAGCAGCTGCAGAGCAGCAGAACTTTGTGCACAGCTGGACAATGTGTGAAGCCCAGCTACAGAAAACACTCACAGACAGCTGAGTTACAGTTCTCATCATGCCTTGTAGCTTTGTCTCGAAAATGAAGCATGTTTCAGTTGTTTTAACAACATTTTCCACAGATCCTAAGCACCTTTTGACAAGTGTGGTGGGTTTTTTTAACAATTTATTTTGGAAGAATTTATACCATTATTTTTGAAACTGCAATATCACTGATGGTTGACTACAACAAAAGAAAAACTGATTTTATGCAATCTATGAACAACTACAGTGCATAAGTCCAAACTTTTTTTTCTAAGTAATTTGTATTTCTGCTTTTTCAGACTCTCAGTTGATCCCTGAAAATAGCAGCATATTCTTAAATACCCAGATTTTCTGCATTTCAATGTTTTATAAGCTCAAAAGCTGTTCTTATTTTAGCAGTTACATGTGGCTGGCTTGTGGAGAATTTGAAAAATGCTAATGTGGAAGTATTATAACTCTACTTCTCAGGTACCTCTAGCTAAAGGTTTCTCAAGATTGACTAGAGTTCTGCACAACTGCGAGATTTGTTCAGTTACAGATCTCAAATCCTACCCAAGGACCAGGGGACAGGTTCCTACTGCTTGACATATTTTGACGAAGTGAACTCTGCTATGAATTTTAGTAAAGATGGTTTTTTTGTGAGCCATCTACTTCTAACAAAAAAAGAATGGTAAATGAAAGTAATTTCTTTGGTGGTTTTCTCTCTGAGATGATGATACTTCATTGCTGGTTAACAAATGATAAATATTTGAGATACTTATAGATAGTAGGTGGTACTTTGAGAATGTATTTTATATTTCTTAATTAAGAAAGGAAAATATGCATATTTTACAATGTATTTCTTATCTACAGATGGTCAGATCTATTAATTGTACACGATTTAAAAACATGGTGAGGAAAACACAAGGAATATGTACAAACTATATTTTTAGAAGTATTCTTATTAATGATAACAGATGTCAAAAAAACCCTCTACAAACTACAGTTGCTTATTGCACCAGGAATTAAAGTGATTTTTGCATCAGAAAAGATGCAGAAGTTTATGCTGGTATTACTGTGAACTTCTGAATTCTGAATAATCACTTATTCTAAAGACTACATGCTTCATTTTTTTAAAAATGCATTTAATTCTGAAAGAACAACAAAACACCATTAGGGAGGGATTTGGCAATTTCCATTTTGAAATAAACTCAGTAAATTTAAACAGAGTTTAATTTTCTACATTAGTAGAACATGTTAACATCTGAGATATTAATTACTTTAAATACTTCGAGTATTCCCTCTTGAGTACACATTTTGATGCCATTTGAATTTTGTCTTTTTCCTTTTATATCACCTCCTTACTAAAACTATCTCATGTTTCATTTCCAGGTTGGGAAAAAAGACAACAATTTAATTATTCTGCCATTATGAGGTCTTTTTATAATTATTACATAATTAATAGCTAATAAAGTAGTAGATATTAATAACCTGTGACACATTTTGCTTTATAGGAAAAAAATGTAAAGTAAATAACACTTCTGTGGGCTCTTTCTGAACCTCAGAAGGACCTGGATCACCAAGGTAAATCTGTAACTGTGTCACTGTTATAAGCAGGAAATAAGCTTTTTGATTTCTACAGGGGGAAATTAACACTATGGGCTTGTAGCCTCAATTCAGTATGCACTATGTAGTGAAGAAGTTTTCTTTAAATTTACAATCTACACTAAGGAGTTTACTAAAATATTCATGAGTCCTTGCTCTTCTCTTGTTTCTGCCTGATTTTCACATTAAAGTTCTGTTGCTAAACCTATATCCATAAACATATATTAGCAGAGGTGAAGACAGAAATGTAGGAGTAAGTGATAATTTAAGTAGTGTAAGATGAAGACTTTTGGACACATTCAAGACTGTTTACATTCTGTAGCTGTCTTTACAAAACCTGAGTCAATGAATTCCAAGAAATTTTAACTCAGTACAGACTGACACTAGAATCAGGACTATGATCTGTTCATTTGTAGAAACATATGAACTCACCTAAATAAGTGTTAATCTTATGTTTTTGAACATGTTAACTTGTGCTCCCTGTCATGCTTTTCCCTAATGAGCTCCTTTATAAATCAGAAACGTGAAATCCCAAATTACAGCAGACAGACACGGACTATGCATGCAGAAAGCTCATCTCCAACTACACCACACACAGCAGAACATGCAATGACAATACACACACCAAACCACTGAGACTACAAAGGTAAGTTTGCTAACAGTTATTTCACCTACTTGTCGATAGAGCCCACCATGTAGTAAACCATTGGAAACCAACAGATTGCATCCAGAAAATGCATATCTGGCCTAAGCAGCAGATGGAATTACAAAATGAAACACAGTATCACAACAGCAGCATCTCTTCCAAAAAATTTTAATCAACTGGTAGTTTGGGGTTTTAAAAAAAAAACAAACTTTCTTAAACTTTGGCATTATGATGTCAGTTAAAGCAGGAAATAGGTTTTCAGAAAGCTGTGAATCAACACTTTGTGATCATAAAGAATGATCAGAATTAACATGCTTATATTAGTAAATGCACTCTAAAATCAGAAATGTTATGGCACAGGACAATTCCAAATGTAAGAACAAATGAGTAATGTCAAAGCCACACTACCAAGTTATACTCTAATGGGTGTCTTAGGAGGACTTAAAATAAGCATCAACAATTCTTAATTAAAATGTAAAGTGGAAATCAAATCATCATTTGGGTTTTGTGACACCTACTGCTTTCAAGCCTACTCCCTTTCAGAGGAGTCACTGCAAACGCTGCATGGAGAGAGACAACAGTAAGGGTGCTGGTTTAATTAGCAAGCAGAGCTTTTACTTCACATTAATCAGTCAAAAGTGTGTTCAGCTATTAAGTGTCAGAACAGCACTGAAGTGTGTGAAGTTGGGCACTGAGCTGGCACTAGAGGGCCCCCTGTGCCCATGGCTTTGCTCTCCCACTGTCAGTGGAAGTGATTTAGCCTCATTTAGGCTTCTCGATTTGTGTAATTCACTGTATGCCATAGTACCTACATAAAAACCTTCTGTTTTGCCAACACAGGTGACTAAGGAGCTGTCTGAGGGAAAGTGGGACACTTCACAGCAGGCCTTTGTAGAAAAAATCACTTAAACTGCAACAGATCTACACAAATGGAAGTGTCAGCCCTGGAATCACAACCTACAAGACATTTTTGCTTTCTTAGCTTGTTCTACTATTCTGTGTACACGTAACCTCCATTTCTGTGTCTTTCAAACTGTGATTTTAAGTAGCTGAGCTGTACCAAAGTGTTGCAAAAAAAACCCCCAAAAAGCTAATTATTTATCAGATTATAAATGAACCAGTCTTGACATAAGCAAATTTCTCTGAAATATTAAAATCAAGCAATGAGAAAAATTCCAGCAGTCACCAAGAGATATAAAAGTAACAATAATACTGCAGGTTTAAATTTTCATCCGTGGCTTTAAATAATTTTAGATAAAATGTGTCTGTGGGTGTCCTTTTGGCTTAAAGAACTGTTTATCTTTGAATGTAGAGTTATTAAAAATATACCTAACTGGTCCAGGCCACTAAGTGCACTGTGTTAAGTAGGTTAGTGCTGTCATGTAGCTGTGAAACTGTTATACAGCTTGCTTTTTACAATGTTTATTAAGCTATTTAATTTTAGCAGTAACATTCACATTTTTGGGGGTAATTTTTAGAAAAACTTAGCTGAAATATTGGCCATGAAGAATAAGAACATTTAAGTTTACTATGGCCATTAACAGTCAATAAAAGTTCAGTTTTGTATATGACAGTGAACATGCAGCATGATTTTTGTCACTAACTTTTCTCAAAGATAAGTGTGCCATAATGTTTTTGATTTTCAGCTGGCCATGTGAAAAGGGGTCATCTATTGAATAATGGTAAAATGAGTTTAAAACTTATCAAAAAGGGGAAAAAAAACCATTTTCCTTACGGGTTATCCAGCAGTAATACAATGGGGTTTAGTTCTTTCTTTGGTCGGTAATAAGCTCTCAGTGGGACAATGAAGTTGTATAAGCCATTTCCAGCAGTTTCTGCTGCAACTATAATCAATTTGTTTTTGAATCCATAGGCTTTGGCATCTTCATAGTAGTTATGCTGGCACCCCTAAAATCAGAGTAAAAAACAAGTTCGGTGGATGTGAATATTGTATCAGATGACCCAACAGAGACCTTGTTAGACATAAACACTTGGAGATGAAAAGGAGGAGAGAATATAGTATTATAGAAAATACTGCACAAACTTCATCTCTAAGGAGAAATCAGAATTTGGCTCTGCTCAGATGCAAGAGACAAATGAGAGTGCAGGATTATCCAGTAGCAGAAGCCCCCTTTACCTTATCTAGTCTTAGACAACAGAAGGGTACTTTTTCATGCAGAAGATGACAAAAGGTGGGAGAACTTCCAATATAAGGAGAGTAAGGAGGATAGCCTTTGGCATACCTAAAATAGAAAACAAACCATTTTTCAGTATAGCCAATTACCAAACACAGCTGCCTACACAAGTGTTTTATGGGATGTTAATACATACGTCCAAGTTTTAGATCAAGCACACAAAATGAACTATGTTCAATAGAGGTCAGAAGAATGTATTTCTAAGCCAGTTCAACAGAACTTAGTGAAAGCTGCCGTGCTTTGGGGGACTGAAGGAATTTTGCTTGAGTTTTTGAAAATAGTTTGTTGTATCACAGTGTGCTGCTGTAGTGTTTTGAACTGGAAACTTTTAAGTTAAAAAAGGAAGGAAAGAAAGCAGAACTGTACTTTTGCTCTTCCTTCTCCATTTTTTTTTTCCAAACATTTACCAAGAATGAGTGAAGTCATTACCTTTTAGCTTTAATAATGTACTTTCAAAATGGCTGAAATAAATTCTAAATGGCAAACCCTCTTCCCGATGAGGTGAAATTTCTAATTGGCCTTAGTTTATTTTTTACAAGAGACCTTTTAAATCCTGCTGTTTCAATCTGCACATTTAAGATGACTTGTCCTATTAATTTTTTCTCTGGAGCTTGATAATCTTCCCTGGGGCTTCTCACGCTTGCCATTGGTGGAAATGGGAAACTCTGCTGGTTGAGGCACTGGTTTAAATTGTGTATTTCAGTTTTAACACCCCTGTCAGCAATCCCAATAAACATAATTGCTCATCTGCACAGCAAGATTGAATCTTCTGGGTTTATCTGAGTAATGCATCATTACTTTCAGTAACACACTAACAAGCATGTGGAATTAGATGTGATAATTTTGTCCTGTACTGCTTTTTTGTCATTCCTGCATTTTGAAGTCGCACACCCAGCTCCAGAATTCCAAAGCCTGTTGGATGATCTGATTATCACTGGATTTGCATGGCAGGAATACTTATCTGTTTACACATTTGTTGAGTGCTCACGTAATAATTATAGAAATAAAATAAAAGCCCTAGAATATGCTATGAATGCATTGCAATACATGACTACAGCTTTTAGAACTGCAAAGAGAAAATCTCCAGCAAACGGAAGACTTTATCTGTTGGGTGTTCTTGTATTTCAAAGCAGGCTTATGGCGTTCTGCTAGCATTTCCTCTATGGGAATAATTCCATAATTGCACTTCATGGAACATCCTTCCTGGAAGTGCTCAGATTGATCTGCATTCCAAAAAAGATTATCGATGCTTTTTACATATGGAGTTAACTTTTCGCTTTATTTGACATTTAGCATACGTACTCAAAGCCTGCAGAGCCTTCCTCGTCGGAGGGGGTGGTTTCATCCTCGGACTGGTCGCTGAGCAGGTCGCAGGTGGGCAGGGAGGAGGAGTCAGCCACCTCGAGCACGGGGGCGATGCTGGGCCTCCTGCCCTCCCTGCCCCCCTGGGCGGGCAGAGCCAGCGTGGCCCCGCTGGCCCCACGGCACCCCGTGTCCTGCAGATCGATGGCCACGGTCCCTGCGCAGGGAAAACAGGGAAAACGTCTCCTCAGTGCTGCTCAGAACGTGGGAACGGCGTTCCCGGATTCACTGGGGGCTGCCTGGCAGAGGACTGGCAGCAGCACTGTCCGGGTGTGTTTATTTCACTAAAGTAAAACAAGTATTTCAGCTGTACTCAAGGAAAGCAACGCTTTTCCTGACAATTAGTCTGTGTCTTCTTGTTAACTGCCTCTTTTACATCATGCCTTATATAATCAGTCCATATTAATATGCATCAACAACGTGTAGATTTTACTTGAGGTGTTTGTTAAATTAAAGAAGCTCATGAAAACTTCTTAGAAACAATCAGGTATGAATGACAAACAAGTACTCATATGATTTACCCCCTTGTTTTGCTTTGCATTAACTTCATTATTACTTTTTTTTACCACAGTCTTAAGTAGTTTACTTCCACTTTGTCAAGTAACAGAGAATCAAATTCCATTTGTTTGTTTGGGGGTTTTGGTTTTGGTTTGTCTGCTTGTTTGTTTTTGTCTGGGTTTTTCTTTTGTTTAGTTTGGGTTTTGTTGTTTGTCTCTGGGATTTTTTTAAATATGAGGGTAAATGTTTGAAGTTTTTGTAGTCATTCTCTCTATTCATAATTACAGTTTCGTAAAAGCTTAGGAAGATGCTTTAAAATGTGCTACTCATTAAATAAGAATATGTTGTGATGTAATCTTTTTTTTTTTTTTTTTTTTTTACTTACCCATGCTGGCTATTATACTGTGTACTGGTAACCTAGAAGCTCCATGATAAGATAATTTTGATTCATGGTTTTTTCTATGCTTTTCTTGCTTCTTAAAAGCAGAATTCTCTTCTTTGGTGATATTTATATAAAAGCATATATCAGTAGAACTCATGATATATCGAGGACCTGGATTCAGCAAAATGTTTTTGTTATCTTCCTTTCTAACACCAATCAGACAGACTCCAAACCTTAATTAGAAAAGGAAAGGCATGGTTCATTTTGCATAGTCCTGCAAACACCAGAATTTCCATTGTCAAAAATGAACCTCAGGTATATTTTTATTCTTTGCACATTATGAACATTTGCAGCTTTCTGGATGACAAGGATGTTTGAAAAATGTGTCCTGCTAAATAGGCCACATCAAATCAAGCAGATTTTTATGAGCTCATGAATTCCCAGGCAGTTGAGTGTTTTTTGTAATGCCCATAATATTCTCCTAATGTTGTTCTAGTTGATTTTTTCTGTCAGATGAATAGTCCTTTCTGGGAAAATATTGGTAGAAAAAATGGATACATGATATGAAAAATTATTAATCATGTTAAATTGTTCCATTATTTATAAGTAATGGAGACCATTTTCATAATTCATTTTCCCAATTCACTTATAAAATGTATTTGATTAGTGACAGAAAAGAAGGAATTACAGAAAAAAACCCTCTTTTTCTCCTTGATTAAGTATGAGAATAAAACCAGCATTTAGGGTTTGATAAATGCTTATTTTATCAAATATATAAACATACACGATTTGTGTTTATTTTGCATGTTCATCTCACAGAGCAGCACTGGAAAAGTGATGCATCATCTGGACCTTAAAGCAGGTATGTTATCATCTAACAGAAAAAAGAGTTTTATGTTTGAACAATTACCAGAATGTACCATGTGACACCTTCAAATTGAACATTTTCCTTAATATGAACAAGTGACAAAGGAAGCCAGATTTCCAGCTGAGTCCTAAATAAATTTTAAAAACCCCATACCCTCCCACCCATTCATTTCTAGATTGTTTTGGACTTGGAAAAGGATTGTGGTTCTTGAAAAACCTCCAAAAAGTGCCTTTTTTCCTGGTTGTCCAGCTTATCCTTTATATCTATAGAGCACTATTCTCAGACTGAGATGGGCTGCTCAGGATGAACATAAGCTTCTACCTGACCAGCTCCACTCACAGAAATAAATCCATATTAGTGGCCAGCAGCTTAAACCCAGAAACAGATCAATATGCAGTACTGTGCCTTTAGTGCAGAGCCACGTTGCAGGCAAAACAAGTAATTATTTCTTTGAACTTTTGATGCTTGATAAGAAAAATAAACATACTTTTTATGTGCATGGAAAGAAGCATATGTGAAGCTCTTCCCCTCATACTCTGCAAAAAATGTACTTTCTTCCAGGTTGATGTGATACACTTCATTACCAGAGCATCTGCCATACATTTTCTGCCATTGTTCTGGTGATTGCTGACTCTCCCTGAAACATAAAGAGAATAATTTAACACTTAATGCAAAATTCCTATTAATCAGAATGGTATTTCCTGTCAATAGAAACTACAAATGTCTACTGAAAAGGTCCCATAGGCTAATCTGAAAGAAGTATTTGAGATCAAATCTTGGTTATATTGTAAGTACAGAGATTATCTTGGTGTATTAAAGAGCATTTTCTGCTAAGTAATAGATATATGAGAGCATGTACTTTAATACCAAGATAGAGATGGCTCAATTACTTTAAAATCACACCATAATATTGTGTGTGTAATAAATAAATAAATAAATAAAATAGTGCAGTAGGTATAGAACAGCACAAATAGCCATGTAATTTCAGAACACTTTCCCTTATTTCACTTTTCCCCCTAAAATAAAATGGTCACCTGTTTAATGTCTGCTTGGTTCCAGTGAGTTGCCTGAAAGCTTCCCATGGGGCTGTACTGTAAAGATCACATTAACTCCAAGTCAGAAAGATTATTTTCTTCCAGTATCTTGTATCATCAAACAAACCCTAACAGAGTTGTATTACTAGTTTAGATAACCAGATAACAGTTAAAGATAAATGTTAAGATTATTAATGAAGATTGATAATGAGATTATAAATAAGATTCAAGGTAGAATTTTGGTGTCTCACAGACTAAAGTTTTGAATTCCACAAACAGCTGAGAAGACAACAGGATTATTTGCACCTCCTTAACAGGTATTTAAAATTTGAGTCCTACATATGGTTTCATGCAGGTACTAATAGCAATCACAATAATAAAAGGATAATTAAACAGGAACTAATGTAAAGGAAAGCAGTTCACTATTAACATTAAAAGTCTATTTAACAAATTATTTTCATTACGTAGATCTAATTTCCTATTTTGTTTGGTTTATAAATACATGTATATAAAATTTTTATTTATACTTTAAATAATCTACTTTCACCTGATATTTTTACTTAGCCAAACCCAACTGCTCATCTGACTTCATCTTTCATATGCATAAATAACGGTAATTTCACCTACTTTAACAACTAGCAGTTAATTTACCTCTTGTTCAACAACAGAATATATCTGGAAAAGCAAAAAAACAACCCTCTCTGAACTATAAATTGGTCAAATCCAAAGCAGTTTATGTCTGCAGTACAATGACAAATGTCCTTCTTTTGGAGTCTGTCTGAGAATAAATGCTCTGAAGAGTGCTGACTGCAGTAGATAAATAATAACTAGACATTTTCACTTTTTCAGTCTTTCTGTATAAATACAGAAGAGTATTCTTACAGTAACATATAGTGTACATTCCTTCTGAAACACACATTATTTTAATCCTTCTGGATTCAAAGTAATGCTACAACTATTTGTGCAAAAAGCTTTTTCTTTTTGCTCCTAGTATACAATGACCAGACTAGAAAACAGTTATTTTTATTATGCTGGCTACATCTATTAATTCTGATTGCAAAAGAAATCTTAAGCACTTTTGAATTCTCTGACAGTTACTTTGCATCACAGTTGGGAATCTGTAAATGATCAATGTGACTGTATTAAACAATGAAATGCTGAAGTATTAAGTACAGCAGAAATCGTTTCCCTTTTCTGTGTTTGCTTTTGTGCTGAAGGAAAATTCCCTGACAACTGTTAGGAACACTGCTCTTCTTTTAGGTGCATGTAATATGAAATAACTGGAACAGGCTCTGGATTCTGTGCATGTCACAGAAGTACAAGGTAGGCAGATAAAAAAATGTATAAAGAATGTGTTTCACCACAGTGCTCAGCAGGTGTCCAAACAATGTTTTGTTGTCCTCCTACTAGGAGATTTTAGTGCACGCTGCCATTAAAATCTTGACATTTGTTGTTCTCGGTAGTAACAGTTCCAGGAAGAATTTGTTTTCCCCATTCTGGGCAAAGGGGAATACTAGAAATGTCATATAGAAGGTTAAATAACTCTGCTTATAAATAGATATATATTGGGTTCATGACTACTTGAAAAAGAAGTTAGCATGTTACAAGACTTATATAGTGTATATGCAGCTATTCCATTTCTACAAATATATTTAGAGTTTCACTCTTTATTGCATCTGTGTGCCCACGACATTTCAATCAAAAATACCTTATTATTCCAAGAATACAGCATAAAAGAGATACACCAGATCTGGTAAAATTATTTTAGTGTATTCAGAGAGGCTCTATTGTGACTATGCAGTCTGCAGAGACACCATAATTCTGCACCCCTTTCAGCAGTGTGGTCATGTTAAAATTAAAAATCACGGAGGTTTGTTTGCCTCTTAACATACAGGCATAGAAGAGTAAATACTACATGTCATCAAAAAAACTTTTTTTTTTAGTTCATTGAAACAGACCTTGAAATTAACCTATTAGAAAAGACATTCTTAGGATTTGTTAGTGCTCATAAGTAGAACTTTGTGATAGAAACACTTTACTAAACCAGAAATTCAATTTTTTCATATTTTATATTGTGAAGTAGCACAACAGCATGCAACAAACTCTTAAATACTGGGGGAGGATGTCTTCTCTTCAAAACTATACTGCCTTGAGTAAGACATTTTGATGCTTTTATTGTGCAGAAAGTTCCATTTTCTTTTTTAAAACTGTAATTGTGTGAGAACCCAGGGTAAGCTGTTTTCTAGCTGTCAGCTGTGACTTTTTCTATACTTACTGTCCCCTAGATGTATGAACCAGCAGAGTGATTAATGTAGAAGTAGCTGGACATATGCAATTTAGAGCTAGCATAGCATATTTGAATTCCTCTTCACATACAACATGATCTGTAGGGAAAAAAAGAAGGATACAAATTGCTTTACAAAATTAACAGAACAGAATTATCACTTCCTTGTCTCGGAAAGTGGTGAAGATGGATCGATCAAAAGTTGGCCCAACATCTTAACTTTCTGCTTGAACCTTGGAAATCAGCTGTGTATGATTTTCCCTGTCTGTGCTATCTAACATGGATGGCTACTGTTTTAAATCCAGATCACAGCTAAATGCTCTCCAGGGCTTGCTGATGGCATGAAAAGGAAATAGAAATTATTCTTTAATGTAATTCCCATATATCTGTGACAGTATTGAAATAGCTATTAAAAGGGACAAGCACAAAACTTGTAACTGCTTGTCAGTGTATAAACATAAATTCAGAGAGGTTTTGTAAAACCATGAAGGCATTTAATACTAAGTCAGTTTTTCCCCTCTGAATATGGTCTTTGGTTCTTTTGAAGGGATCGGAATTTGCTCCTAATCAGAAAGAATATTACAAGTAGTACAGTTGATGATCAAAACATAGGCACATGAAAATTGCTGAGTAAAGGCAGGCAAACAACCTCCCCAGCCAGACCTGAACTCATGCTTCTGGTTTCACCAATGTGACACCGAAATCCTTAGAACTTCCTTGCCTCTCTAAGCTGCTTTCCTGCCAGAATTACTTGTATAGCTATAAGCATGACACTTCCTGAAAATAAAAGTGAAGGCATATTGTGCCTTCTCTGTTCCTTTTATTTTGAAATATCTAGAGGCTTTTCAGTAACAGAATCACTTACTACTGAATTGAGTAATTAATTCTCCTATTTTCTGAAGATCAGGGCCTATTTAAATGTCATAGGGAAGAGATGAATTTAGTTATATAAAGACACTGTCAAATATAGGACAAAAAGAGATTTTTCTTCCTGCAAATATATTTCAGCTGTAGCAATTAAATATTTTCTGCAGAAAATGTTTCAGATAGAAATATGTTCTTTTAGTTGACCATATGCCATTAATAAACCTACTTGAATTTCAAACTAGAGAGGGTAAGGCATAGTTGGTGGCTTGAACAGAATATCTGCAATCCATTACCATTAGTGGGATGACAGATATATGGAAGTGAATACCACCTTCCTGACACTGAAAGATAGAGAATTCTTGCTAATTTTTAATTTGTTTAGGATTTTGCCAAATAACCTCCCCTTATTTTTAGTTTGGAATGTTGTCATATTATAGCTAAACATTTTGAAAATACAAGAAAAAATACACAGGGTAATGATTTCATCCTCTGTTACTTCAGATCTTGTATTTGAACCCAACTGTACATGCTGGCCTAAATATATACAAATCGAAGTTAATAAATCACAGATGGCACAATGAAGATGAAAACTGTAGCTTCAGTCCTCCAGATGCACTCTACCCTCTAACACCTATGGTGAACTTTCTTGGCAGATCTTTATGTAAAATATAATGTTACCAAAGAATACAGCATACAGCAGAGATTGCTGTCCTACAACAGCCTCTTAATCATGTCTGTAAGAGATTCACATGGTGTTGTCAAGTGTTTTTACATCAGGAGCCCTGGAGCTGGACTTTTGGACTATTTTTGCACTTGTTTGAGACTCTGACCTTCTGCAGGTAAGTTCCTGTATTAGACACAGACCAAGTCAAAAATGCCTTGTTCATTTCTCCAATTATTTGACAGTTTCTAGCCTTCCTATAACGTTAACTGTGTATTCTGTGTATGCTCAGGCCTTGTCTTGAGGAGGATTACACAGAACTTTGACTGCTGCCTCTTTCAGAGGTGAGCAGGGAGGAAGCTGGATGACAGCTCTCCCCCTCCTCAGGTCTGGGACATCACTTGTGGCCCCTGACAGCAGGCACCAGAATCAGCAAATTACTCATGCAGTGTGACAGTGAGGCAGCCCAGGAAATTGCAGTTTGTCTCAAAGTGAATATTAAATATGTCATATCAGCTTGCCAGAGAAAGAAGTATTTTGATTGAGTTTATACTAAAGAAATATTACATGTAGAATTTCCGTAAGTCGCTGTTTCTGTTGAAAATCTATTTTGACAGCAGTTTTGTTGCTAAGTCTGTCTCAAATGGATGTAGTAATGCAGTGGGGTGAGTTATGGTTTCTGTGATGTTACTGAGGATAAAACAGACTCAAAATACTGATTTATGCCTGCAGCAGCAGCCATGTGGTAAGAATGACCTAGACCTGGCACAATTATTCTGAGAAACCTTACTTTTGTCAATTTGATAAGTTAACATGACCACTACCAGATCTGATAGAGAAAAATTCCCATCCATTACCTCTAGACTATTTTTATCTGTAATTGGACAGATTAATCATCTGCTGCATTTAATATCCATTTAGGTGAATCTGGACTATGTTTCTTTGAAATAAACTACTGAAGCTTTGATGTCAGGCTTCAATAATCTCCGCTAATTCATGGATGCATTTTGAATAAATAGAGAATGTCAAAATGTATCCCCGTTTCCTGGAATTGTAATTATATATAATTTCCAAATATTCAAAGTAAAGGATATATATACACACACATACACATACAGACATACACAAAAATTATAAAACTTTTAATTTCAGCTCAGAAAATATTGAATTTAGTAGTCTCTGAATTGCATAAATATATTGCTCTGCTGTGGAAAATCTTCACTTTATTTCCCTTTTGTGCTGAAATGCAGGGCCAGGAGGTTGCACCAAGGGTACATGGCCTTTTGTAGCCTTGTGTGTTTGAAAGAAAAGTGGGAAGATTAGGAATCTAACTGCCAGCATTACTGAAAGAAAAACTGGGCATATCAAGGCATTTTTATATCGGAAATTACTAGGGAGAAATCAGAGTATTTCAGCTCAAGAAATAAGATAGTTCCCCATCTGATGACTGTGATGTTAACAGTGGCTATGTATTTATAGTGTTCACACCTTAAACTTGCAAAGGGTTTTGCTGGGACATTTATGCCACTGTAGCAATGTAAGCAGGTTAATATTGTAAACAAAATAGTTAAAATTCACTGTTAAAAATATCAGAAGGCACAGAATGCAAGGATGTGTGTGTGGCACCAGGTGGAAAGTCAAGAAACCTGACTTTCTGACAGGTCATATGAGCCTGGCCAAAGTGCCTCCATTCTCTTGCTTTGAGGACAAAAATAAATTCTCATTCTCTCTCATTAAAGACAGGGAGGATGTTTAAGTCTTGTTTACAGGATGGGAATACATTATAACAATTACTTTTCCCACATACTGTTCCCTACTCCTATAGGAACATGCAGTCAGTATCTGAATTTCAGGACTGCCTCATGCAATCTAGGACTGGTCAACCTAATATAAGCTGCTGAGGAAATGGGCTGCTAGTGCTTTATACATTTTTAATGTTATTAAAAGTTAAACTTTAGTTAGGAGGTCTATTTGGTTATATTTCATCTAAATTCAAAAAGTTAATTTTTTTGACAGCTGTAGTCTCTAAACCAGTGTGTAAAGAAAAAAAAAAAAAAAAGAAGAAGAATAAATGCTATTGCTGAGTGCGTCAGGTTTATAAAAATGCCCACTATTGTTCTGGGAAGCCTCTGGAAGAAAACAATCATTTTTTCAAGGAATATGAGATTTAAAAGAAGCTTTTACATTAAGGCCGTAATAAAGCAGCCCTGAATCATAATAGGAAAAGCACTTAGAAAAATGTTCCAGGTGGTTGTGACAAATTTCACTCGTAAACACTCTGGACAGGTCTGCAGTCTGCAGCCCCCACTGGGTACATGTTTCAGGATGATGAAGCGTTGGGTGACATCAATATACCAAAGGGAGATCCTCTCAGGAAAATGTATGCAAACTAATATTGTTCTCGTGGCTCCAGCAGTGCCTAACCATCTGCAGCAGGTGAGCATCTAGTGGTGATGCTGAAGTTCAGCTGAAGGAAATTTTACCAAAAGAGTTTTTTTTGGTTGTTGTTTTTTAGTTTGGCTTTTCTTTTTTTTTTAATATGGTCCAAATTCTATAACACTTCAAACAGACATGAAAAATTGCCTCTGTTTTAAAAGTCTAGTTGTATATAAGCTCCTACAGAGACAACCCATTAGGAATAATGAAACTCTCTTAAAAGCACAATTTGGAACAACAAATTAACACAGTTACTGATAAAGGAAAGCGGCCATGGCTAAGGGAGCAGGGATTATGTTTATGCTGGCTGGTTTTAAGGGGGAGATGAAAAAGTACCATCATTCTCATCACAGCAGGAGCCTTATTCCCCTCTGTGCCATTTCATACTTGAGAATACACTTTTATAACTTCAGAACTGCTACTGATGGGGTTTCTTCTTCTTTCTAACCCAGTGGTAAATTCCACAGCTTTTAAAATTACAGCTTTAACTGTTGCTCTGGAGCAGTTCTGCTGGAATTTAGTTTTTCATCACATTCTGGGATGATGGAGGAGACTAATATTTTTCCATAGAGTTGTTTTTATTTTTGCAGGAATCAGCAATCTTTCCTTCCTTGGAATATAATTCAAGAAAACTGAATTTTCAAAATTGCAGCTGAAAAGGAAAGCTTCTCTTTTACTTCAGGGCTATTTCTCCAAAAGTATTTGTGTGTTTTTGCACATGAGCATTTGTACATCTATGTACTTGCATAAATGACTGATATAGACAGAAAGAAAGAGAAACATATAATGCAGAGAAATAGTTTGTCAAATAATAGGTGGTGACAAGAGTGATTTTCTCAGATTTCTTAACATCATTTTGCATTTTATGCCATGGTTTCTAAGGCATGCATTTTACTAGATATAGAATTAAATTATATATCTCTCTCCAAAATATTTGCAAGTAATTAAAATCATGTTTTTCATACCACTTGGTAAAAAACAATGAGGAGATTTTTCCCTCAATCATTTGTTGGACTAAATCTGAATAGATCTTCTTATACAGCCCTTAGTAACTATGTTTTAGTAGACAGAAATGAATTGCAGCCATGGGTACAGTAAACTGGAGACTTGCCTGGATCAGGAACAAAGGAGTAGCTACACATCAAAAAATCATACTCTCTTATATTATGTAGCATAAAAATATTAATTCTTAAAAGTGCTTGTAAGTTAAGTCTTTATCATGGCTAGGATGTGTATTATTTTACAAAACTGCACATTTAATCAGTTTCTAAGTAGTAAATACACCCAGGGATTCTTGCTTTGTTGTGTTCATGAAGCAAACTGTCACTGACAAGTGCTTCAAATGCCAGCAATTGTCCACTTACCTGCAAACTTGATGTGGAATTTATTCTCAGGCTTCAGTATCTGAACATACAAAGGACAATTTGGAGCAAAGTCTTTGACTGCCCAAGCTCTTAAAATAGTTTGGTGATCCTAGAAGAAAGAGTAGGAGGGGGTGCCAATGAAATAAAAATAACCATGTCAGATTAGAAAAGGAATCTATTATCAGACTTGCTCCATTGAAGAAAACTCATTTTAAGACCATGTGGCACCAGCTGGTATGGATGTTTATGTGCAAGTTATATAATTGCTTTACTTATTAATTTCCAGCAATCTTCCACTAATAAGGTATTTTGAACCTCTCCTATTTTTCTGCAAATGCTAATGATTGTGTTATTTGGAAAGGGGTAGCATTTGGATATGAAATGATTGTGTGAAAACTTAAGATGGCAGTGATTAGTCATGTCTAATTAATCAAGAATTATGTAGCATAGATGTCCTTACAAAGAGACTCATAATTAAAATAGCATTAAATGACGACATCAAGAACTGAGAGTTTAAAATTGTGGGTGATTCTAAAAATATCAGTTTAATTAAAAGCAGATCTGAATTTTTGTGGAACTAAAACATTTGCACAACTGATGTCAGGATTTAGCCAGCTATTAACCAAAGATTCCAAGAGATTTTTCAGGCTGTTAAGTTTTTGTTCTTGTTACCACATGGCAAGAATGAGTTAACTGCAGGGTGAACACTGCTAATTATAAAAGTCATATATGTGATAGTGCGTTTATATTTTGAATTTTGTGACATAAGACTAATTCCAGTCTATCATCCATCAGATTTTTATTTATTTCAAAACAAACATTTCAGAGCAGTATCTAGGAATCCATTCCTGGATTGAAATGCCTTACCTAGTCATTAAATTGGTGGTATTTAAAGATAAAATGTAAAGAATGATTCATTATATTTGCAGCATCAGCAGTAAGAAAAGGTTTCAGACTTGTGAACACAAGGGAAAATCTCTGCCTGGAACAGAGTGTAATTGACATTTTCAAACCATAATATTTTATTATCAATTGAGATGTTAGCAAGTTTTTCTACTAGAAAAACTAAAATGGAGTAATAAGAGGATGGCAAAATATTTCACATTTTTCTTATTAATCATTTGATAGATGTAGGATTGCTCTGCCATTTAGGAGATTTAAAAGCATGGGTGTGACCTGCTCTAGGTTTTCCTTGTATGCAGCCACTTTTTTTTTTTTACTTTTCTGTAACATATGGCAAGCTACCCTCCTCAGGATTTTGTGTTTGTGTGTGCTGTAAGATTTTCTTGTTTTTCTTAAGGTAATGACACACCAACACAGCTAGAAGCAGCAAGTGACTGGGTAATGTGCTAGATGGCTCTCACACAGATATGCTACAAGCCTAGAAATATAGTTATCTCTATGTTAGATATTTTCTTGGATTTTTTTAATTATAGTTTTTTAAAGCCCAGTTTTATCAGAATGTGCAATGATTGTTAAATATAAGAATAAAGATTTCATTATAAAATGATTCAAATTACACTTATTTTATTAAAAACTCAAACAAAACTAGACCCATAGATCAACTCAGTGAGTATGCACTGTTAATCCAATAATGTTGCATTAATGTTTCTTTTTTTCTCTTTCCAGTTGGTATACCCATGTGTTTGTGTACAATGGTTCCCAAGTTTTTTGCTCAGTTATTCTCCCAAATTCCACTCTGAAGAAGGACTCCAGGGGAGAGAAAGAAAAATACAGGTAGGCACCTTAAGTGATTTCTTAGATTCAGTCTCTTCATACAGTATTGTGGCTCTCTGTTTTTAAATGTTGCAATTTCTATGCTATATTGCAGTCACTTTAAAAAATGTTCACCTTTCTCCCAATATATGGTATATATGTGCCCACAACTAACAGAGGTAAGTGAAACAAAATTATACTTCTGTTCCTATTATTAAATATATGTTTCTTTGGAAGGTGAGTGAAAAATATGATCACTCTTCTGTGTGATCTCCACACAATGAACTGCAGTCAGTGATCAAAAATTACCACAGATACAAACAGTGATTAATATAGAGGTGATATTTAAGTTCATGTACGAAAAGCTGCAAGTTTTAAAGTGGGTGTATTTCAATCATAAGAACTCAAGGAAATGCATTTAATATGTATTTTTAAGTAGTTCTGTTAATTAAACCTCTTTTTTTGCCACACATAACTGGATAAATTAGTTATATCCTGCTATGTTTGCATCCATATTGTGATGCCATTACGGCACTGTAATTTAGATTAGCAGTACAGCAGAGTCACACAATTTGATTAATGAAACAGAAAAAAAAAGGTGCAAGCTTGATTTGGACCATCTCTGAATTTTCAGAAAGCATTAGAACAAAGCTGTCAGCAACAGCGGAAGTGTTGTCACTAGAAGTTATTAACTAACAAAATAGCAAGCAATGAATAGCCAGGGGTACCCATGGCAAATGAGTAAATCCTCTGCTTGAGCATTGTAGCTGGGGGGATAAAAACCCTCAAAAAATCACTTGAGTAACAACAGCTCTTCTGGTCAGGAATCTCCTCCTTTTATTTTGACAGCTGTCATGCATAGGAGAGGGTCCAAGGCTCTTTTAGCAGTTTGTCAGCTTCTCAACAACAGCAGGGTGGAAAATCAGTGGTACTCATAAAGATTGTTACTGGGATGACAGCTGAACTTCCTTCAGCCCTGTGACAAACAAACCTCTATACTACCATGAGGCTGGAGCAGTGTAGGAAATACAATAAATTTCATTTCACAGCCCTAGGGGGCAGTAAGATAAAATAGTTTTTTTAAAAAATTAAGAATTTTCCACTTGCAGTATAAATAATTGCATTTTCTGTGAAAATGTAATCTGACAGCAAAAGGGAGAACAAGGCAGAGATGTGATACCTTGTTTCAAAGCTTCAGAACCCACTGACCCTGAGATATCACTGTGGCCCAGGGGAAGGGGCCTGGAGAGAGTGTTTGGTGAGATGTGCCTGTTTGTGTGCTCCAGGTACAAAGAGAAATGAGATTTAATAGAAGTCTGCAGTGGCAGGTCCATCCTGGTGTTTCCTGAGGGCAGGAAGGAAGAGCTGCAGTGGGCCATGGCTCCAGAGCCAGAGCTGCACCATGCTGCCCACAACGGATGGGAGCTCTGGGAGCTCCATGCGAGCCCACTGCCTGCCCTACAGCAGAGTCCAGCAGAGCTGAAAATTGACTTTTCTCTGCATAAATTCTGAAGCAGTTATGAGCAGAGATGAGCAGCTGACTGGTGGTATTGCTGTCCTTAATGCTGCATAAACCTTCCCAGTGCAGTATAAATCACACTGATTTTATGGTATTTCTCATTTGTAACCACTGTGCAACTCTCGAGTACATTATGTGAAATGAGATGTTGTAGCTGATTTATTCTGAATTATGAAATCATGGCTGATTTAGATAAGACACCTGGGCTATTTTGGAATTTTTCAGTCTCCTACAAGTTACAGGTACTTTTCAAGGTATTTGCAGGAACTCCTGCTTGTTCTTACCTTTAAATACCCCAGACCCTCTGTCACTTCCAAGCAGTAGTTCTGCCTTGCTTGACTACTCTGGGACTACTTACTGCCAGTTCAGTGGCTTTCACTGCTGTATTTTCAGGAGTCTATTGCTGATGCATCAAATTCAAAGTCCTTAGGTCAGTAAGTTTAAACGTGTGCAGAAGCACAGGTTTATGTCTCAGGGACCTCAGTGAATTTCTGCAAGGGGTGGGTCCAGAACAGGATCTTTAGCTAAGATCTTTCAACTAAGTTCTGATGCCAGATGAAGTAATACGTGATAGAAAATATATTAAGTAATGTTACAGATATCATGCAAAGCTCTCATTTCCAATTTTTTACTATATCTGTTTTCAACATTTAGAAAAATTATTGCTGTTTCTTACAATGTAGCACCAAAACAGTATTTTTAGTTGAGATCACTTAAAATATAATTACTGAATTGTAAATATTGGTTGTGTCTTGTTAGCCAATTTACAAGCATCTTCAGGGATATTCAGACTAATACTGAACCCTTTTGGAGTTCAAGATTGAACAGAATGAGGCAAGCCTGCAATAATTTATTGCAGTGCACACAGTGGAAAATTTCAAGTTATGTTCATAAATCCATCCTCAGTGGAATTTTTTTTCTGGATATTTGTGATCAATAGATAATTTCATTAGCTGGAGGAGTTCTGGTTCATCCAGTGTTATTCTTTTATCACAGATGCACTGCACAGAAGTTGGTATTAGCAGAGCAGTGTTCCCTTGTGGACAGTAACTTACCTGACTGCAAATAACAACCAGCATGGGCAAACCCACAGAATTCTATTTAAACAATCCTGCAGTTTTTCATTTTTAAAAATGGCCCATATGAAAAATGGTCAAATAGTCTCATATATACTGGTTGCTTGTATTAGTCACAAACTTATTTATGAAGTTGAATTCAGGCTTTACTTCATTAGTTCTAAATATACCAGTCAGTTGATACCTGTCTCTTTTCTGATTTAATAAATACAACTGATTAAATTGAATATCTAGAGCAGTTCAGGTACTTTGAATATTGACAGAGCAGCATTCTTGGAAGTGATTAATGACCAGTTATCAATGTATCCATGTATCTACTATGACAGTACATTTATGCTATTCTGCCCTTGTTGCACAATAAAGAGCTGAGAGGGAGTAAGGGCAGTAAAACTTGTCCATCCTGTCATTCCTCCCTCCCCACTTACTGCTGCTGTCCTGTCCACCTCACAGCGGCTGCTCAGGATGAAGCAGGCTTCAGCATTGTCCATCCTGGAAGAGAGGAGACAAACCTGTCACAGCCCAAGCAGGCACCCATGGACTCGTGTCACACAGTCACATCTTGCACAGGAACACAGAACACAGACAAAGCTGAGTCTGTTCTCATTTCTTACCCTGGTGACAGGAAAAGCTGTGCCAAAGTAGTAAAAGCAGAGAGGCTTTAAACTTAATTTGTAAAGTTTTTATCTGTCATGAGTATGGCAGGTGAATAATAAGCACCAGCCTGCCTGGTGTGTAAGAGTGCAATATGCACAAGTTATTACTGGTGAGAATTAACTAGAGGGGCAGCTAACAGACTTGTCTTGCCTAGTGAGAGCAGAAAGTTGGGTAGATGTACAAGAGTAATGTGCTTGGGATAAATAACAGACATTTCTGTCTATATATGCATTAAATGAACTCTTCCAGTTCACAGTGTCTCTGATTAGAAGAAATCATGGGATCTCTATGAGTAATTTTAGCTAAGCATAGAAGTAGTACTGGGAAGACAGGAAAGAAGTTATAGAAAAAGAAAATTCAGTAAAATTAGATGAGATTTTTTTCTGCAAAAATGCAGTCTTTTGTAATTGGCTATTCACTGCTGATGCTGTCATCCAGCTGTTGGTATTCCTTTACTTTTTGGTGTTATCTTTATCATGTTATTTTGACATTGGTTCACATATAATATACGGATGCATTTTGATAATGAGACCCTTCTTGATTAATTTTTTGTTGTTGGTAAGTATTACTTTATTTATTAGAAGAATTTTATCATGTGCCTTATTAGCTCCTCAGTACATTATGTTCTCATTAAAAAGAAATGCACAAACATCTTGGGTACTGGGTTATATTTCATATCCAACGTTCTATTAAATTCCCACTATGCTTCTTCCCTCAGGAGAGGTTGAAAATTATTCTGTGACAGGTACATTCAATTACATGTTCTGCAGGAAAAAGCACAGTTCCACAGCTGACTACCTCCAGGTTATTATAAGTGAAATTCAAGATTATATTTAGGGAACAGCCTAATTTTAATTCTTGTAATGTGTAGAACAAATGTCAGCTAAATCCACATATGAATTCCTTCTTGAAATCAGCAAGAAAGCAAAAAGAAAAAAAAAAAAAAAGAAAGAAGGATCTCTCCAAAAGAAAATTTCTAATCTTGAACAAAGCTTTCTTGTCTTGTCAAATTTTAAACACTGTTTTTTCAGTGGCAGAAGTCTGAGAAGGTAACACTGCTCATGAAGCTTCTCACTGATGAGATTCTTAGAAATAACTCCCCTCAGGTAAAGAATGTCACAAATAGCCAGACAGGTAATAGCTTAATTTTAGTTATCTAAAGCACAGAGCAGTGCAGATGAGTTAAATCAGTTATTTGCTAAGAATCACCTTTCCCTCTCTTTGGAGAGTTTAAAGAGATGACCCTTCTGCATGAATTTCACTGTGAATTCCTTTGCAGCTCAACTGATTGAGCACTGGAGGGAGGTGTGTGTGTGAGGAACTCTGCTTGACTGATGTGTTTTGATAAATGTCACTCACTATTAATTGGCAGAGAGCATCTCTTAGCAGTGGTGGAAGTATGTGGTAAAAGGAGGGCCCTGAAGAGTTCAGGTATGTATAGCAGAACAGTTGATTAATGTTACCACCCCTAACTTAAAAACCCAAAACTGTACATTGGGTTCAAAATTTCAGATATTAAGAAAAGCAAGTTCTATCAAAGAGCTTTGCTTCACCTTCTAAATAAACATGGTTTCCTTCTAGCACAGCTTTCTTTGCTTGTTAAACTTATTTATCAAACAGTATGAATGAAAAATAAAAAAGAATGGTCAATATTTGCCTACTTAGCTCTCAATAGGTCTTGATCTTTTAGGGCTGAGCCTTGCAGGTAGATAACTCTTTGGGACCACATTGGGATTTGTAACACCCTTCGGACCTGAGCATCCATCTCCGTAGGACACAAAATAACCACATAATAGTCCTGTCAAAACAGAAGAAAAAGGGGAAATAGTCATGGTTAATGTTGCTGGAGAATGAGTCACCAGTAACTTCAGATGTCAAAAATGTCTCAGATAAGACGCTGACAGGCAGAATTTATTTCCTCAAAATTTCTCCTTCACATTAATGGGCCAATCCAAACTGCTTCCTGTGCTACTTGGAAAAACAAGGATGGTTTGAAGAATCCATAAGTGCACAAATGAAAAGGAGGGAAAAGTGGAACATGGGAGAGGAGAGCTTAGGCCAGGCTGGTGATAGAAATCTCCCTTTCTGCAACAGAGATTTCCTAAGAAAGCAAAATGTTATTGGATGCAGTGCACCATCTGTATCCCTCAGCTTCTTGGTACATAGAATCATTAAGGTTGGAAAAGATCTCCAAGATCATTGAGCCCAACTCAATTTCAGCTGTGAAGGGAATGTATATGAGCCCTTTTAAGTTACCTGTGTAGTATTGGGGCTTTTCTTCTTTGTTTCCAGTGTATCACGGAGCTTGACTCATTCTTCAGCTTAGTTAACAAAACGTTGTGTTTCAATTTGTGTTTGTATCTATAAAGAACTGGATTTCTTTGTGCAATTGCTTATGCCTCCTACTAGCTAATTGTTCTGGGGAATATATTGGATTTGGGATTTGGCAAATTGCTGCTCAGCCGTTTGAAGGTTGTATTTGTGTGATTCTTGCAGTGGTTAATGAAGCATGATACCACAGGTAACTTAGCAAAAGACATAGAAAAGGTTTACTAAAAGGGAGAGTCTGTAGCAAAGACAATGATAATAAATCCAAAATGATAATAAATCCAAATTGATAATAAATCCAAATTGATAGAAATAAGCTTCTAGATGTTCCATAAGCCATTTGACAAGTTTGCATTACCTAGGGAATATGTGTGCACTAACAAAATCTGTGTATTCTGTCAACATCTTTGTCCTTTGAAGTACATGTATTTATTTCTTAATTTCCATAATTCCAAGAAGATCTTATCTCTGCAAGGCTGTACAATGTGCTCTAGGATGACCCTGCCTGAGCAGGGAGGTTGGACCAGATGATCCCCAGTGGTGCCTTCCAACCTGACCCATACTGTGATTCCTAGCACTGGCAAAAAAACAAAGCAAAATGTGAAAACCAAAAGATGTTTTTAATTGTGAAGATTTTTGGATCCAGTCCCGAAACAATGGGGAAAAATTGAGTAGCTTTCATTTATTTTCTGTTTTTTGGGTAGAATCTAAGGAATTTACATGGAAGTATCTGTTTCTAAAAAGATTGGCACAATTCAACAGGACACTATTTCTACCTATTTAGTCTTTTCCCCTCAATACCTCAAATTAAAATGCCTCCAAACTCTGAATCTCAGCTTCTTACTACAGGTATAGGTTCCCAATTCAACTATCTATTCCCAAAATCAGTTTTACAAATTAAAAACATTTTCAGATACTTTTCTTAAAACAAACAAAAAACCAAGCAAAAACCAAAACAACAATCAAACAGTGATTTTGGGGGATTTATTTTTCCATTCTCAGTACCTGCAGTCTGGGGTGGGCATAGAATTCATTTAAGAAATCCATGAGTAAGTCAATCTTCAGAGAGCTCACACACAGCACAACATGTTTTTCTGTCTGAGCTCTGTATCTGCTGTAGTTTCCACCAGACTTTTGCCTCTCCATCCACAAATATGCCAGCTGTTCAAACTGCAAGAGATGCTGACTGTCAGTGAAATAGAGACCAGTAGGTGAGGGCTACAACTCTAGAATGACTTAGCAATGTTGCATTGTTCATCTCACCCCCCCAATGAAAAGTTGCCTTTAGCCCCAATATCTTTGTCTTTGTAAAATGTTCTCTAAGTAAGGTGATCACAAACCACAGTAATAGTGCCAGAGTCTATCACATAAAAACAGCAATGAAAATTCATTAAAATACCAGGGGAATACACTAAATCACAGGAGTTTTGAAAAGAATGAAGGCTGGTACCTTATTCCTTTAAGTATTTTATGCCTCTGAGCTCTCTTTTTCCAGTATTGTTACATAATTGCTTCCCTTGTATGAAAGGTTAAGTTTTCACACACATACTGTGAATACACTTGGAAAGAGGCACCATTTTCTCTTAGTTTGGGCAGTAAATGTTCCCAGAGATTTTATAATGTTCTGAAGGTGATGTTCTGTAAACTCTCTTAACTGCCTTATAATTTTAGATACAACTTAAATACACAGCAGCTGCTGATACAGAAATTTTGCCTTTGTCAGCTGAACAATATATGCAGGTAAGAGAATAACAGTCTGTAAAGAAACATACAAATACCAGTTAAAGCTTCTTGTAAGTAACACATGCTTAATACTGAGATCAATTTAACTGTATGGCTGTGTGATAGCATCTTTTTCTCCTCCACCTTCCACTGATGGAGAGGCTGGATCATGAATAATAACTGATTTCATTTCATTGCAGGGCTCAGGAGAGAATGCCTCCAACTCCATTATGTGTATGGAAAACTATATGAAGCCCCATTATCGCTACAAAGGTATAAAATAAAGCAGCTAATAATAGGTAAATTTATGTGAAATTTCAGTAGATTCTAGGTTATGTACTGCTCCTGTGGGAGCCTCAAGTATATATCAGAACCACCTTAAGGATGAAATTTCTATGTCCTAGAAAATACCAAATTTCTTAAAGAGAGCACATTTTAGTTTTCAATAGAATCTATATTTTACTAATTTTTCACTGAGTGAGAATATAATTGTGTTGGTGCATATGGCTATGAATACATACATTCAATATTTAATTAGAGTGTTAAATAACTTCAAGAAAATTAATGCTGAAAGCTTGAGCTTCCACCCTCCCAGGGCTTGCGTGTTGTCTGCCCACACTGAGCTTTAGCTCTCTGCCAAAGAAGCAGAAACTGGAAACTATGGCTGTGTGAGAAACTCTGGAGCTTCATGGTCTAGCAGGTCTGCTGTAAGCTTTGATAAAAATGCAGAGTGTCTCCCCACATCCTCTTTTGCTGGCACAAGGGTGGGTGATCACCCTGTGTGGAACAGTGAACATCCTGGCAGGGTTTCCCATGTAACCTCAGGGTTTCTGTCATCCAGCCTCACCTAATGAGCTGGAAAACGCTTGGTACAAATTGAACAAAGCTAACTGACTCCTTGAAATACTTGGATTTTCAGAAATTGCTCTTTCCCTGTTGAAACTGTTAGAAGTCCTAAACTTAGGCAGGCATGAAAAATTCCTAACTGTGCTGCTGGCTCTGTGTGCATGTGTTCCATACACAGCTGTGAACCCAATTTGCTTGAGTTGCAGATTTAATGAGATTTTTTTTCAAGTTAGCACTGAGCTGTAAGAGCAAGAGAGGAAGTGGAGAGAACCAAGATTAGAAACAGGGAGAGCCTGCAGAGGAAAAGCTGTACTCATAAAGACAGTGCTGGCTACTGTTGTGGGGTTTTTTGGTAATTGCTCCATTAATAACAAATCCATATCTCAGGATAAAGGAAGGCCTCTGTGGTACATGACTGGTGCAAAAAACTTTCATCAGCACTTGAAAACTGTTATCAATGCCCTGTTTTTTAGTATAAATCTAGAGTATATAGGAGAACATACAGGAACAAGGGAAAAAACCCACAATAGGAGAGATAGATGGTTCTTTTTTCTGACATTTTCTGTGCAATAACAGCAGTAACGATAAATTATTTCAGTTCCTTTGTTTCAAAAACAATTCTAAAGAGAAAAAAAATAATCCGCATTTACCTGTATGGGCAACACCACAAGAGCAACACAGATCATAATGACAACAAGCAGCTTTGAAGGCCATATCTTGGGTGTAACATCCCCAAAGCCCACAGTAGAAAATGTCACTATGCAGAAATAAAGGGAGTCAAAGAGAGTCAACCTGTTTCCTGCTCGTTCCAGATGCTGAATTCCACAAATACTACGTAGAAAAGAATGAATAAAGACATGAAAAATAAAAACTGTTCAAGCTTGATGATTATACGTGCAGAAAACCATTTTCAGAATTTATAAATTGCTTAGCAAAGACATTTTTTTCAAAGAAAAGTAAAAATTAGTATCAAACCAGAAGTGCTATATTGTTACAACTTTCAAGAGTCATTTGTAATAAAAAACACATTTTTGATTATTCTAATATGATAGGCACAACTGTTGCTAGGTTTTGCTTAGTGGCTGTTGTGAAGGAGAGGTGGTATATAGAACATCATGGATTGATGCAATTCCTTTCTAAACCAGAACAAAACAGATGGTATAGAGCTGCCACCATTCAACATTTTTTATAGATATGTTTCAACTTTTTCAGGGAGGTTTGCTTGCTGCCATGGCCAAGAAAACTGCACATACAGCTTTCTGTAAATCTGTCTCTCTTTGTGCTAGGCTCTGGCCCTTTCTGTGGCAGAGTTACTGATGTGAACCAGTTCTGAGAGCACAGCTGAATATTGGGAGGTTTCTTGTGGTACAAATGGGTACTGACTGTCTGGAACAAAGTGAATGTGAGAACTGCAGTGTACTGAATTATCAGAGGAAAGAGCATCCAGGGTCAGCCTTCAGGTAGAAGTGGGAGGTGGCAACTGGCGAGATTCTGCTCACAGAGAGTACAGAGTAGAAATACGGGGCTGGCTGGGTCTGTAATAGCAGAGCAAGTGGAGTTCATCCCTTCCAGTCACACATTCCTGAGAAGAAGTAAACAGCAGCCCAAGTTAACTGGTAATTACTTTTCTTGGAATCAGCATGATGTGCTTTTGGTTTTGAGAAGCTGTAACAGAATCTCTCCAGAGGTCATCCTGCCATTTCAAACATTGCAAATTTCAAAAATATTTCACTTTGTAAATATGTATCACGGCAAAGAGCTTCCCAAGCTTAAAATATGATCTTCTCGTATACAGTGGAATTACTTAGTTCACTTCAGGCTTCACTTAAATTATATTCATCTACATAAAAAAAAAACAAACCAAAAAACCTCAATGTGTGAACAACCCTGAACAGCACTTTTCCCCCTTGGAGCTAGCAGGATGATTTTTCCTCAGAGAATTAGATAAATAATTAATAAATCATATCATATTCCTCAGTAATTATTCTAGAACACACTAAATATTATTTCTTCATGTATGGTATCCAGATGGTAAGAGTCCCTCATTAATATCTGCCATGGGAAGACCTTTGCATCACCAGGGAGACCCTGTGTTTATAACAGTGTTAGCAGTTGTTCTTCTTTTTTCTGTTCTGTTCTCCAAATATAATTTAGCTGTGGGCAGTGGCATTTCCAGAACATATGGATCAAATTCCCTGTTTCCTTTTCACAGTTCTAGCATTTGTAGTTTTCACACATCTCAAAATGTTCTAAAAAGGGTGGGCTTTTTTCCCTGTTGTTTGCCTAAGTTTCATACTTCAGTCAGAACTGATATTTATATTCCTATCCAGTTCATCCCACATTTTTCACTGGAGTTGTAATCCAGATCTTCCATTATTTCACTATGTTCACAGTTTTGCTGAAGGGTTTTTTTTGGGTTTTTTTTAGTAAAAGGATAATTATATTTTTGTCCCTGAAAATACTAACAGAAGGGCTGTAAGTAATTATGCTAATGAAGCTTTCTTTTGGTCTCAGACAAGGAAGTTTCTCAGCTAAAGCCTTTTCTGGTTTTAATATGAAATAATAAAGTATATTGTAAAGGCACTGAAGCATGGAAAAATGAGCTATTTTAATATCAATATTCACATACGTTATGTTTAGTTTTAAAAGCAGAATGGAAATGGATTTTTAATTCTTTGTTTTTATTATTCCTATTCACCTGTGTGCATTTTCTTCTCTATAGTTGCCTTTTGTGGATATATCCCAAAATACATAACCTTCACTTCAGGAATTAAGCTCATAAGGGCCAGGAAAGCAACAGTTGCACTGAGCCAGGGATATGGTTCCCCTCCAACAGGACTATTACACCACTGCCCTCAGCAGATTAAATATCTGCAGATGGGGTTGTATTGAACCATAATGCATAAGCCTATCATTGGTGGAAATGTAATTTTTCTGGTGCTCATACCTGTGAAATTGCTTGATGTTTGTAAATGCAAAAGGTCAGCTTTATCACCTGTATCTGACGGGATGGATTAAAATATAAATTTTTGGTACCATCAGGCTGGTTTTTTCTAATTTTCAAGGAATTAGTAATGTTTATTTCTTGCTTTTTTTTGTAAAATTTTAACATTTTTAATAGCTTAATGATAGAAAAATTCAGATCTTGAATTATTGTTGTTGTTGTTATTATTAAGATTTCCATAGCCAGCTGAATTGAAATAAGGTAATATACCATGAACCATTTCAGCTTTTTCTAAATAAACAACAGAATTCCCATTGAATTTGGTGAGATCAAGATTTCATTTGATCAGGTCTATCCCCTTACAGTTCTATGTATTCCTATTCCTTGAAGCCATCAAAATAATGTGTCTGATCCAAAATGTGTATTCAAGATGTTTTTCATTGAACTTAGTGGGCATGAGCCAGAGCTTCCCACGTTTAGTTAACAATTAAAGTCAGCAAGATGAGGGAGCTGCTTCTTTGCAGAAGAAGAAATTCAGCTCTTTTAACAACTTGTTGATCAAATTTATTTCCTTCCTCAAAATTATCTGCGCCTCATTTGCAGTTGTACCAAACTGTACTTGAAGCCCTCACCCTGTATACTAGGGAATGATAAATCCAAAATCAGGGTACCAAGTCTGGGTGTTTTGGTGCTCTGCTGTTTGTCTTTAATGGAGCCAGAGAGTACCAAACTGCAGAAAAAACTGATTTTCAAAGAGATAGTCTAATTAAAAACTAAAATATTACCTCTGTGACTACTCTCCCAAGAACATTACACTTTCAGCTCACCAACTATGCCTTTAGAGAAATGTTACTTAGCATTGATAGCACATTCCCACCTGTCTGGGAATTACCTGATTACACTGCAGAGAGTGCAGTGGAACATCAGTGGATGCCCAAGAAGCCAAGTCCACATGGATTAGTTATTCCATTCCCCACAGCTCATTGACATCTTTTAATACATCCCAATTCCTAGATAAGTAGTAGTATCAGCTTTCTTTTTCAGAAATGAAGTGTTAATCATTACTTTCAGCATAAATTCTGCATGTAAAAGTACACTTACTTCTTATGCTTCCTGACATAATGAAATATGCAGTAATTCAGGCTTTATATTTTGGCTGGTTTGATATTTTTCGTGATATTTTTACCTCCTTGTTTGCTTCCTCTTCCTCTTTCATCTCCTGAAGCTAAGTAATTTATTTAGTCATCCTTGGATAAACAAAATTATTTCAACCGGGAAAGGAATGTACAGTAAAGGCAATGCTAACACCTACTTGTTTTTGTGGGGAAAATAAACCACTGTAATAATCAGTACACAGAGAGTCCCTAGTCAAACATAAGGCCAATTCAGCACCTTCTATGCCAATTTTAGGACTCCTGTGAATTCAGGAAAGTTGTCTTTTCACAATGTATCTAAGGGAGGCACTCACAACAAAACAAAATTGCTTCAATGCAGAGATTTAGTATTTTTAAAAAACCCCACAGAAAGCCAAACTAAGTGTCTGCTGAAGCAAAAGCAGCATCAGAAAATGTATTACAAAGATCCAGGGGATAGAAGTATCTTTCCAAACACTCTGCTACCACTGCACTTTGAAAACAAAAAGTAAAGAGAATAACATGTAATCTCTGAAGATTGGTAATGTTTATTTTGGGTATTATTTGAACTTTTGAGAGTTCAGTCTCTGTTTTACTGGAAGCTTTCTTTCTAGTTCCAGGAATCTTTGTTTGCTTGAGTATCTTATGTGCCAAAACCAACTCCTGTTTGTAAATAAGCTGTCTCTACATGCTTATATATAAATAAAATAAATACTGCAGAGTAAAATAATTCCTGAGACAATCAGTTTTTTATCATGCTGCAGAAGCATGTCACAGAAATGGATGTAACACGAACCATTTGGATAGTATTTTGCAAACACTGTACATTAACTACCCTTATTTATAACCAATTGTTTAGAGTCCATTTGATATCAGTTTATATTTTCATTTGTCAGCCTTGACAAATTAATCTGATTTCTACATTTTCACTTCTAGAGAAAATTATTGTTTACACATGCAGCTTCTTGAGGTCTAGAATAATGCACCAGAGGCTGAGCCAAAAGTCAGAGCTGCTTCTGTGTGCTGAGGATTAGGCAGCAATTGCCAGCACTTCCCTTTGGACCTGCACCTTTGAGCTCCACCTCGTGTAATGACTTTGCCATGTTTGCAGCAGCTGGCTGAAGGGCCTGGCTAATGAATGTGTTGAAATCCACATGGATCCATTTTAGCAGATTCAGTGTGATTCTGGGGCAGAGGCTCAGTGCTTCTGTACCACACAAGCTACACCTGAACTCACTCACAAGAGCAGCAATCCTGCTTAAGCAGATGTCCTCAGCACTTTCTCACATCTAAAACTCTGAACAATTTCCTCATATCTGATCAGAGAATTGTGATGCTAGAAAAAATTAGAAATTAAACTCTCATCATTTGATCGTCCTGTACTGCCAATTGTTGCTAATGTTATTTTATCAATTTATGAGCTTACTATCACAGACTTTTTCTTTTTTCTCTATGAGAAAAATTGGAATTAACTATCAGTCAACAAAACTGTTAACAGACCACTAACTCTGGCAAATGTTCACGGATAAAGTACAAATACAGTGAAATACTGAAGAAAAGGACCATGTTGACTTTCCAGGAAATACAGACAAGAATTTGACCCATATTTTACCATATTAGTGACTGGAACTGCTTATGGAAACTTCCTCAATATCTACACCAAAATAAAATGTACCTATAGAACATTTCATTCTTCAGTCTCACTCTAGAAGATCTAATATCTCATAAAAGTCGGATAAATGTATAGAGGTCTTGCTTAAAAAACTGGCAAAAGGTGCTCACTACTTGCCAAAGATGTTAGTATTAAGCTGGTGCTAGTCTTAAATCCTTGAAATGAAATTGGTGTTGGGACTAATTCTGTATTTGGAGAATGCCCTGCTTTTTACAGAGGAAAACAGTTTTTCATACTAGAAATTGTCTCTGTGGGGTGTTCAGTCTTCTCTAGAACATCATGTAGAGCCAGATGCAGTTTTGTCCCATATTTTAAAATTAGACATTATGGAACAGCAGTTCTCAGTGTGGAGATTTAGTATTCATGTGATCATTAGACATGCAATTTTCACAAACTCCGGGTTGAATACTAATATAACTGGAGTGACATTAAAGTGCTTTTTTTTCATTCCCTGTATCAGATACATATGGAAATACTGTCTGTTGACTTCTGAGTGACAATACGTGCAGAATGTGAAGGTGCTGGTAATCACCCTACCATTGACCTAAGAACCTGATGCTTTCTGACAGAAACCCTGACTCTTGTGTAAATAATGAAGAGGCAAACAAAAAGAACAAGGGATATGCAGAAAATGCAGCAAGTAAAAGAGTGAAGCAACAATCACAAAATACTCTGACCAGTAACAAAATGCTAATCCTACCCAAAAGCCCTGAAGATGAAGTTTTGACTAGCTAAAAACCAAATGCTTTCATTTTTTCCAAGCTTGTGCCTCTTCTCATGTCTTTTCTAAAATCTGTGGGTTTTTTCTAATTTATTTTCTAAAAGCAATTTTCCATAAACAATATTAAAATAGAAAAAAAACCCCACTAGTTTAAGTAGATGTACAACTTTCATAAAGCTAATATGACAGAATTTGGTAAAATAAATCATGTAGGATATATCAAATTTAAGCATTACAATGAGAAGTTGCTATTTTCACTTTTCATTCCACATAAAAGGCTTTAAAGCTGTAGGAATTACTGAATTTCATGACAAAAAATATTAATTGCATATAAGACAGTAAAAGAAAAGAGGAAACTGCGACTGGAAAGATGAAGGTTGTCATGCTGCCTTTAAAGTAAATAGGTAAAGGAATTCCCATGCTGTTCTGAGCTGGTAAATACTGATCTAACAAATGCAGCAGATCAGCTGCAAGGTATTGCCTGACAGGACAAAACAAACACTGGACGTTGTGGTTTCTTAATATTAATTGACAAAAGTTGTAACAATGTCAGATATTTTTGCAACTCTGATGTCACTTCATCTGACAGTTCAACATAAATCTTTCTATTTTTCCAGATACATTTTTTCAGAGACCAGGATTTAGTTTCATACAACACTGTCCCTTTTTTTTTCTTTTTTTTTTTTTCAGAATCACAATAGGGAAGGGGAAGAGTTGGATTAATTCAGCAGGCCTTGAATCAAACTTTTCAGTTCTGTGGGACTTGGAACACAAGCTGAGGTAAGGACGATGAATTTACTTTCACTACACAACAATGCCACCATGTCAGAAATTAATTCAGACTTTCTCTTCAGATGGAAAGGTAATTTTTGTTTGTATTCCAATTTTATCTTTATCCCAAATGATGATGTTTGGTGATATGATTATTACTTACCCATGGTGTCCTTTATAAGCATTTTCCTTCTCCAAAGATCAGAACATTATATGCAGCTAATGGTTGCAAAAGCTCAACTTATAAAAATAAACTCTCCCCCTAGGAACTCATGTGACTTCCAGCAACTGCAGAACATCTTGTTAAGCAGAATAGGGTATTATGAAATGACCAAGTGTATATAAATATTTGTTGAATCTGAGTGAGAACCCTTCTACTCCTGCTGCTGCCTGTGGTGGGATAAGAAGTGGAGCAGCAATTAAAGAGCTCTGGTCTTTGAGGCTGCGCTGGCAGGGTGTCTCTGTGGGCAGCCTTCAGCTCAGTGTGTTTCCACAGGCTGGTCTGGCCACACTGCAGCCTCTAGGCTCAAATGAGCACTTGTATTTGTGTGTGCTTTCAGCCTGCCCCTGAGCTTTGATGGTAAACAAAGTAAAACTTGGCAGCCCAGCTCCAGTGTGTCAACACCGTGGCACCCAAGAGCCTGCTGGAGCCTGAGGCTCTGGTCTGCTCACACAAGGAGTCAGGAACTACTCAGGGAACAGAATCATGCACTCACTCCTTAACCACCAGATCCTCCTCACCTGCAGAGTGCTACAGAATTAGGTGACATTCTATACCTATCCTTCCTTGGGAAGAATAATTAAGTAATCTATTTATAATATTCAAAAATTATATGTGTTGTGCTGGAAAATTCAAATTCAAACCTCTAATTTAATACACCCGATATGTTATGCTTTAGAACATCATGTTTAATGTTTCTTGCAATAGTTTTGAAACACTCTTATGGTGTAACAGTTGTTATGCAAACCACCCACACTCTCTCAATCAAACTGAACTAACAATTGAGAGATTCATTATCTGAGTATTTGTTAAATGTGCATAAGAAAAAGCTAACCCAGCATGGAGAATATTCTATTAGCTACTGACAGAAACCTTTTGTTAATTTTCAACCTAACTCAAGTCATGGCATATTTTAATGTCAAGTGGATTTAATTTTATTGTTAAGTCAAAATTTTCTTCTTATCAGATTTTGAATTTTCATTTGATTTTTAAGGATATTCGTGGATCGTCCTTACACTGACATCCATTTTTACATCTCCTTGACAGCCCTTCATCTGTCTGCACTTTGAGTGCAACTTCTTTTTGCTGCTCTCATTGCTGCTATTGAAACAACTGCTTCAGGACAAGCTGAGTTACCTTACTCCAGCTGCAACACTTTATGGTTGCTAGCACCATAAACAAAAATAACTTAGAAAATAACAGATAAGTAATATTCAGGAAGAATGGACTTTCTTGTAGTGCTTATCCTGCTGTGAAACTCAAACCAATAACAAATATAGGCTGGAGTGGTCTAAAACTTGCAAGTGACTCAAATCAAATGCCTCTTGTCTTATCTCCTTTAACCACAGCCATGAGGCATGCAGCCCTTTGGAAAGCTCTCAAGTGGAATTTCCCTTTCCAGCTTAAATTTCCCGAGACTTGGGGTAATGGGAAACTTTCTATTGGCCTCCCTTCTGGAAACTAAATATAGAAAGACTGTTTAAGATAAAAGGCTGTAGTCAGATCATGTGAGGACAGTGGTGTACATTTCTTGCATTTCAAGACGCCCTGTGAAAACACTGACTCATCAATGGTCATTATTCTCATGGTGAGTGTTTCCCTTCAATATTTTGGCTGTTACATGCACAATTTTGGCATCATTTAAGCTTCTTTCATATGCCTAGGTATTCTAAGTGTTGGTACCTCTGTCAGTGAGGTCACCTCTACAGTAAAGAAAAAAGGCCACCAGTTACTGTCAGATCTGTAACCTCCCTGTCAACATCAGAAATAGAAAATCCGGCCAATAATTACAGAGAGAGCTCTGCAGCTTGCCAGCAACGTTTGCTGGATCTGGACTACAAAAGTAAACGCTCTGCATGTGTGTTCAGCTTGTCCTCCGTGTAGCTGCTAGATTCCATGACAGTCTTAAGGCAAAGACAGCTCAAACAGGCAGTGAGCTAAATGGAAGCATTTGCTGGGCTGCTGCTGTGCAAGGGAAGTGTCCACACAGCTGCTTAGAGGGGTGGCTGTACAGGCAGACCCAAGAAAAGTGCACTGATACACCCAGTCTGTTCCACTTAGAACATTGTCTGCAGATTCCTGATGAGCAGAAGGTTCACTGCAAAGAGCAAGATATAAAGGGGTGTATGGAAATGCAGTGCCATCTAAAATATAGCCTGGGGTTTTTTTAAATACTCATATGGTATGCTTTGGCTCTTTTAATTCATAACAATTGTTATTAAAAAACCAGCAGCACACATGAAAATGTGTGCCACATAAATAAAATTTTCTTATTTGTGTTCCTTATGGAAAGGTATTTTTATTTCAGAGTCACCTCCTTGTTGACCTACAGTCTTAGCTGGAGACAACCCTTTGGACAGTGACCAAGGAAACAACTGGCCTGTGAAAAGATATAATTAAGCACCAGACTAATGCTTAGGTTTGCTAAAAAACCAGAAAGGGGGGAACTATTAAATAGAGGTTGTGTAATGGGGTGAAAATTACAGGAGGTAATCTGTGAGGAGATAAAAACAATATATTCTGTCATGCATTACAAGGCAGATTCCTCTGTGGTTGGAGTTCCTGCTTGGAAACCCAGCAGTTCTTTTAGCCATGAGCCAGAGAGCTTGTACACCTTGAACTCTCTCACTGTGTATTGTTCAGTTTGATCAGCAAGCTCTGCGATTTCACCATCATCATTTTCCTCCTCACTACTGTTAACACTGGTTTCCATTGAAATCCAGTGATTTCAATGAAATGTTTTAGTTGAGTGAAAAATCCTGGACTTATTATCCTTAAAGAGTTTGCTGAGAATCAGAAAGTTGTTTTGGAACACCTGCTTTGACAATGTGCTTGCTTGAAGAAAATTTTCCAAGTCTAATAATTTCTTTGGCTGAAATTCAAATGGATCTATGCATAATATTCTTTTTAAAAATCACTGAAATTGAAAACCTCACAAGACTCTTGAAATGTGAGGTTTAACTGTTTAACAAACACAAGCATGTTTAGGAAAAAAAATAATGTACATGATTAATACTCATAATCTAAAACAGGGGCACAGAGCAAAAAACAGGAGACAAGTGAGTGAGAAGGGAACTTCATCCAGCAGTCAGGAAAATAGGATTAACGATCACAGCACCAGAGAGATGAAGGCAGGGAGGAAGAAGAAGGAAGACCACTGTGCCTATCAGGACTGACAGCATATTCTATAATCTCTGGTAAGTTTTGTCTGGCATGTTTTCCCCTTGATTGCTTATCCCATGGAGAATATTCAGTAAGATTTTATTCTTACCACAAACACATGCACTACAACTTGTAAAATTAGATTTTCACTCTGAATATTCAAGAAGAATATTTCAATATGAAATTTAAGACAAATTTCATATTTGTCTTAAAGTTGGCTGAATATTTTGTGCTTTTTTTTCTTTTATAGTTTTAGAATACTAGTGAAGTGAACAAAAAGAGATCAAGTGAAGAAGTACAGTTAAAAGATGACCCTTTTGCCACAGGGAGAGGCACAACAGAAGTAAATTTCTTTACTGAGAGGGTGTTTGGGCACTGCAAGAGGCTCCCCTGGGAAGTGGTCCTGTCACCAAGCCTGTCCAAGTTCAAGAACCATGTGGACAAAGCCTTTAGTCATATGATTTAGTTTTAGGTAAACCTGTAGGAGCAGGGAGTTAGACTTGATGATGGGTTCCTTCCAACTTGAAATATTCAGTGATTTATCCAATTTTAGTAAATGCAAGTACATGCCCATATGTAGCTGTGCCCTCTCATCAGTAACTTTATTTTTAACTCCTTTGCGTAAGATATTTGCATTTACTTGTTTTTCCTCTGCTCATCTCTAATGAAAAGAAACTTGCAAAATATTTAAACTGTATTTAAACCAAAAAGCAGATTAAGTGCTCATTCTCAGCAGTTGACTAAGGCAGTTGACAAAAGCTAATGGTAATAATGACCTAAAATATAAAAAAAAGTCACTGAAACGGAACGCCACAAAGAGTCTAGTTCTGAACAAAGCCTGCAGTCCCAGCAGACTGCAATGCATTGGGTACCTTTAAACAGCCCTGTCTCTGCTGTGATCCCCTTCAGCAGGAGGGAATGCCTTGCTTGCTCTGCAGGGCCATCACAGTGCTCTGTGCCCAGAGGAAATGACAGTCACATTTCATGCCTGCTGTAAAGTTTGCAGTCTACAAAGTCAAGCTATGGCTTGGTCTTCAGTTTTTACTAATGGACACTGATTATTTTTAGTCACAGCCTTATCGCTGTAACTCAGGCACTTCCACTCTAATATACACTTCTGTATGGAACTTCCAGAAATGTGAAAAAAATACAGCTGCGTTTGTGCAAAGAATGGGGACATATGTGCAGCTTTTGGGATATATCTGAATTCCTTTATAAGTACAGTTAGCTGTTTGACTGAGGTTGAGATAACACAACTCAACTAATTTACTAACTTGTTAAACTTTTTTTAGAAGGTTTTAATTGCTAGTGGAAGTACAGAACTCACTAATCAGAGTGTCGTTTATTTGGATTATACCCCAAAAAGTCTATACCTACAAACTACTGGTTTATGTGTATTTATCACCCAAGTGTGATACACTATGGCTGACTGTGCCTCTTCACTTCTGTGAAAAACATCTGTCTAAACATTATAGTAATTTCTAATGGAATATCAACTATACAGAATAGATTTTTTTAGTGCATTCTAGATGTGATTTTTTCCTTTTAAAAACCATGGTAAGTGCATTAAAATCCTTCTTTTTAGATGATCTCGTATCACAACCTGATCTCTGCCAAAGCCTCTGAGATGTGCTTTCAACATGCCAAAAAGTTATGCTGAATACAGACATAGAGTGAGGGAATGGAGGCTGGTGTCATGTTCTGTTTGTATGGCCAAAGGTATATCAAACAAGAGAGTTTTTTAACTCTTCTCTTTCTGATTTGAGAAATATGAACTTGGCTAAATTTCACACCCTTAAAACATAGTTGGAATGTGAAACAGACAACAAAAGTCAAAAAAGCACTGAAGAGTTATGCTGATCCCAAATCAGTATAATGCCCACTGGAGAACCAGAATAACTGATGGCATCTGATAACACAGTTACATGTGTTAGCATAAACCACTGCAAACACCAAATCTTTGTAAAGTAAAATAAAAATGGCTTATCAGCCTAATAAATCAGTCAATGAAAGATATATTTATTTATTTAAGTCTGCATGCTAATGACAACTTCATTTTTGAGCCAGGAATTGTGAGTGACAATGGTTTGATGCCAGCTACTGAATGGTGAAGTATTTACCATGAACATTCTCAACATAATTACTCACCATTGTTACACTTGGCATTCTATTTGCTACTGTCTACAATGACAGAATATTTTCAAAGACACCATGTGAGTATCAAGTTTTTCTTTTTACTGCAAAGAAAAAATGAAGCTTATGAAATGTAATGCCTTCTTGTAAGGAAAGAGATGGAAGACTGAGGGTTCTAACACTTATTTTGTATATCAAATTGACCCTTTAAGGGGAACTTTACCTGTTTTTATTTGTCTTCCCAAAGCCAACCCAAAACCTAAGATTTATTTTGCCAGTGTGATCATACAGTGTTTCACATCCTGCAGTCTCTGTTACACTCCAGATCAACTTTCATTCCAGCATTTTATTTTCCAGAAGTTATTCTTGTCACCGTTGTTCTGAAGGTAACAAACATCTTTTGCATATGTAACATTTACATTTTCACACAGGGGATCTATTTACAAGCTTGTGTGTTTATAAACCAATGGAAAGCAATTAGAAAACTTACATCCTAATAATCTGCATGCCTGCTCAGTTCACCTCCCTGGCTCCCTATGTCAAATCCTTTCATCTAACTGCATTTTTCCTCTGAATCTTTGTCAAGTGTTGATAATTTTGAAGACATGCACATCTCAAATGCATTTGCACATATTAAAATACAGTCATTGTTTGGGCTTTTTAATGGAATATAGCATTCTATTTTTCTTTGTTATTCCTTATTTATCCTTGCTCTTTGGATAAGCATTTCTAGATTTTCTCCAAACCCCATTTTATGACATTATTTTGCTGTGTTTAATTTTTTAATTTTACTGAGGCATTACAGATTCCTCACAGTCGCTCTATTTTATGCTTTGTTCCTGCAAAGGAACCAGAACAGGAATGCATTTAGACCAACTTTGAGGAATTTTACATGTTGCTTTGCATGTGTTGGCAAGCCATAATTAGTTAATACTCGCAATAAGCTTGATTTTATTATCTCTCACAGAACTCAAAATACGATTGCTGGAGAAAGGACACCATAGAGATGCAGTCTTAGAACTGTATTTCTAACAGTCCAAATGTTATATGACTCAAAATCATTTGCTTTTTTTTCCTCCATTTGTAATGGTAATTGGTCTCTGCTGCCAGAACAAGCTCTGCTTGTCATGGTATCTGGTAATATTATTACTCTATTGCAAGATGTCATGATAATAAAAGCTGAAATTCTCCCAATTGCATATTCAGAGTCCATAATGTTTTCCAAAATATTGTGACTCCCTAATATTCTCAATGCATCTTTAATCAAATGTAGTCAAGATTATTGATGTAAATATCAGCAGCACTTTCTATTTGAGAGAGATTTTTACATCCCATAGAAGTTATTGGGGAAAATACTGGGAAGGAGCCTGAGTGACATTTTATCTCCTTCTTGGGCAGGGGCTTAGTTTTGAATACATGATTTGCACTGTCCTTAAATATGCATATTCTGATTACTGAAGTTTCAATACTTCACACGGCATTAAAAAATTATTAGAAGAGAAAGATAAAAATGCTTCGGAGGATAGAGGCTCGAACTTTCAGAAAGGTAAGTAAGTACTCGATGTCTGACTTCCACCAAGAGAAAAGGCCTTGCAAGAGAGGCTGAAAATTCTTCCCAGTGTCAATTTAAAATACTGGTTTATAGAATATACTATACACAGAACAGACTGTGAAATTGCAATTACATTAATTGTCAAAGGGTGATTCACCTGACCTATAATGTAAAGGTACACACGGTATTGTACCGAAATACTGAGCTACTGTGTGCTACAACAGAGAACAAAAAGTGTGGGTACGTTAATTTTGCTTTTCAAATTTATACAAATTTAACTTTGCCCACCTTTATCTACATTTAGTTTGGAACTACTGATTTTCAGATTAACAAATGACCTGCAACCTGGTCAAATTAGCAAAGTTTGTAGCTTA